TATTTCCAAGCACGAGTTATGTCCAATGACACACGATTTTGGGATAATAGTTATCTCTTTTACGCCCTCAATAGAATGGAAGAGCACAAAGTGAAACAAAAGATTGCAGTATGCGGGCAAATGCGAACCAGTAGTAATGGCGTACAAAATTATGATGAATATCCTGGATTGACAAACGTTCACCTGTACATGTCTGCTATACGTGGAGGTGCATCGTACTGGAAATCTTACAAAGGAGACCTCATCGCAATGATTGCTCAGCGAGGCATTCCCAACATATTTTTAACTGTATCATCGGATGATCTAAATTCCACTGACTCTATTTGCGGGCTTCTACTTGCTGATGCCATGCGAGGAAATTGTAACGCCGATTTAATCACACAAATTCGGCAGAATTTAGAATCTCGTAATTATGCGGAGTTGGAGAAAATTGTTAACACGCTTAGTTATGAACAGAAATCAGATCTGCTTAATCGGCATCCAGTTCAGTCTGCTCGGCATTTCAGTCATCGAATCAACAATTTGATGACACTTTTACGAAAATGTGGGAAAGAGATTTTTGGGCACGAAGTTGACGATCACAGTTATCGGATTGAATTTCAAAATCGAGGATCTGCTCATATACATATGCTGCTCTGGCTTAAAGACGCCCCACGCGATTATCACTCTACTGAGGGCAAAAGACTTATTGAGTGAAACATGTCCTGCTCCATTCCTGAGGATGACGAACAATTAAAGTCGTTAGTATTGAAGTATCAGCAACACCGTCATACCAAGACTTGCTTCCCACGTACGCAGTATTGCAGATTCGACTTTCCTAGAAAGGTGTCAAAGGAAACCGTCATACTTGAGGAAGATGACATTAACCGTAACAAGGGCCGGTTTTGTATTCTGAAGCGGAATGAAAATGAAACTTACATCAACAATTACCACCCTATCCTTTTGAAAATTTTGAAGTGCAACATGGATATACAGCTCGTCACGGACGCAAATGCTATAGCATTTTATATTGCCAAATACATCAGCAAGGCCGAGCCCACAGACATCCAAGACGAAATTCAGATAATTATGCAACAGCTCCAATCGAACTCGAAGGCCTCATATTATCAGATAGCAACTAGTATTGCGATGAAGATAATGAACAAAAGACAAGTTAGTGCACCCGAAGCGGCGTACCGGTTATGTCATCTTAAGCTGCGTCACAGTTCAAGAGGATTTGTCTTTATCCCTGCATACTTGCCTAACAAAAGATTACATTTAATTCAGAAAGAATCAATAGGAAATGCGAATGTGAAAATAAGGCTAAGTATTATTGACAAATATTGCCTCCGTCCAACGAATTTGGCCGATATTTGCTTGCTGGAGTTCGCAGCCAAATACATTGCAGCTAAGAGAGACGAAACTGAAGCAGATTTACAAGAAGGAAATGAGGAGGAAGAAGAAGAATTTGAAGGACATACTATTCGTTTAAATAATGGAACAGTCATGAAGATCAGAAAAAGGCCAGCTATTGTAAAGTATCCTAACTTTGATGCCCTTAGTCAATCAGAAGATTACTATTACTGCATGATGCTCCTGTACTATCCATTTATTGACGAAAATGCTATCACGAGTGGCTTTCAAACAATAATTGATGCATTTAAAGAAAGATCAGGTCAATTTAGGAATTCTACTCATGCTGATTTCCTTCGCCCAACCCTTGCACAAGAGATTGACAGAGCTCTGATTAGAATACAAAATTTTGAAGAGCCAATGACACCGCTAATTGATGGAGAAAATTACGTTCCTTACGAGTTTGAAGATGAGGATAACAATGGTCCAGAGAATGAAATATTTCAGCCGATAAATGATGTAGGAAATTTGCAAGAACGATTCCATACGCTGTCAGAAGAGCAGAAAGAAGTGTTTTTGAAAGTTAAAAGCTACTTGGATGGAGCCGACCTTGGCAAAATGATTGCTGCTATCTCTGGATCTGGAGGAACAGGCAAAAGCTATTTGATAGACACTCTTGCGTCATTAATTTCTTCCTATTGCCTTAACGGTCACAACCTACTAAAAGCAGCGCCTACTGGAATGAGCGCGTTAAATATTAATGCAACCACTATCCATAGAGCCTTCAAACTTCCAGTACAGAGGGGATTTATTCCAGCATACGTCCCATTAAAAAGCAAGCAAGTTGAAGAGTTACGGGTTAATTTGAGGCAGTTGAAATGGATAATCATAGATGAGGTGTCAATGGTATCGTATCAAAGCCTAAGGATGATTCATTTGCGTCTTTGTGAAATAACCAACAATGATGAGCCCTTTGGAGGATTGGATATTTTAGTATTGGGAGATCTTATGCAATTTCGACCCATTAATGCTTCTTGGATATTTAAGCCGCCAAGCACCTACCTCCATGAAGTGAATCTTTGGAAGTTGTTTAGTTTCTACGAACTTTTCACCAACCACCGGCAAACTGGAGACACGCGGTACTTACAACTCTTAGAGCGACTGAGGTTTGGACAGTGCACTCAGGAGGATTTAGGCCTTCTTCAAGCCCGAATTTTTGACTTGGAAGATTCTGAGTTGTTTGCAAAGTTCTCGGATGCCTTGGCACTTTTTCCTACAAACACGGATGTCAACAAATTTAACGAGAAGCAGACAGAGAAATTGAAAGACCAATTATCAAAAGTCAATAAGATAACCTACATAATGAGGGCAAAAGATACATATGCCGCAGGAGTTCATTACGATGAGCCGTGCCCTGAAAATTTGATTCCCAAGGAAGAAAGACACACTGCTGGGATTCCAACCACTATTGAGATTGGTGTTGGGAGTCGAATTATGCTTCGCCGTAATTGGAGTCTATCTGATGGTAAATTTTCTATAAAGTTTCATTGTAAAAAAAATTAAGCATATTGTGGATTGCAGGACTAGTTAATGGGAGTGTTGGAACAGTGGTCGGTATCAAGTGGCCTGCTCTTAGAGATGAACATCTTCAGCCTGGAGATCTACCGCAATTTCTGATTGTTCGATTTGATGGGGGGATGGGAGGACGTAAGAAGGACATTAATGGATATGTACCGGTAGAATGTTCGACTTTTGAATTCCCTGGTATGGTTATAAAACAAATGTTCAAGGCATATATAAGTGCAAGGTACTTTACTAAAAAATTAAAATCTTGCTATCCAGGAAAGAGGCAGACGTTAATTAAGAGGAGGGCCTTCGCTGTGATATTGTGCTGGGCGCTAGTTTTTCATAAAACACAGGGATTAACTCTTCACTTCGCCAGTATTGATTTATCGAAACGCCAGTTTGCTAAAGCGATGGGGTATGTTGCCTTGAGCCGACTCAAGTCTTCTAGTGGATTGCGCATAATCGGCGTGAATGAGACAAATATTTTGACGCTCAAGAAAAATGCCGCCCCATGTGACGAAGACGCACTCAGAGAACTATATCGACTCCGATTAATGAAGATTCAAGTTGACGAGAATGAAATTCACGATTTGTTAAACTGGGTGTGTGAATACCCGGTATGTTTGATTTGTAAAAAATGGATCTGCGGATGTGTATGTATATAAGTTTATATCATTTTTTTTACATAATTTATGATCTTGACAAGACAGAAACAGTTTTATATGTAACGTGTTTTGAGAATGTCATGATGTATTAAAAGTCACTCGATTAAAAGTATTAAATAAACAAGGTCCCAAAAAAGGGGAAATCTTAGTGAGACACGCGTGCAATAACAAGGAATAAATAAAACTTCCGGTGTCACATTTGCATCACCTCTCCCGGAACAATTGATTGCATGAGCATTAAGTTTGGAAGGAACGGAATTGCATCCCAGCTCTAATAAATCTTTCGGAATATGCATGCCAATTGATGAAATTCTATGGTTACAATTGACAAATTTTGGTAAACAACAAAACTTACAAACAAACAACAAACTTCGGGCAACACCCGAAATTTTAAAAACTCAGCGAGATTTGCGAAAGAAGCACCATGTCGAGCCAATCTCAAGCCTCTACAGTTTGCTATGACGAGGAGGAGGAACTAGTCAAAGAACAAGTTGGGCTTATTCGAAAGCTTTATGAGGCGAACAAGCGTGCACGCATTCTCGAGGTCGAGAATGGAACATTGCGGTCAAAACTTTGGGTTTTGGAAAGTTCAGTTGAACAAGCAGCTTTCTTAGACGTTTGCAAGAAGGTAAATAAGAAATAAATATATAAGAAGCATTGCATGGAAAAAGTAATGTTATATTTTAATCAGTTGAAGGACGCGGAGGAAGAAATCGCCCGATTACGAGCCGAGAAGGAGGAACTTAGAAAAATTACCGACGCTAGGCAGACAAAACTTTTCCACAGAATTCTTGCAGAAAAAGTCAGCAGAAAATATTTTGCAAATGATGCCAAGAATGAATACGCTCAAAAGAAGAAAGTGAATTTACAGTTATCAAGACAGGAACGGATGGCAAAAGTTTGGGAGCAACGAGCGAGATTGAAAAATACTGAGCTGCGTCAAGTTAAAAAAATTAATGCCAGAAATGAAGAAAATCTGTTAACTGAACCAATCAATGTAGAAACTGTTCAGTTCCATGTTCACGAAAAATCTGCACATAATTTAGATCCATCAAACATAGAGCAGGGGTTATGTGCATGCGGTAAGCAGATGGAAGAAACCGGAACAAAGGTGGCAAAGAGGAAGGAACGGAGGAGGAAGGCCAAGTTTTATTCAAAATGTGAAGATGATAGAAAATCTTTCTGTCGAATTTGTTATAGAAGTTTGTGATTTCTTTCGGAAGTAATTGTTGAATTCGGCCAGTAAGGTCGTAATTGTATGTATTAGCTCATTAGGTCAAATAACCCCAAAATTTACACATTTTGCAATAAATTTATTGGTGTTGTGCTGCAATTCCGTTCATGCCAAACTTAATGTTCATGCAATCAATTGTTCCGGGAGAGGTGATGCAAATGTGACACCGGAAGTTTTATTTATTCCTTGTTATTGCACGCGTGTCTCACTAAGATTTCCCCTTTTTTGGGACCTTGTTTATTTTAAATATATAGTACAGCTTTAATTACATAAAAAAATGATAAATAATTTCATTTTTAGTCATATACCATTTTTTCCTCTGGCATTAAAACTTACTTCATATCAATTTAAATGTTTCTAAACAGAACAAAGTAAAAAAAGTGATGGTAGTTATTATCGTAGGAAAATTACCATAAACATGTAAGTTAAATAATTTAACTACACCACTTCTGGCATTCCGGCTGAGAGATGCTTATTAATTTCTGCCGATACGTGGACGTCTTTCCCCCTGAATATCTTGAAGAAACCTCGATTTCCCCAGTAGTAGTTGAACGAGTTGGACACCAACCAGTACGGAAGTTCAGTCCCGTTTTGATGTCCTATTCCCCAACCAATAATTTTTACCGCGTGGAAAAAATCGCCTTTCTCGTCACCGGAGGGTTTGTAAAGTTCTGCAAAACAAAAACAGTATATTTTAGGAAAATTCATTACGACTCGTAATTTAGGAGTGCAAATGATCCCATAGCAACAGGGATGGGCAATCCCAACAATTTCGATGGATTACGGATTACAGATTAATTAATTTAAAAATTATAAGGGGATTACTGGATTGGGATTACTTCGTTCCTGAAAGAATGTGGATTACTTGTTGGATTACTGGGATAAATTAGTGACGTGGATTACGGATTACGGATTACAGTAATCAGATTACGGATTATTATCTGGATTACAAAAATCTATATTTATGTATTAAGGGGTGAAGAGAAGCGAAATCCCTTTATGGAAAAGTGTTGTCCGCCGGTCTGTCCACGATACTTTAGAACGGTTTCGAATTTCAACATGCGGTTTTCGCCAACAGGTTTCTAATTTTTGAGGTATGGATGAGTTTGAAAATGGGAATTGTAGGTCATAAGGTCACGGCGCCACGGTGACGACGCCACGGGTCAAACGTGTCGAATTTTTTATTTTGGCCGTTTTAGATCTTTCAGTTTCGGGCAATGATTAAAATCTTCGTAGTTTTGACGTGACATGACCGAGTGACCGTGTCGACGACGCCAGAGTCGAAAATGTCGAATTTTTGTCTTGATTCTTTTAGACGTCGTTTTAGGCGGGCATTTCAAAAATAAAATCTAGACATCGTTTTGGCCGCATTCCATGACCGCGTGACAGCTCCACCCGTTTGCTACATTTCGTTTGCAATGGTTTATTCTGAATAGCGTCACACTTATATTTCATGCTGATGATTAGTTAAAAAAACTAGAGCTTTGAATCATGCCTGGAATTTCTTACATGAATTTGGAAGTGTTCTCCCCACTAATTTTCAAAATGTTCTCTGAAAACAGGGAAAATTCAATTTTTTCCAATTTTTTTTGCTACACTGAAGGTGGTCAATATTGAAATTACTTGTTTAATTATTTGATTTCTATGATTATCATGTGTAAAAAGTATGATTTTAACTTGCTAAGGTCGATATGATGTAAATTGACTGATTTGAGTAACATCATCGTTCATTTTTATCATTATTAATAATTTTTAGTTTAATATCTGTCCCTATTGAAAAAAAAATTCAGTATTTTCTCCAAGTGTTCTCCCCGCATTGCGGGTTGGTGGGGTAAGAAATTCCAGGCATGCTTTGAATGATTCATCCGACCGTCAGTATCTTAGGGCAGACAAAAATGTGTTGTAGTACTCTGCCGTAGAATCCAGAAGGTAGTTTAAGCACTCAAGTTCAGCAAGTGACTTAGACTCTGGAGAAGTTGCAAGATGGAGCTGTCATGCCGTTTACAGGAGCAAAGTAATCCAACAAAGTAATCCGTAGTCTGATTACATTTTCCAATCTCGTAAATTGAGGATTACGGATTACACATAATTTCCAGATCTAGTTAGGATTACGGACTACGGATTACTTTAAAATGTGAATTTTTCGTGGATTACTGGATTACGGATTACATCCAATGTAATCTGATTACTTAATCTGATTAAAGTAATCCTGGGATTGCCCATCCCTGCATAGCAATATAATTTTGCAACAATAATTGTGAACTAATTACTAGCCATGGAGATGCGCAAGTTCGCGAATGAATTTTTAAACATTTTTTTTGCAAACTTGCGAACTATTTTTGTACCATTATTAATGATGCGAACCCTGACTAATACTTTCATTTCAATACCCTTGTTTCAATTATAGATAAATATAGACATTTACTTATGATTTTATCCACCCACCATTTTCATCGTGCGGATTGAACTTTTGGAAGCTGTCATACAGTCGCATCGCCCCAATGATCGGTCCCTTCTGCATAATCTCTAGTTGGACTTTTTTCACAAAATTGTTGTACACGGTATCGTTTGAATCGGCAGGATAAGTAAATTTACAGGCGGAAGTGACAGCGCGCTTGTCGAGGGGGTAGGTGCCATTGTACTTGGTTAGACACTTCCTCCTGCACTCGGGTTTAGGAACTTTACCGACTTTATAGCACGATTCCTTAGTGTGGTCACATGGTGGATACTTATAAGAAACGCAACCCTGATAAGAAAATGTGTAGTTTTATATTTGGTATTACTCAAGTATAAATAATTATTAACTAATGCCAAAATTTCAGGGATTTTGCGAACTTCAACCACTTGCAAAACTAAATTTTCGATATTACAGAATTGCAATTATTATTAGTATACTATAGTGTTGTCAATTATTTAAATCCAGTTGTACTTCTTCAAACCTGGACGATTTTTGTGAAAAATTAAATACACAAAAAAGTGGCAGGTATGCCATCCACTCATCTTACGGATTAATTATCAACTGAAAGTTAAGCAAATATTGAGGTATATATGAAAATTGTTCTAAACCGAAATTTGCATCTTATCATGGATATATGCATTAAAAAATTACATAGTCCGACTTATACCAACCCCCAGAGACAAGGCCGAGGCTGGAGTTCGTCAGGTATTTCCACGCTGCTCCAATACTACCCCCTTGACACCCGGAAAGTGGAAATGGGGCGCAGAGGCGACGATGTCCTCGCCCAGTGCAGATCTCAGAAGTCCAACCGGTGTATTTGGAACCGCAACCAAGCAAATCTTGGTCAGAGAAGCGGAAGTTGCTCGTTCCATTGGAATGGATGCAGTATCGGTCCGTGAGGGTCGAGGCGATGGCGACGGCCTGGAAATTACGCAAATTAGGATTATGTAATTATACAATTTTTACAATGGGCGTATTCACGACAACTTTGGCATCTCTTGAAAATTGGTGATAACAACATTGTATGTACGAAGTTTACGAAATTTTAATGATTCCGAAAAACTTTTGCTGAGGAATATCATGCAAATTTGCTAATTTACCCAGCATGTTTTTATTTCGTAAAATTCACAAGCGATAAAAATTACGGAAATTCATATACACATTGCTAGAAAATTGGTATGGTCACCCAGGTATTGATCCCTCAGTATTAAATTGCTACCGCTTGGTATTTGAATTATAGTGGTAGGTAAAAACTGGCTGCCAATGTAGATATATGGTAAAATTTAATAATGAGCTATTATCACACGGGATTACTAGTTACACTGAACAGTAATGAATTTCTAAAGGTGAAGGGATTAATTCAAATAGTTCTGTTTTTCTAGCTTTGCGAAATTGGCAGAATCATGTCCCGTCACAATACATATTAGTTGAGCTGCAAAAAATTTGCAAAATGCGATGTTAAATTGGCGTGAGTTGTTTAATAAGTTACCCAGCAACTGAGGCAATGTCCTTGGTCTCGAATTTCCCACAGAGAAGGACAATGCTTCCAGGCTTCTCTACCATCAAATTCCGCAGGGACGCCGGTTTCTGGCTCCTTATTGGGGGCACATTCAGATAAGAGCTTAGGATCTTCGAGATGGCGTGGCTGCACTCCACCAATAAAAGTGGGTGAGTCGTGCTGCAAAATTGCGTAATTGAAAAAAGTTGAAATCTCAAATGCTTTGAATAATTAAAATATTTTAGTTAGCAAATCTAATATGGTGTAAAATAATATTAATGTGAATAATTTTATTAATTTTAAGACTTACCAGCCTAAACTTATTTTTCGCACCTTGTGCAAAATCTCCTCCCAACACTGCTGCCCCCACCACGAGTAGGAAGCCTTCGAAAGCGTTTAATTTCATTTTATAAACTATGAAACTTGAAAGATCTGGAACTCTTGTGATACTACGAAGTTTGTTTTGAGAATCTTCTTTTATATGCAGGAATCATTTCAAATTTATTACATAGTGGTACTCATAGTCAGATCAGAAAACAATTGTGATTTGTTGTTTGCAAATATAATACAACAGGAAACAGGAAGAGTACGAGAAGAGAGTACAAAGAGTTTACATAAATACGATGAATGTGAATCTGTGTTAATTAAACGTTATGAAAGGTTAATAAATGCAAGCTTTATTTTTTCAAATACCAGGAATTAATATTCCTCTGCGGCCATTATATAATATGAACGACTTCAGTTACATATGCGCTTTGACATTGAAGATGAGTGCAATTCAATGGACTTAATTGTAATATTATGTATACAAGCCTACCGAGTTTTGTATAAAAGTGTGCGAGGCTGAACTTTGGTGGAGAAAGGATATGCATTTTTTACAAGCAGAATTATATTTTATGCATATTCCATGATGAATTCAACATGAGTGCAAATAATGTCACAAATGATAAGCCTAATCTCTCCAACTTTTCATGCATCATTGATTCAAATATTTTTTCTTTGCGTAAAAATTTGTTGACAGTTTGTCAAGTTAAGTTTGTTTCTCCGACTTAAGTAAATTTTATCTGGTATGATTGCTTTTGGCTTGTTGTACTGTAAATAAATTTCAAAAATAAAGGTTTTGTCTCAAATAATACTTTATTCACACAGATTCAATTCTACAAATTAGCCAATCAACCCATTCATTAGACAAATTAAGCATCTGGATTTTCTTGATGGGCTGGATCAACGAATGAAATCTGGTACAGGATGGTTTTCGCCTTCATGAGACTGAACCCATTGTCCCAAACGAGGGAGTAGATGCCCTCCTTTTCGCAGAGGTGAGACCCCTCCTGAACTTGCGTGTGAGCGTCAACCCGCGCCAAGGGGACGATGTCTTCCCACTGCTCCTTCTTCGCACGGGCCTCCTTTGAATAAAACACGTGAAAACCGACATCATGTCCCTCGGATTTAAATTTCCATTCGATAATTGTATTCTTCTCAGCAACGTCGACCTCTTGGATAAATCTCTCTCGAGCGGCAATCGTAACTTTGGTGTAAGCCGCGTCTTCCTCAGCCAAACCTGAAGAAATCGGACAAGGTAAATATTATTGGTACATGTTTCTAATCTTAACCATATATAGTCTAAGGCCTTGCCTCTCATAAAAGGGCCCAAGTCGGCCGGCCCTTGAAGCCAAATTGGATGACCACTCGCATACTCATCCTCCGTTACTAAATCTCCACCCCAATAGGCGGGAATTAGTTCGACAGGAAACTTCTCTCGTACGACGGCTCGCCATTTCTCTGGGTCTGGCCTGCACAAGAGGATTCCATTATTCAAGTATGCGTACATAATTACTTATGTATATTTCATCTCAAAATTGGAACAACAATGAACGAATATGCATAAGTTTAGTTGGGGATCAGTGTGTTCTGTTAACTTTTTTCACATGCATATGACAGATTTGTATGTATAGATTTGAAAGTTTGAAAAAAAAACATTTTAAAATAAGGTTGTAACTTACAACTTGTAAGTATGTACATAGACGTACCTCGAAATTTTTAGAAACTATGAATGGAATTATGAATGGGAATCTAAAGCTAAAATATTCTGGTAATCTAGTAACATTTTACCCAAATATATCAATCTTGTCCAACGTTGCCTTAGGAATGAGTGGTTTCAGCAAGTTGAATATTATGGCGAAGACCTTTGGAGTATTTATCATCATAGCGTATCGCAAGAGCTCGGGATAATTGGCATCCATGTTATTTTGCATATTTGTCATAAACTCGCGACATTGTTTCGTGGCCATTTGTCGATATGAATACCTGCAATAAAAAAAATATTGTAAAACTGGGAAGAACGCGGTTTGCATGAATAAGCCGGATAACACATAACCTGTAGTTATCATGGCCTGATAACACGGTTCACGTAGTCTAATTTAAGCCAAAAATGGCTTGAAAATTCATCTGTGAACTAGCTTATCTCCATGGCTTGTAGTTGTATGTATGTATGTATTATGTGAGGAGGATTCCTACCCATGGGGGTAGACATCCAGCTGCGCAGGTCACCAGTTGGACCTATTGCAGACACCTCAATGCACTCGCATGCGATTATTGTGTCGGAGCCTCTCTCGATTCCCCAGCTACAAAGCTGGCGAATCTGCCAGACCTTAAAAAGGCCAGCACGTCTTTGAGAGGATACTCCCATACTTCCTCCATCCTTAAGGTAGAACGAAGGAAGGTCCTAAATCTCAGGGCACTGTAAGCGGGACAGTCTGTAAGTATATGAGCCATTGTCTCGTCCCCTTCCCCGCATTCTTCGCAGATGGGAGATTCAACTAGACCCATCTTATACAGATGCCCATTCAAATTACAGTGTCCTGTGATGGCAAAAGTTGTTAGCCTCATACCATCCCTCGTGGGCCCAAGTGATTTCCCACTTAGGAGGGGAGCTTGCGAGGTTGATAATAACAGATCTCGATGCCCTTTGGATATGTGATAGGGTCTCATGAGTGTACTAAAACCCTGAAGTGGTTTGACTCCATGGCCACATTTGCGCCCGCCACACCCACTCAAAAATGCCCAAAAAACGCTTTCACTCCAGTTTTCACTCACTCAAATCCACGCCAGAAATCCAATTTTACTCGGATTTTGAAATTTCTTTCACCATTACGCTCCCAGATAGTTGCTTTCTTCAATTCCATATCAAACTCAATTTTGCTGATGATTATTTCGCAGGCGTAATTTGAGTTGTTGATTACTACAACAATCCTCATTCAGAATTTCAAATTTTAAAAATACTAAAAATTTCGAAAAAATTAGGTTTGATATTGGATTGAAGAAAGCAACTATCTGGGAGTGTAATGATGAAAGAAATTTCAAAATCCGAGTAAAATTGGATTTTTGACGTGGATTTGAGTGAGTGAAAACTGGAGTGGAAGCGTTTTTTGGGCATTTTTGAGTGGGTGTGGCGGGCGCAAATGTGGCCATGGAGTCAAACCACTTCAGGGTTTTAGTACACTCATGAGACCCTATCACATATCCAAAGGGCTTCAAGATCTGTTATTATCAACCTCGCAAGCTCCCCTCCTTAGACCCTCGTAAGGTATTGGCAGGGCCAACTTTGAGAACTTACAATTAAGTAAGTTGGACCAATGGACCCGATGATCATTCTGAGCCCATTGTTTTATTGCAAATTTTCCAATTGCTGAGTTGACAGGGATAACTGGCTCTGGGCCGCATGTTGTTATACTAGCAGCCTCTTTAGCCAGCTTATCCACGTCTTCATTACCCCATAAACCCCAATGGGAATGGCTTGTAGTTACTTAATTCTGTTTTTTTAAATTATGTTACGATACGAACATAAGTATGAACTTATACGGAATACACTGAAAGATTGACATGAATCTCCCCTCATTTGTGCTTACCCTTCGCAATCGCAAATTTCAATCAGTTGCGTGCACTTGACACCTTTCTTCTCGCCTTCTTCCTTCATAATTTTCAGCATTTGCAGCATGAAGATGTTGTTATATCTTTCACACGCCTTGACCCCATACTTTTCAATCATGGCTCGAAGATCATTTCTCCCCAAGGGGAAGATAAACGTGCCGTAGCCTTCTTTCGAAATGCCACACCACGCGAGTGGCGACCCCTTCTTCATGTCCTCCGGGATGGAGTCGCCCTCCCGTTCCAGCAGCGTGTCGATGTCGTTGTCCTTCCGCCACTTCATGGAGGCTCGAAGCATCTCGGATGCCTTGGGAAGATCCAAGTATCTGGCTCGTAACCATTTTATGAGATAGTCGTCCTCCAATTGTTCCTCGGTCAGGGACAAGTCCGCCACCATTTTCCTGAACTGGACCAATTTTTCCTTCTCTTCAGCCGAGTATTCCTTCCCCGAGGAGAACGCCGCCTTGAACACTTCGCTCGTCATGATGAATTTTGAATACAAAAAATAGAGTGAAAATGTATTTAGAGCTTAAAATTGAACTGGAGTTTTTTAAAGTCCTGGCCACACGAAGTGGATGATTCGAATGAGCAGTGAAATAAATAAAAGTTGAAGTTTTATGTTGTGAAGTTGAGTATGTGATTGTTACACAATGAAGGCTCGTGACATTGATACTGACGTCCGTGGTGTGTAATCGTTATCAATTAGTGCCAATTGAACCAGGATTAAAACTTTTATTCGGGAGAGAGATGTACAAAAGAGGAGATGGAACGACAAACAACAACAACGGCAAATAAGTCTATCATATGTACATACATACGTATCTATGTATAAAACGAGACTTCGTCTGGTCAGGCCCTACAAATGTAAGTACTTATATATTTAAATATAAATAACATATCTATGTACATACATACATATATAAGTTTGGGTTTGTGAGGAAAAATGGCAAATTGTGTGGAACAATTGCATGTGCTGCTGCTGGAGTATTAAAAAATACAAACGTAGCATGATGTATGTAAAAATGTGTGTAAAGGATTCAAACAAACTGATTCTGGTTGAGCATATGTACGTATGTACACTTGCAATTTACCAGAGTTTACTGGGCAGAATTGAATCCCAAAATATTATCTACTGACACCACAAAATGCTGAATGATTACATGAAGAGTTTATGTAATTATTTGTCATTTGTAGGTTTCGTGTAGACGCGAAAATGCTCGAGCACTTCATAAACCAGAATTTGTTATGGAAAAAATATTGCGTTTAACATGTATCTAAAGTGTACATATGTAAGTATGCAGATAATCCAGCTTTACTGCAAATGTGCTGGTATTTTTTACTGAACAAGGGAAGGACCGATGGTTATACATAGCTTGATAATTACGATCAACGACATACATAAGTAATAACTACATACAACATACGTATTTAAATTGGGTTAGATGGCTTGTAAATTTCTAAACCAAGTTAATTTACGTAAAGGTAAAGTTCAAGCGAAATTTTTATTTGGTCAATTTGTACAAAATTCAATATTTTAATGCCACATATGTACAGAGGGGTGGGACAGAAGAAGGAGCCACTTTGCCTAAATTTATTCCGGCCTTATTATTCGTTTGTGAAGTTTGGTAATTGGTTCAGTGTGAAGCCCTTTAGTTTATCTAACGAGCCTCAGTCGCTTTTTCCAACCAGTCATGACCTTTGACACAATTTTCAGAGTGATTCTGCACCACTCGTCCTGAACACTTTTCCAAAGTGCATCAAAACGCACGCGTTTTCCTTTCAAGAAGGCTCTGTTTTAAGTACTCGAATCCAAAAAAAAACATCGGATTGATATCAGAGGAACTAACGAGAGTTTCTATAGTAGGAATAATTGTTATACCCAAACTTTTTTTAAAATCCTTCGTGTAGGCTGATATTTTGTGAGAAATAAGTTGGGATGAGAGCATGATCTCGGGATTTCCTACGAGTCACTTGCTGTAGGTCATTGTGAATGACTCTAGAAATGTTCTCCTACTAACGTTTAACATTTTCGCCATGCAACTTTTAGTTGGTGGATTTACTGTTTTGGCGAAAAATTGATTTTCCGGATAAACTTTTTGGTTCAAGCGGATCTTGGGTATCCTTTCCGTGGGGGTGGAGCTCTAACCGCTTTTTCCCTCCGCTTGATTCCAACGGTTTTAAGTACATTAGAAACGTACTTTCGATCGACGATAAATCCATTTGCAGCAAATTTTCTAACAATCGCTCTCTGGCTCAGTATGTCTTTGGAAAACACTTTTATGCGTGCCTCGCACTCTGGGGGGTGCTGCAGGGGCATTTTTAACCGTAGGGAAAATCTGAATAGTGCTAAATTTTCGTTAACTATCTGGGTATGACATATGCAAATTTTGAAAATGCCGCGACTGTGCATCACACGCCACCCCTAAAATTCAAGTGGCTCCTTCTTCTGTCCCACCCCTGTAGAATCTTTATGTCCTGACTTTCATCCTTACCAAATATTGAACTTTCTTTATCAATCTGAATCTTTAAAACATGTAATTCCCTCCCAGTATATACTGAAGCATATGCTTCATACTTATCCCATCCTGATACAAACGAAGTCGTGTATAGCATTGGCAAAATAAATAACATTAATTTTATTTATTTTTCCAAACATAACCACCTTTACCTTTAACATGAAATCTTATGAAACTCTGTAATCATAAACCCACTTACATATTTAACCTTTTCCTTCGTAAGACAATTCTCAAAAATATCCCATTGCTGCGGAATAGCAACGCCTCGCAACCACAGCTTGGCGTAGCAATTTTTTAATTACCAAAGCTATATCACGGAGCAAATGTAAATTTTAGTGATATGTTCCATGGATATAGTTCCAAAATTATTCAACTTTCCGTGGAGGCATTTCATTTCAAAAATGACGTAATCATGGAGACATTTTAGCCCGGCCCAGGACTTATGTACCCGTGTTGTCCATCCGTCCGTCTTGCGTCTTGACCTTCGTAAAACCTATTCTATCAACTTGAAATTTTGGAAAATTAAAAATGACAAAGTGATAGTAAAAATTTAAAGTCGATAGGATAGATTTACGAGAGTTATTTATAACCAGACAGGCAGAGACACACCGGACAGAACAGGTACATGCATACATACATAGCCCCTAACTCGGACTAAAAATCGAATTTTTTTTCAACATGCGCAAATCCATGGAAAAAAATATTTTTTCAATGAGAGGAAATATCCTTCACTACGCAATAAGTCAATGATCAGAGGAAAGGATATTTCCTTCTTTCCGTATCTATGCCGAATTTTGAGACAACGGATAAATCCGTTGCTCCGTCGCAACGCCTTAGAAATTAGGATGGAAATATCCTCTGTTCCGTCACAACGCAAAGTTTATGACGACGGATATTTCCATTGTTCCGCAGCAACGTTCGAAATTCGGCGACGGATATATCCATCGTTACGAAGGAAAGGGTTAATAATCCCTAAATGTTTGTTCACGTGTATGCTTCAATGACGCCACAAGACAATGGTTATTACTTAAATCGATTTAAAAAAGGACATACATAGGTTCATCATAAGAAAGTTCAGTATGCATAAACTAATCCTAACTTATAGCATATCGATATATATATGTAAAATATATATATTCCCATAAAAACGTACCCTGAAAATTTCCGAAAATGTATAATTCCGATTTATTACCACTACTGAAGGTTCAACTTAAAGCGTGCAACTATCTTCAGTGCGTAGTCGTCAAGTTTGATGCACAATCTGAGTTCCTAGTAAAAATTAATACTTCACTATACATTCGGATGTTTAGGTTTCAAAGCATTCTTTCGATCATGTACTGCTGCGCGATGTCTTTTAATCTCTTATTCGGCCCGGTCTCATTTTCGAGTAAATTGCAAGGCAGCATATTCTTCATTGGAGGGATGTTGCTACTTGTTTCTCGATGGAACTACAGTCTGAAGAATGAATCAATTCAAGTCATCAACTCATTTCTGTACATTGAAATTCCCTTAAAGGTTAGTCTTAGGAAAATTAGTTCATAAATTTTGTTGAAAATTATATTTAGGCACTTAAAGAAGTCCTTGGTAGCTTTGTAAGGTGTATAAAATTCGTAAACTTACATAAAAACTTTTACAAATATGCATTTATTTCTAAGCACAATTATCTTATATGTAGATTTTTGTAAACTGTAATTTTTGTAAAGAGCGTCTTTGAATTTTGTAAAAGCTTGCAAAATTGTTTGAGAAAATTTATGAATTTTACAAAGTTACCAAGGACTGCGTGAATTGCTTCATAAAAATAATAAACTTTTGACAGAATCTCTCCTTACAATGTCATCATGTCTGGTTGAAGAATTCCATAAGATGCTCATTATGCTTTGGGAATTTTCCTCCATGCTTTTTCCGTTCCTTGTGCTTGGAATGCTGGCATATTCTCCTTGCAGTCCACCTTTTATCATGTCAATGTTCCCGAACTGTATGGAAATCCAGCGTTCCGAAACACTCCAATCTTTTGGATTGTGGACCCAGGTTGGGATTCAAGGATTCCAAGTGTGGCTGTGGTTTCATAACACGTATGCAGGAACATTCTGGCTCTCCTTCATCGTCCAGGCAGGAATTGCATGTCTACTCTCGTACCTGCGGGTGCTGGCAAGGTTGGTTAAATATTTTTAGAAATCTGCATTATAAGCCGGAAGAAATTCTGAAAAGTTTCGCGTAATTTCATCGAGATTCGGATATGCACGAAAATTTTGCAGTAAATTGCAAACTAATAATGGTTACAAAATACAAATTTCATGAGGAAATTCACCTAGTGTTTGGTAACATTGTAAAATCCATGAATTTTGCAAACTTAAAAAATTTCACAAAATTTCGCAAACTAAATTCTAATACAAATTAGCTTAAAATTCTTTGTAAGCTTACTCATAGTCAGATCAAGGGTGTCTTAATGTTTTATAAAAATTTGTAAAATTATTTTACAAACTTTACGGATTTTCCAAGTTACCAATGACTGCATGAATTGCCTAATATTTATATAAACATCTTTATTTAATTCTGGCAGAGACATTTGCAAAACTCAAACGGAACGTGGAATGGAAAATCGTTTAAAATCGTATCGATCATTTCAAGTCTTGGAAAAAATGTTCAACGCATTCCTCAAGGCCCGTATCCTACCAGCTCTTCTAATTGGCACCATCAGCATGAACATCCTTTCAGTATTCGTGTGTATCAGCCTTCATGGTGAAATCGAAATTTCAGGGTTACTTCTGTTCCTAGCGCTTGGATTTAACGCAGCTCTCGTTAACATCATAACGTATACCTTGGCGTCAACTGTGAATACACGATCTACTCAAATCTTGAGGTCTTTCAGAACTAAAATGGTGGGAATGAGACGCAAGTCCGAACTCAGAAGACAGATCGCATCATGTTCCGTTCTTGGGGTTCAATTTGGCTCAAATTTCATTGACCGAGGAACACCGCTAGTAATTCAGGACTTTTGTCTTAATCCAATCGTATCCTTGTCTCTTCTCGTGGTTAATTAGGCGGCAGTACCAAAAGGTTGGTTTTTCGTGGTTCGTGGTTTGAGAGCCTACGGTGATGATCCTGCATATGCTTAAATAGACAGTTACTTAATTACTAATCAATAATTAATATACCGGACAAAACGTACATATGCATTAATATAAAGCTTAAGCGTTTAATTTTGCTGCAAAATTACATAGAAAGAATAATTATGCATACATATGGTAAAAGCCAATTAAATGTGTCAACATCTGTTAACACATTCGTACATCAATTAAATTGCAGCAGCATGAACTAGTTTTCTTGTTCGACATGCCTTTAAAATTCATTACAATCAACCTATTTAATTGATCCAGATATGAAAATACCGCAATATCCGGGGGGTTTCAAAACTGTTTAAATTTATTGTAAGCTGAAAGCAATTTAACAATAAAATCTAATTATGCATTCATTAGCAGTCTCTCAAACTATCCGAAATGTATTTAATTGCAATGATGTTATTTATTATTTGCTGAAACATTTTTTGCCGAAATCTTATCAGTACATTATCAATTTTGTTAATCCATATGGCTCGAAATCCAGTCCTGGTAATATGCAATTTTTGTATAAACTCCCGGGTAGTTCGGATCCGCGCATCCCTCGCCTTTTTTCATAAATATTAATATCATCAGATGCATAGATACATATTTTCAGAAATTTTCCCATGCAAGTATTTCTCACTCACCGTACGAAACCACACCCACCACAGTTTTATCACTCGAGCTGACTCCCTGATGCAACGGACCGCCTGAATCCCCTTGGCACGTATCCTTGCCACCTTCTCCAGCACAAATCTCACTTTCCCTTAAAAATGGGTACGGCTTGTTTCGGTAAGCCCTCTCGCATTTGGAGTCTGGTTGAAGGGGGACGGTGACCTTGAGCAGGGTGTCACTAGCTTGACCTCCTGACCTTGTCCGACCCCACCCGCAAGCGAGCAACTTCTTGGCAGCCTGAGTTCCTTGTGTGGCAATCTTACCGGGTTGCACACAGCTGGAAAATGTCAACGGAGACGCTAACTTGAACAGGGCGATGTCATTCTTGTAGCTGACGCTGAAATTTTGGAATTAATTTTCAACAACGATTATTTCTTAGTTTTTGGTGAATTATGAATTTTCTAAATTAATTACTCATCGAATTCCTCGTGGGCAATGACATCTGACACTTCGACAGTTTGTTCCGTCCCGTCATCCGCACTTTGGATGTATTCGCCAGCAGTGACGGTGTAAGCGCCGGCCGAAAGGCTGGAACAATGGGCCTGCGACGATGTTGTAATTTAATGAACAAAATTAAACAGCTTAAACGAAATTATTGTTCGAAATACCGCGGTGAGAATCCAGTTTTCGTTGATAATCGTTCCGGCGCAGTATTGTCGATCGTTCGCCTTGATTAAAACGAGCCATGGAAATTCACCCTTTTTCGCCTTAGTGCCACCAACAATCAACTGGTCGATAGGACCGGGAGCTAATGAAGGATACAATTTTGAAGTTGAAATTTTGTGAACAAATTTGTTTGGAATTTGCAAAAATGCAAATTAATATTTACCTGGGTTTGCTGATGATAGCATTACGAGGCCCGAACAGGCAAATAAAACGGCTAAAATCATTTTTGTCTCGTTTTGGTGGGGGAAATGATCTAAGAGTCGATACAAGAATGAGGCAAGTGTATGCAGAATAGTGGTATTTAAGGAATTTATAATTTGCCGTAAGAATGACAATAGATAATGAATGGATTATATTTAAGTACCGGTAATAGTTGTATGAAAATATAATTAATGCTGTATTGCTGTCACAAGATAAGTAAGTAAAGAAAAATATTTATGTTAGCGATAATCGTTGTTTTAACATCTGCATTAATTATTTTGATGCATTTTTCGGAAAAAATGTGTTTAGTGGCTTAATTTATGGTCCACGTGCCTTAATTAGACATTAATTACGGAGAATATGTATTTCAAACCTAATTACGTTTGTTCTTCGTGATGCTGTTCTTATGTAGGTGAAGGTTTCACGTCATGAAAGACAAGTAGATATGTGAAGTATGTACATACGTATTGTTCGCCTGCCTACAAATTCGAAGCTTGCATATTAAATAATTACTAATCACAATACATATACATATAGGTAAGTACATTTGTACATTACATATCACCGTTTTTAGTATTTGTGCCAAATTGGGTGTGGTTAGACCACAGCGGACTGTGTCGAAGTTTTATTTACAATCTAAAAAAAACTTAATCAAAATTTTAAATCGTTTCATTTTGTATGGTCCGTCATATTGCTAAGCAGGGATGAAGGAAAATCGTCACACTATGCAATGCAATAAGTATAGACAAATACAATTATTCAACGGTTGAATGAATTATTTATTATTGAATTTCATCCCAAATTAATTTCTCTGAGCAGTATTTTCTCAATTTATTGCTTTATTTAGTGAAAATAAAATTTAAGGTAACTCGTTTTATTATTTTTATCCAAAACACTGAGTAAACCCCGAATAACAAACTAAAAGCTTTCTTGAGTAAAACCGGAGTTTTTCTTATCTCTGCCAGTAGATAATCGTAAGTTACGTTCGTGATAGTGCAAGCCAGGCAATTTGTTTTCACATTCGCACAACACTCTAAACCACACGAATCCAAAAATTTTCCAAAAAGTTTGGAACGAAGCTCAAACGCCCATGCCATTCTCCATACACCAAAGCGTCACTACAACCCGGACACGATTCTCGACCACATTCTCTTCCCACACGTAACATCCCATTCAGAGAGGTTGTTTCTGAATCATTCGCAATCGTGAAATCTTCACTTCTCTCTTTCGCCACTTGACTACGTACTTTAAAGCCCCATGAAGAATTAGAGCCCACCCACCCACTCCTATCAATTGCCATGCTTATCCATACCTTCTTCAACTTTGGCATGCACGTCGGCAGTCGTACAAGTTTAATGTCATGCGTTGAGTTTAAATCGATTTCCAAGTTTTCCAGACTTTGTCGCTGATTTTGGAAGAAGAATAGCAATGCGTCCTCTCTGGCGTGGATTGGACCTCAGTCCCTCTCGTGACTAGTTTGAACGAGCGTAGCTGACCTTTTGGCAAGGTCATGAATTGGGTGAGAAAGTCGTGGAAATTCAAAATTTTCACGTTATAATCGAGCTCGTTTTGAATCGTAATTTTCTTCAGATTTTTAAAAGAGGCGAATTCTGAGAGAGGAAGTTTTGCATAATTTTGCATAACGAGCTCCTCAATTCCATTCGCAGCTTGGAGGAGTTGGGCGAGAGATTTAGAATCTGACATATTTTTCAGGTCTCCTCGTGCGTGCTCAGTAAAATCGATCGTTAACTTTTTCAGTTTGGGAAACATTAGGTCTTCTGGGAATCCCGATTTGGTTTCGTCATTAATCCACAGCATGTTAACCTGAATGAAGATTTCTTCCAGAGAGGGGCAAAATTTGGAGAGGAGGATGGAAATCGGGGTCAAATAATCTATATTCATGGTGAGCATTCTGAGCGGATGGAAATCTGGTTGATTTATAAATGCGGAGAAATCTTGGTTGAATTTTATCATTGCTTTGTCCCGGTCGTCGCTATCTCGCGTCTCGCAACTGGATTCCTGTGGCCAGATATCGATATTCATGGCGTCAAATTTTAGCTCCATCATGCGGTGCGTTTTCCAATTAAATCTGTTCGTCATGTAGTTTGGGTTGATGATCAGGTGGTCAGCAATTACGGTGAATTTTGCGACATAATTTTTCTGTAGTACGAGTCGAGCCGAGTCGTTCCATGCTTGGGAGATGAGGCGACAGTTGATAAGGTCTGCTTGGTTCCAGGGAGCACTTGGGTCTGGGTTGGCGAGGTGCTCGAATATTTTTGTGAGTATGACGTGGTTCTCAAAAACGAGGTGACCAAATAATGATGTGTCACAATGTTGAGACTCGGTAACGGATTTGTCCAAGTTACTTGGTTTCTTAATTAGTGGTAGCTTTCCTTCGGGGACACATGTCAGTTTCTGCATGGAAATCTATATTAATTGAATTCTCCAATTGTTAAATATCTGTATTTAGCTTGTGTCTCACGTCAAATTTTAATACGGCGTATTCTTCACCCGATTTGTTTTTGCGATACAGCCTCCTTCCATCTCCAGTTTTGGCTAGGTGAACTAATACTGAATCCCACAATTGTGAAAAAATATGCGAAAAGTGAAATATGTCATATTTTAACTTTACCGGAGAATCTGGAATTAATTTCCCGTTCAGTAAAGTCTTTGCAGATCCCTGTAAAAAATTTTTATCCGGTGATGCAGATAATGTCTTAATGCATTTAATACAGGTAATTAAAATTAGCTTTAAGCTCACCAAACTATGCAGCCAAAAGGTACCATTTGCATCACATTCGATTTTGCAGTGCTCAACGGCTAAATCCGCTTTGTTCGGAAATATCAGAAACTGTCAATATTTCTCTGGATGCCAGTCCCCCAAATCTTTCCTGGATCCAATTGTGTACTAAGTACAAAGTTATTTACGTATAAAATATTCGCTTCGTTTGATAAGCGTTTTCCACATTTATTGCACCACACTGCAAGAAATTCAAGAAATGCAAAAAATAGGTGCCACCTGTCGGCTTACACTTCTCTACTATCCTTAATTATAGAGATTGTCCGCTAGATGGAGCTTATTCCTTGCATTCTGGTACTCATACAAAAAATTATGCATGTCAAAAACTAATTTCTTACGGGTAATTTTTTTTCATGGGAAACAGCAATAATGGGACAACAAAATCAATGCAAACTTGTCTAACCTTTCCACCAGGATTATTAAGAAGTATGGCTTCTCGCGTCCAGCTAGGCTGAGTGAGGTCAGAGTTTATCCGTACGCAGACACATTGACCGTCGCCACACCCACGGCTGAGAGAAGTCCTCATCCTCGTCAAAATGAACAGGGCCCCGTCTTCACAGGTCGAACTTTTTGATGGGATGGATTTTTCCTCCATCTCGACGTAGAATTAATTAAGAGGCGATGTTTTTAAAGGAAAGATTTACATTACTGACAAACGTAGTTAAAACGTAGTTGCTTTATATTTTCACGTCTGCTTTAAGCTAATGTAAGAAAGTTGAGCTATCTAAATCGATGTTATCTCGATGAAATCGATACCTAATTAATGCAAATGCCGATGAATAGGCGAAAGTAAGTTGCTAATATGAAACAAGACTTGTTTGCGGAATTCGTATTATCTCGTCAGACATGGAAGGACCAAGAGAAAGTTCCTGGAGACGGAGAAAGTTTGTCTACCCGGAGCACAGTGTTAAGCTCGTTTGTATTAGATACGTGCATATCTATCTTACACAATGTGCATACATATGTAGACTATGCTCATACAACTTTTGCCAAATCGAAATAATTCGCAAGTTCTTCTTTTGTAAAAGACAATGTGACTACATAAAATGTTTTCTATGAGAAAAATCATAAAGCTTAACAAATTTTTTGGAAGTAATCAAACTCCTGAAAAATTTGTATTTAGCTTTCAAATTTCATCAATGACCACCTCGTTCAATGACTACATCGTATCAATGCACATACATATGCTACGTGTCAGTATTTGCCATAAAAAACCTGCATGCAATTACTACATAAATTTTGTGTGTTTTTAATGTTCGAATTTCGAACATTAAATTTTGGTTCAATTCGTCAAGTTCCGACCCGTGTTCGTCCAAAAGGTTCCCACCCATTCACCCATAATTAAATAAAATTGTGAGAATTTTAATTATACATATTACGCATTTGCAAACTAAGTGTTTTGATTCACGATGACGATGACGATAATTATTTACATATTCAGCAAATATTGCGAGCATTGCATTTTTTGCAAATTTAATAGTTACATGTGTGGAATGCTACAAGATCAAAAATAAAAATTCACATTATCATATGCACATCATTATACTGCATGCATTACTACGACTTGCAAACTATAACAGTTTTTACTTCTTTGGTGGTTGAAGAATTTGCATAATCGCAAATTTTATAGGAGTTTCTTATGTACCTAGTCTTATCTTAAAAAGTGATAGTAGAGTAGACGACCATCGTTCCCTGGTTTTAAGGAATTTCAAATTTCTGTCTATTCCACTGAAAAGCCAGTTAAATTTCACGTAGAAACATGTATTAGACTTGAAAATATATTCCTCCTGTGACCATGAAAAATTGGTCACGAGACAAGAAAGCTCTATCAAAAATACGCACGAAATTAATTGAAAAAGTGTATCATTCCCGGGTCAGAAATTTTTTTGCGACCCTGACACTTATATGTAGCTCAGAACAGACCTTTTCCCCGACTTTAATCAATATTTGGTGGTAATATCGATTTTGGTTCGAATATGCCAGGTTAAACCTAAAATGGAAATGAAGTCAGAAATATAGATTTCAACCCAGTTTTTCACGAATTTCGAGGTATTTATTTCTGTACAGCCCTGCGCTAAGGTCGGCGGCTTTACACCCTATATAGACTGGTTGAGGGGGTGTTCCATCTTCATTATGACGTTAATCAAATATTTTTTTAAACTATCTCCTTTCCATAATCGAGGAAATTGGGCGGGTTTTGCCCAATTTCGCCGATTCCCGCCAAAACCATGAATGCAGCCCGATAAGATAACATTCGACCTCCATTTCGTAATCAACTAACCCTAAGAATATTTAACATATATTCTGCTTCTTTTTTTGTGGGAATATGGTTCCGTCTTAAAGAAACTCCCATCGGTAAAAAGGTTATTTTGTTTGTTTTTTTACCGTTCCGCTGGGAGAGGGACGTCGATTTATTGACCTTAGCTTATGTCTGGGAAATCTGTAGCGCGTGACGCTTTCTACTCTGGAAGGCCTCCATCTTAGGATCATTTTTCAGTGCTCATCTGATTTCTAAAGTTGAAAGGTCATTTGTATGGCCCAAGTCTTCGGCGTCAGACAGAGATTTTGTGCTATTCTGGCGTTCAAAGCTTCGGACATCACTGTAGTCCTCCTTGACCTTGGACCACCGGAACTTTTATGTCATAAATAGTCACTGTCCCTAGGGTTAATTTAATAGGTTGGGCAACCAGATCGTAGCTGCCCTTGAATTTCTACCCTATATCTAACATTGTGAATTTTTTGCCTCGCGTAAAAAGTGAAAAATTATTGTCGCGCGCGCGTGCTAAAGCTCCTCTAGCTTTTGATCTAGTGAAGTCAGGTAAAGGAGGTTAACAGCAATGATAGTCACTGAATGTATATACAAACTACAACTTACTTTTTAATTTTATGTTGATTGGTTAAAAAACTACGCTCTACTATCACTTCTTATGGTTAGACTAGGTACAGTCGCTTATACGCATACACACATAACACTGTTCATTTAATTTTAATGCACATAAAACATGGTCATTTTAAAAATCCTGCTAGTTTTAACTCGAATTATTAAGAATTCTGTATTAATTGTGACACTCCCCTCTCCTTTTAATATTAAAAAAATGATTTGCGAGGATTTAGTGCAGTGCGAGGAATGTGCAAAAAACTGCCTTTGGACTCTGAGTGGGACGGGAAAGACCCAGTGTTTTTCTAAAAAATCATCCTTGAATGGAGAATATTTATATATTATCTTTCCAGGACAGGATGCATTTTGCCCAGAAATTACTTCCCCTGTTATCCAAGAGACTGGCACCGATTGGACAGGAATTGACTTAATTGGTAAGAGAGATAGGGGAAAAGTGAAAGTAAAAGTTTCCCTCATTTTTTTCCATTTTCAGGTATCGGAATGATGCTTTTTGGCGTTATTCTCGGAATCTTGTGTGGGAATGGTGCAGCCAAAATGAGAATGCGGGCACTTTGGGGAGTCATTGTGGAACGGTCCCAAGGGATGCGGAATTGGTCAACTAATTTAAGGCCTGAGCGTCTTTTACACTGGAAACGGACCGAGAATGCAGAGATTTGCATAGTCGTCTTCTCTGACAAAAACGCATCCCCTTCTTCCGCTACCACCCCCTGGCTAAATCCACCCCACCCACACATCGAGGTTGAAGTGCATGGACCAACCCCACTGCGCCAAACCACACCCAGGTCCGCGGAAGAGCTGACCCCACCTATCCTACTTTACCCTTCTAAGCCAATTGCAAGGGAAAGTCAATCCGGTGGGTTTAATATTATTATTATTATTCTTATTAAGATGACAAACAGGAAAATAATTTTAGGTCAAACTCCAATGTCTCATCTTGAGAGATCACTATGCGATCAAAAAATCGCAAAACTTTTCCAGCCAATTTTCCCCAAGAACGGTCGTCATCATCATCATTGCGCATCATCATCTCCACCGGGTGGCATAGACGCCGAAAAATTATAAAGAATAAGTCAAAAAGGAATAGGCGAAATTAAAGTTAGATGAGAGCATGCAATATTATCACGAAAAAGCGAGAAAGAGAAATTCAAAGGGGAAAGAAACTTAGGATTACAACTTTTATAGTGCATGAGGTTTTTCTGCCTGGTTAGTCATAATAACTGGCAGTTAAAAAATAGTGTGCAAATTAAAAATATACTTAAAATGCTTCCAATTTGATTTAATTATACTCACTTTAATCGAATTCCTCCATTTTTTCAAGTGACACTGCAATTTAGTCCACTCGTTTTCCATATCACACCCCAATTTAATCCGTCAACATGGTGGTAAATTTTCTTAATTATAAGCATCAACCTGCAGTGTACACATGTTGTGCTGTGCGTATGCATGCATACACGTACCTACCTATATACATACATATATACACGTGCTTACGTATCTAATTTATGCATATGTATTCTGCATTTGATATTCTTATGTATACTGTCCAGTATGAATATCTTTGTTTTACTTACTTCAAATGTTCGCGCATATTAAATTTAAGAAGTGTGCATACATTTATTTAATTATCAACGGATTAAACAATTTCAGACAAATATTTGCACACGTGTCGAATAAATAAAGGGTTAATTAATCCTGCAAAATTTACGAGTTACCCTGCTCTGCCTTCAATTCAGTAATCTATGCATGAAACACATTCTCCCTTCCACGTGGTTAAATATTTGTCATTTAATTTGTGTAGATTTGCACATCTACAACACGGTAAACATATTTGCATAAAGTTTTAAATGTTTTTCTGATTTATGGCAGTGTGCTTATTTGCCAGACTTTAAAACAACATGCTAGCTTTTAAATGCATCACGTGTGACATACGAGCAAGCAAGGAAAACAAACAATTATGGTTACTTTTCGTTAGAATTTATACCCCTTAACACACATTTATGAACTTAACATTTCATCGAGTGAAACACAATTGTCGACACACTAATTTCCCCATCCAACAACTTCCCTTGGGACTTGGATAAAAACTCAACGTTTCATATATTTTTTTTAGACCAAAATGTTCACCACGGTATTTTTACCTCTGCTTCAATTTCATCTCAAACCTTGCAAATATCTTCAATGCATTCCGTTCGAGTTCAGCGAAAAATTAGGCCGTCTGGTGAAAGTCGGATCAACATGGCACCTTCTCAATTCCAAGATCCAAGCCTGTGGATTTTCTATTCTGCTGCAATGTTCCTCAACCTTTGCTACGGACATCACTCGATGGCAAAAAGACTGCAGGGTTGCGTATTTCTTATCCCTGCTCTTTTGTCAATCGTTTCACGGTGGAATTTTAAAGTGAACAATGGTCCCATACAAGTTATCAATTCGTTCTTCTACCTCGAAGAGAATTTTATGCATGGTAAGATCTCAGTTAACCTCTTGGCTACCAATTACACACATTTGTGTAACGATTTTTTATCACTTGACTACCATAAACTATTTTTCGACATGTTACTTGCCTACCAATTACACACATTTGTGTAGCAAAATTATTTTTCTTGGCTACCAAAATATTTTTTGGAAATTTTATGTTGTCCGGCATTTTAAAACTTGATAGATTTCCGTTGACTACCAGAATTTTTGAAATCCCCGATATAATTACGCACATTTGTGTAACTGGTACGCAATGGAAAACGAACTCGTGTGTAATTGGTAGCTAATGGAAATAATTTTGCTACACAAATATGTGTAATTGGTAGGCAAAGTAATATTTCGAAAAATGGATTGGTAGTCAAGTGATAAAAAATCGTTACACAAATGTGTGTAATTGGTACGCAACGGAATATTCCCGAGAAATAACTGGTAACTAGGAGGTTAACCCCAAACAACCTAAGAATTTCACTATTAGAGGTGAGTCTGGTCACGGATCAACCTGGTTAAACCCCGCCCGTAACCCGATCGGGTTTGAACGAGTTCAGAAAATTAGCTGGGTCGGGCAAGTCGGATTTTTAAAATGTTTGACCTGATTCACATCTAAATAGAAAACAGATTATTATTTATCGGCAGTTTCTTTGAAACTAATTGTATCATTGAAAACATTTTTTTCTCAAGTTAGATAAACTCTCAAAGACGAAGCCATCTCGGGCTGTAAAATATATGAAATTTTTCCTGATGCTGAGCGAAACCACAGTTGTCCTATTTCCCGTGATTCAACTCTTGCTCTTAACGTACTCTCCGTGCACACCGCCCTTCATAATGTCAATTTTTCCTAATTGTGAGGAGATAATGGAATATTCACAAGCCAAGGGATGGTCCGATATCAAGGGTTGGTTATCCATGGTGGTGCATGGCTTCGAAGTTTGGATGACGGTGCACATGGTGTATGCAGGAAATATCTGGCTTACTTATATCGTCATTACGGGAATAGTGTGCATTTTGGAATATCTGCGAATACTTGAGAGGTAGGTAAATGTCTTCTAAACTTGGAATATTTTGGCGCTGTTCAAGAATTTGAAGTCTCTTAGAAATCCGGTATTAAAAATAAAATGTATTCATAAATGACTACCAAAGTGGTATTTATATGTGCTACCGGCATTAAGGTTTTGCATATCGGTCGCAAATTTTTATGCACCGCCTTAACTTTAACACCAAGCGGTAGCAACTTTAATATCGAGAAATCAATACCTGCGTAACTATACCAGATTTCCAACAGTGTAGCTTAGAAATAGAAATATATTTGTACACATTAAAAAAAATTTCTGAATCAAATTTCTGAATCTTTGTCTGAAATATTTTCTCTCTTATGACCAGTGATAGTAGAAGAATCCAAGAAGAATCCGACATCACGCGATGCATTGCCTCGTACCAAACCTTGCAAATTTTAATGAAGATGTTCAACAAATTCCTCAAGTATGGTATCATGCCCGGTCTCATGATTTGCACTATAGCCATTCAAATCCTTGGGACTTATGTGTGCATAAATCTTCACGCCGAGATAAAAAATGCCGGGTTTCCTGATCTTTCCCCTTCTCGCGATTGACACGGGTATCGTCAACATCGCCGTGTACTCGTTGGCTTCAAATGTGTACACAAAATCTGAGAAAATTCTGCTATCTCTTGGGAACAAAATAGACCAGCGGAAGAAGGGAAAAGGACGATTAATTAATAGACAAATCTTGTCCTGCTCCGCTCTAAGAGTGGAATTCGTTTCGAATTTTTTTGACCGAGATACTGCATTGGTTATCCAGAATTTTTGCATTGATGAGATCGTATCTGTGAGTCTAATCGGAGCCAAGGGGGTAATCGAATGAATAATTGCTTTATTTTTACATTTTTTAAAATAACATAACTTTCATTAAGTAAATTTGGTATGTAAGTAAATGAAGTTAAATATCTGTACTTGTTACAGTATTTTAAATCAATTATGTTTATAGTTAGGACAAAAATACGTAAGTATACATGTGTATACATATGTTGACACAGTGATTATGCTGGCTATCAAATAACCAAATTTAATTGTATTGGTCATTCTGTAAATTAATTTTCGCTTATTAGATATGTTCATCTTCATACTTCCGCCCATCATTTTGTTAGTTTGGAGATGATATAAGTTTTTGTACATATTACTAAATATGCTTACAAACGTACTTAAGTACACATTTACCTGTATAAAAGTCGAAGAATTTGGACTAAAAATTTAAAATATGAGTCTATAAACAGGTTTTATTAGGCTATTGAAATTTTGGATGCATTTTGGGACAAACGTAGTCTTGAACATACATCAATAAATACATTTACAGTCTTAAAATCATGACCAATTGAATAATGCATTTACACCTAATAAATTTATATCCACCGCCAAATATTAGTTATCCTGGTCGTCCACGCTAATTCCGCCATTCATCAAGTATCTCGACGAATTATTTAATGCTTGCACGTATCCGTGAATGTAAGTGTCCATCGTGTTCACAAAATTTTCCATTTCTTGAAAATTGTTTAATAATTCTTCCCGCAGGAGTAAATAGTTGTCAATGTTTTTCCTAGAAATTAAAAAAAAACTTTAATATTTGGACAATGGATTTTCAAATTACATATTTTTGAAAATTTGTACTAATCACTTACTGAAGAATTCGCCATTCATCGTCAAACACACGGATGGGATCTTCTCCCCACGAAATTCGGAGCATAATCATGCCACCCGATTCACCTTTGACGATATCCTTGCGAAAGCCCAGGGTATCATTTAACCCTGCGGAAATGTCGTAGCTGAGATTGAGGTATGCCTTGACTTGTTCCGATGACATAATGGCATCCGACAATGGTCCGAAACGAGGATCATGAAGTACGTGGATTAGAGCTGGTCCCTCGGTATCCTGCAAAATAAGAAAATATCTTTAAAATATTCACAGCAGCAATTCGCGGAATCATTGGTTACTTGTTAAATCCGGAAATTTTGTAAAATAATTTTGCAAAATATTACAAAATAAAAAACATGCCTTTGATCTGAGTAAGTTTAGAAAATTTTGTAAGCTAATTTTCCTTGGAAATATTTGTAAAAGTTTGTAAAAGTTTGTATGTAAGTTTACAGAATTTGGGAATTTTACTAAGTCGTGCGTGAATATTGTCTCATAGTATTTATGAATTGAATATCAACTTTTAGCTACATAAATTGTTTAGCTTACCGCGGATCGAAAATGTCGAACAAAATCGATCGAGTACTTTGATTTGATATCGACATTAGCGTGTCGGCATAACCAATCATTCGCGGAACCTGTAGATATCATGGCACGCATAAGGCTGAAAATTAAAATTAAAATTGTAAAGGTCACATTTTTCCTTTGCACAAATTGTGCACGCATCGAAAACAAGTTTTTCTGCAACTCACTTGTACGCAACTTTCGCAATGTCTTCAGTATTTGCAAATCCTAAATTCCCGAAATTTTTTAATACGAGAACAAAGTAGGTTTTGATTAGTGGATCCAACTCGTCATCCAAAGATTCGGTCATGAAGAGATCGAACTCTACGGCTACCCGGGTTAAAGTGAGAAGTTATTAGCCAATAATTAGTCAAATTTCTATTAATAACTTACCCATTTTCATCAAAGCGAGCGACGTGGTCTTAATCTGATCAATTTTAGCCTTCGAAGGTCTGAATTCCTCCTGAAAATTTTTGCCATCCATGTCACAAAGGTCGTCCACAAGGAGATTGACCGCGGTAAGTCGGGTAACGCAGGTCATAATGGGATCCGTCACGTCGTAGTCGGGCAGTACCCAGGGAATCCCGGTCATAACCTGTTTTGCCAGCATGGCCGCATATCCGGGGGAAAGCATGGAGTTAAATCCATCGTCTAACCATGCCCCCAGTTTTGCAGCCTCTTTTGCCACTACTTCCTTCACGAGGGTGGCGGGATCTCGGAAATTTTTCGGTTTGAAGAAACGTAACGTCTTATTCTCCAGGAGGGTGCCTTCCAGGGGTTCGAGAGCCTTTGCAATATGTTTAGGCAGTTCGGAGGAAGGGGCGGGAAATTCGAAGGAAAGGTTGAGATTTATGCTTCTCATGGTGCACAAGTTATGGTAAATGTTAGATGGAGATTTGTATAGATGATGTCGTGATGAATACTATTTTACACGAGCCAATGAAAAATTGTTGGGAGAGTTTTATGCAGAATTGACAACTTAATCTGTTTTAAGTTCCTACTGAATATGGATTTATATAGAAAATGTTTACACTCTAAATAAAGCCGAGTAAGGTTTGAGTGTACATACAATTTACCCGATGGAGGTAAAATTTACTTAAGGTTGAGGGAATATCCTATAACTTTAGATAAATCTTACCTGGAATAAAATTGTAATCAAGTTTATTTAGAGTGTACCTGCAAAATTACTTGTGTGTAACATGGCGCAGAGTGTTAATCGACACATCTACATTTTATTTACTTCGAAAATCCCGAACCATTTCGAAGTACCTGAAGTGATCAAATGGCAACGTAATAAGTTATTCATTTGTTATACATACAAAGGCTACAGATCCAAATAGCGCTGTTTTGCATATGTAGGTATAGGTACATACGTACCTAAGCCTTAGAGGTACGTACAGTATGTCCATTAAAGCGAGGCACCTCATAAAAATCTCATTATCCCCACATACACTTTTCACACGTTATTATAAAGTCTACATATGAATTTTTCTCGCGGAAGCGTCATAATACATATGTAAATGAGGTGACTAGCTGTCTCGGACGGACAATATGTACGCATCCATTTATCATCCCGGAATTCTTATGCAGTTTCTCATTGCAGACTAATGCAGACTTTATTTAACACTAAACTATCAACTTTATGGTTCTGGATTAAGTAAGTTTTTTAATTGGCTGTTTCGCTGCAATTAAAATTGGAGACTTATCATATACTTAGGTTGTTGGGAACGAAAGGGTTTTCCATTTTCGAGTCGGGTACTTTAGCATTCTGTGTATGTACAACTACGCTTGTTTCGTGTGACAATAAGGTCAAGCTGGTGGGAATTTTCACTTGTGTACGTGTACATATGAAGAGAATATACTTGTCTGATGTCTCAAGCGAAACGACACTCAATAATATCAAACCAGTGTACTTTTGTTGTACGACTGTTGCAGCCTGAAAATGAATGAGACAAATTGCGAGACAGGAATTTCCACAGGTTTCAGGTAAATCCTGAATCGGGTTACTCAAATTTCCTATTTATATCAAGCCAATTATCATTTAAGTACCTATGTACATTCGAGGTTATTAAGTGTGTATCTACGTGCCCCGGACTTAACTAATTTACGTTATCACACTCTAACAAAATTTGTGCAAAATTTAATGAAGGTTGAGTAAAATAGTTGAGGAGAGGCAAGTAGAGGATAAATTTTGCACAACTTTATTTATTTAGAGAGCATAAAAATAGGCCAAAACTTTAATTTAGGCATGAATGCATAAGGAAAAGGGAAAATGATATGCATAATAAACCCCATTTGGACATAGCCTTATTACGTACCTACATAACTACACAACCTGATGACAATAATATATTTTGACTGTTATAATCTAGTACTTATGCACTTCTAAAAATATTTTCCTGTTCCTTATAAATATGTAATTTCCCTAAAGGAGACAATAGTCAATTAGCGTAAAATTTTGAGACAATAAATCGTTTAAAAAATTCTACCCACAATGTCTGTTTAAACTATTGAATTAGATAGTTACACAACTAAATAATAAATGCATATGAATACTGAATTTTATGTATGAAAAGAATCACGATGGATTATAAATAAAATTCTCCATGGGCAAATTTCACACGTTCAACGTTGCAAAGTTACGTTTTAGTTTCACATGATTAGTTTTTAAGTTTATTTATTAATAAATTATGACCATAACTAAATATTTAAATGTAACAATCTCATCCTACCGCAAAATATTTGTTTGTATGCGAATAATTATATATCATCACAATAATTCAGGCCATGATAAAAATCGTGAGAGTCATAATGAAACCTAAATGCACCCCGAGTCTACTCTTCCCCGCACTAACTTCGCCTTCTTCCGGACAGAATTGCATGGATTGAAATCCTTCGATTGATTTGAAATCGGATATGTCCCAGTGTTCTCTTGATTCTTGAATGTCCAGTCGAAACCTTTTCTTGTCGGCGTCACAACCTGGCTCCTCGTAAAAGTAGACGCACTGAGAATACGTCTTTATGGAGAAAGTGCCCAGGCCCCATGATTTCGGAACGATGACGCAACCACCCGTCAGATCTATTATGACGCGATTTCCTGTAAATCACGTAATTTTTTATGACTGGTAAAAGCTATTTTACCAGTAAAGAAATATTTCACTTGGATTTTGTCAATGCAGTAAAATGTGTAACTTTTGCAAAATTATCTACAAATCTTTCACGCGTACCATCCAACAATAAGTAAATTTAATCAATATTAGGAGCATTCGTTACATAAATATGTTCCAGTTATCATGCTTATTCTGCAAACAAATTTGCGAACTTGGAAATTCGCACGTTTTTCAAGACAGTTTTTTCTTTAAATTAAAAAAAAACGTTACAAATTTGCGACTTTTTGTTTAACTTTGCTAAACATGCGAAATCATCGTGAGTAAGTACCATATCTACTCTTATTTTTTTTAAATACAAGTTCCCCAGATTTTGATTTTTTTCACATTTATTTTCTACATTTTTTTAGAAACACTTACCTTGAAATCCCTTCCTGTCGAAAATCGCAATTTGTTTCGTCATTCTGTAAAACACTTCAGGCTTTTCCGTCGTCGTACTCGGCATTGGCGGCGTGGGTCTCGTGGGGATCGGAATTTGTGAATTTGATGATTCGTTTTTGACAAATCTTTGTATCTCACCATTTGTCATTTTATTGTCCCATGTAAAATTTACTTGTTCCTTTCCATACTGAAAAAATAAATTCAAGATTATGTACATAATCACGTGCATTTGCAGGTGGATTGCGTAAATATGTATCTCTTCAGCATGATACTTGTTAGTTATTCTCGTACATTTTTAAACACGACGATCATATCGGTATTGAATGGATTAATCTCCGGTGCTAAAACATCACCCCAAACATACTCGTTTGCAGAATCAGCAGCCTTATGAAATTCCATCCTAGCCTGGGATCCTTTCTGTAAAAAAAATTCGTAAAAACGGGCTATAAAGTTTGCTAAAATTTGACAAAATTTGCGAATTCATTTTCCACTTTACATATACTTTGTGCATCACAAGTTTACAGAGTTTACTAAACATATCACCACGTGAAGTAAATATGCAAGTTGCCGAGCTTATCAGGATTTCCAAAATGGGTGTTAAATTGATAAGCTTGCTAAATGCTAAATTTGAAAAATAAATTTCCAACACCGGAAATCTATGGGTCGGTGAAAGAATTCATCTCTTCCCCACCCGCCCTAGTAGATTTTCCCGACTGAGTTTGCCGAGATTGTGAACATTCTCGGCCAAAATTTCATACATACCTGAAAATATCCTATCACGGAAATCTCATTAAATTCCACGATTAATTTCGCACCCTCCATCGTCCACACTGGTCTTGCGGCAGGCTTTGTATTCTCTTCCAGCCATGTCATCATTCCACTCAAAGTTTTCAATTTCTTCGCATCCATGGTCACATTCGGTAACAGGGAGGACTCCCCGTACTTGGTCATCTTTCCATATTTAAATAGTCGCAACACATTTGAAAAATCGGTCCAGTTCTTTCCCGACAAGTTGCAATCGGAATAGTGCAAACTGTATTTTTCTAAGCTTTCATCGCTCTCGTATTCTTCGATATCAACGGTAACGAACTTCAAATCCAGTACGTCCATCATTCCATTTTCTTTCGCCAGGTCAGCAACGAATTCGAAAATCTCGGGAACTTTACAATCGTAATGATCTAGAAGGTAAAGAAAATTCAAAATTTGAAGTATTTAAATAATTGGGATAATTATGTTGTATAAATACGTGCACGCAGTACAAGATTACAGTGAATACCGTAAAAATGTAAAATACAGAAATATGTAAGTGAAAAATGTCTACAGGTTTGAAGAAAATTGCCTGATACATACTTTTAATCTTACGCAGATCAAGGGTTTCATTCAAATTTGCAAAAGTTTATAAAATTTTACAAAACCTAGGATTGGGTGTACTCACGTCAACGTTCAACGTTTGATATCAGGTTTAAACTTATTTAATATATCTGAAGTTTGCGAGAAAAACCTTTCGAAATAAAAACATTGTAAATTTTCGAACAAAGCCCCATAGTTTTCCAGCTTTGCTAAATTTCGCAAAATTTTCAGTACAAGTGTATAGGAGTATGCTTAATTTGCGAGCTACGAGAGTTGTCATTAAGGTTGTCATGAGTAGTCATCCACTGTCACCAATACTACAGCGAACTACTGTATTATACAATACTTATTATAAGAAAATGTGTTTAATTAATTACAGAACATGACGAAAACTTGCATCGTTGTGTCAATCGTTTCCTGCAGTTTGTCAAGTTTCACGGAAATTACAGGATTCCTGGTTGAGTTGACGTTAGCTCGGACGAACATTGTGACCCGGTTTTCACTCAGATTTTCGTCCAATTCCAATTTTATTGTTCCAAACTATGTCCACAAAGATTTTTATATCATAAATTCCTATTGATTTTTATGACAAATAAATAGATCCATACCTGCTGATTAATGACGACGGTATCTCGTTCAAATTTCCTGACAAGATCTTGATTTCTTACTTCGGCGAAATTGTAATATTTCAACCTGTTAGCGGCACGATAAAAGTTGTTGCGCAGTCCGGTCCCCGTATATTCCTACATTTACAAGGCCATTATTATGTAAATTATTTGCCAAATTACCCAAAAAATTAACCCACCTTAAAATATCCCAAAATGCTGAACTCATTCTGTGCTTCATACATTTTTACTTCTGCATCCGACGTGGCCACATCCACTCTGGATTTTGTTGTATGTTTCTCCAAAAATTCAAACATTGCTTTCGTCGTGAGTTCATCCTTGACTAATTTCCCCTGCCTCCCGAGCCTGATGGGGACGCCGAATTTGAAGAGTTCGAAATATGGTGGGCCTGTGCATCCATCCGGTTTTTGACGAAGGCTAAATAAGTGAAATTTTAGTTTTTACAAAAATTACAACCTATTTTAAATTATGGGGGTTTCATGACTTTCGTAACTGTGGATTACAAATATAAAAATACAAAAATATTCACGAATTTAAAAATACTTTCGTAAATAATACTTCCGTAGATGATTTTAAGAAAAATCTCAAATTGCCTTTACCCAATACAAGTGGTAACTACGGTGCTCGAAATATCCGGACTTTTCATTCTTACGAAATTAACGAAAGAAAATAAGGACGCATCAACCTTGCGTATATGCATTTACGAAACTTCATATACATATAAGCATGAAATTTTCGAAAATGTCTTAAATTAACGCTATTTACGACGTTTATACTGTACCACAGCTATGAAGACATGAAACCTTTTTACGTATGTATTGCATACAGTCCGGTTTCGTAATTGTCCACTTTTCGCAAATTGACCCGCGCAAATCTAATGTCGTACGCAACCGTTAGATTTGTTTCTTCCGCGATTTGCTCCGCAATTTCAAACTCTCCTAAACCTGGCTGTTTCGAACAGCTCGGGTGATCTGAGAAAAATCAAATGCATGCAAATTAAATATTCTAGTTTCAAATAATAATAAAACTCACAGTACGCGACAAAGACGAATAAATAGTTGGGCACCAGATCACCCAATCCTTTCTCGGAGACGAGGAAAACTCTGCTAAATGCAACCTTGACCGCGACCAGAAAGATTAAAATTGTGCACAATTGATGCCGCCACATATTTCTAACTTGTTACAGTATTCTGTATTAATCTGCTTATTACATTTATTTGCAAGGGTGGTGGTTTTACTAGTGACCAGAACATAGCTAAGATCCATGCAGTTGTTTAAGTACTGTGGTTGTAGTCTCGTGAATGAGTTTGCAGCTGGGAGAAAGTTGCATTGTTTTGCTGCCCGGCTCCAGGATGTCGGGAAGGCGTAACTTTAGCAACAGATACATATGTACATACGTATGTGACAGTACATAGTTGTTACCCGCTTGCTAAATGAGGTGATGTTAAAACGGAGAAAGTTTTATATCGGAATCGACATAATACCCGGGTTTTTGAGCAAGGAGCAATTATTTAGCCCAACTTTCTCCATAGACGACCACACTGAGGAGGAAAGTTTCACTACTTGCCAATAGCAGATTTCCATGGCCCATTAAATATGTTGAATGAATTTATGTATGTTGTATTTATTTGTATGCATGTATTTAAATTTTGAATATATATACATTTGAATGCATCCGTACTGAAAGCCTGAAGTGGTTTGACTCCATGGTCATATTTACGCAAACCATACCTCTTTAAGTGGATGTGGTGGGCGTAAACGTGGTCATGTAGTCAAACCACTTAAGGTTGCGTATGCAATTATACCACAATTATGCACACACGTATACCACAGACAATTCTAGATTTTGTAGTACCATAAATTAATTTAAGTTGCATTTATCTCAAAAAGTTAATGGTGAATGAAACTATATGTGAGATTTGTATGAATAATTTTTCAAAACTAAAATTATAATGCGTACAAATTAATTATTTATAATGAATAATATGAATTTATATATATGTAAGTAAACAATTCAAAATTTAATTCCAAACAAAAAAAGCCGAGAAGGCATATAAGTTTAGAAATTCAACATTTTTATAAATTATTCCATTTCTAAATAAATATCAACAATAACCTAACAATCCAGCCACAAAAAGACAAAAAAATGGTAACAAAATCAATCCTTTCCAATTGATGAAAAACTTGTAAAAAAAATTATTGCGCGTTTGAAACATAAAAATTATACAATAAATAAATAATTTTAAAAAAATCATGGAGTCGACTCCGTCCATAAAAATTCGTGTCGGTAAATAATCAATCAACCCATTTCCGTTAATTTAATTTGAAGAAACTTGCTCAGTCGGATTCTCAGATGATTCTCGAGCCTTGTTGATCCAGGGGTTGAGAACATTCGGGAACATTCTTGCAATTTTCCCTACTCTGGCAAAAATCTGACCGGATTCCAAAGTTGCTTCAGCCGGTAGGTCGAGATGTCGCAAAGTTTTGCAAACTTGAAACCCTGCATCGCCATCTACTCCATGTCCGAGGGGAAAAAATATATCCAAAAGATCAAGCTCATTCTTTTCGTTGGCATCCACAACAATACCAGGATCGTCCTCTCCTAACTCCAAGGTTTGAAGTGAAGGAAAATGCTTGGAGTACGAGATGACATCATCCCCGTCGAATGACAACTTAATTTTAAACGTTTCATCTTCATGGCACCAAAAATCCATCCACATGTGAAGTTCTTTGAGCGAAGGAAAAATTGGCAGATTAAGGACCGTATTACTGTTTACCCAATTTCCGAGCGTAATCTCTAATGAGGTCAAAGTCTGGGAATGTTTCCGAAGAAGTCGTCCAAATTCGAGGTATTGTGCTGATTCCACATATTCAAATCTCCCAAGAGTCATTTTTCTTAGGGGTTTCTTTAATTTATTGAGAAAATTTAGCCCTTTAAGAGTAAGGGTTTCTTTAATGGTAATTTCCTCCAAGTTCCAAAATGGTTGAGCCAGGTCATAAAATGTTCCCAAAAGTGGGGAGCAGGGGCAGTCCAGAATGAGCACGCGTACTCCTTTGACGGCGGAAATCAGTGGGGTCAACAAGGGGGTCAGGGAAGAATAATCCTCACTGTGATCACCGCGATAGTCCCCATCGTCCATCGAGAAGGCGATCGTTTTCAAGTTGGTGAATTTAATACTGGACGGAAATTTATACCGTCTTCCAGATGTCTTAACCGTACGCCAGGTCCAGCCCAACTCGAAATACTGAATAGTTTGGGTTGGACACCTTCGCAAAATTTTGACTTGCGTTTTATAGTCAAATTTAGACGCAATAGTTCCTCCAAGTTGTAACGTTGTGACGTTGTGCGTCCTCAATCCAAGAAACCAATGGAGATCTGCGATGATTTTTCCTCCCTGCGATGGGTGAACCTCGTGCCAATCTTCATCCAAGCCGATAGAAGGGATAGTAATTCGCCAGTGTGGGATTGGATTGACCTCCATTTCGTGATTGTAGCGGAGCAGTTTTGTGGAATCGTCCAATTTTTGGTAACCGAATGAAAAATCTAATTTTACGAGACCCTTCTTTTTAATGAGGCGGAGAGCTTCTTGATTCCAAACTCTTGAGAGGAAACGTGCATTTTTCACATCATTTAGCGGAAGATATGACAAAATGTGGGACACTGCCTGGATGATGATTACGAATTACGAATTACAAAATCATTAAATTGACTCAAGACAATAGTCAGATTATAAAGTTATAATTTACCAATTCGTCCAACTGTGGAGTAAAGCCTGCTTCTGTCTTCTCGACATGTTCCACATCGAGGTCATCATCGTCGCTGTCGTTCTTGCTCGTTTTCTTCCTTTTCTCTTCAAGCTCCCTCTTCCAGAACAAATCAAAGTCATATTCTCTCCTCTGCAAATACATAAGTGAAATAATGCAAAGTTACAAAAATTATTATATTATTGAGCTGTAAATTAATAATAATATATTTGTGTGGTTTGAAGCGGTGTCGGTTTGAAGCATATTGATTAATAATAATATACCTGGAATAGCAAAAATAAACGAAGAGTATTCTTAAAAGCATCCAATTCCTTGTTCGCCCAGGCAGTAGGGCTGGCATTGTTTTGTTTTAAAATTTTTGTTCGTTTTGTTCATCGTCAAAATAATTTTTTTGTTTCGTTTTGTTCATCGTTAAAAACTAAAATAAATTTTTTATTCTGTTTGCGCCGAAAAAGAAACAAAACAATAAACAATTGTATTTCTGCAATTATATGCATTTAGTTTAAAAACAACGAAATCAATTGCTTTAAAGAATTTTTCGAAAATGAACATTTTCTTGACGTCACAAACAAAACTTGTACTATGCATGCATCTTGTTGGGATGTTGCGATTAAACATTTTTCAAAATTTCCTACATTTTTTATCAAAATCTTTTAGTTTATGCATTTGAAATTCTTTAATAGAGGTAGGATCTATTCGTTGACTTAATATACGAAGAATGTATATAAAAAAGTTGTTTCATGAAGAATGTGTATACAACCTGCATCAGTTTCATACATACTACAGTAAACAATGTCTTGTTTTATAAAAATTTCGGTTTGCTTCGTTTATGTGAAAACAACCAGAAACGAAACGAAACAAAACAAAAATGTATAATAATCAATGCCAGTCCTACCATTCAGGGATGGCATGCTCGTTTTCAGTAGTAGGAAAAGGGAAAAAGTTAGTCTGGGTGCGTTTCCAATTTTCGAATTTGTCCGGAGTGGCAGGAACTCCCAGGGATAAATAGTCGCCAAATTTGAGCTCTGTACTGTCCTGAATTGCGATATCATTCACGGCAACGACCTCCCCCTGAAAAAGATGAAAACAAATAATTATGCAAATAATTTCAACAAAATAACCTTATTCTTCTTACCCCCGATAACAAAGGTGTGACCCAGTACTTATTTTCATCGCAGGTGATCTCACAAACTGGTAAGTTTCCATCTGCCATAATATTTAGTTGGTCCTTCATGGGACGTTTCCAGAAAATGAATTCCCCCTGTTTTTTCCGACTGGTGAAAGTCTCTCCAATTGTAAACTGCAAATATATACATAAGTACAAAAATTCCGATTCAAAATGATATTAACTATTTCAGAAATATTTAATTATGATGTACCTTTTGACCTTCAATGTTTGGTAGAATTGCGAATGGTTTCCACAACTTGCCCCCATATTGTCGAATAAAACTTGGTAACTCTTCCGATCTGTCACTCTCAAATATGCAGCAACGACGACAGAAACAGTACGACACATTTTTGAAGGTTCTGCTCAGCAGTTCACCATCGAAATTGGCCATTGTTAAGTAATAAATTTTTTGGGAAATAAAATCTTTTTATTTATTTTGATTAATTTTTAATTAATGTTTTGTTGAAATCTGAGAACTGAAAACACAACGAATGACTGACAATGACGAAACGAAAGATGAAAGAAAATTTTTTCCCGGATATTCCCGGTCGGTTGAGGGAAAATGAGTCCATTTTATCTACCTTAAATTTTGTCTCATTTTGTTCAGTTTTACCACGGCATTATCCGTGTGATAAGTACTTATCATCATTGAATCTACAAAACTATTGATAATAATATTGCGAATGCTCCTAATCCTAATGTAAATGGAACTGGTACATAAATATTACATGTGCTCCAGAATCCAAACTATTGTAAAAGAAAATCGCCTAATTGGCGTCGAAAGCGTGCAAATTGATATGTAATTGCAGGCGAGGGTTTAAACGCGTGGAAACTTTTTTTTGTGTTTTTGATTCCTTTAGGTCGGTGTGGGGGACGTAAATAAATGTGGTCATGGAGTTAAGCCACTTCCCGGATTTTGTAAACTCATTGGATACTACAATTTGAATAGTGTTTGATTATATATTCGACATGAATCAAAATTTTACCTATTTGTACATATGTAAATTCATACATGAACTTGACTATTCAATAAAACAATCCTACGATTTACCGCCCTTTTTTTATTTGTTAGAAATGAGATTTACATACATAAGTAGTTCACCTTCACCAACGGTGTAATCCAATTCATTTTTTCTCATTTTTTCTAGATTATTTCCCCAAAAATTATGGAAATGTCATAACCGCATCTACCACGAGGTCCAACACAGTCTTCGAAAAAGTCAGCAGCGTCGCTACCGTGATGTAATAGAAGCACCCAATTTTCACCCTTAACGTCGGCAGTGCCCGCAAGACCCTCCTAAAATCTTTTTGCTTCGTTCTCGACCAAGAATCTATGAAGCCACACCCCAAATCGTACATTTCCGCGGACATGGAAAGAATCGCAATTGCCGCCGTAACGCAATCCAACACGCTAATTGGGTACATTAATATCCCGGGAAATTCATCGATAAAGAGGTGATTCATACTTCGGATGAGGACATATCCACACGACGCGATGCCAAAGAGGACATTAAATTTGACCATCATAATTCCCATGGGTGAAATACAATCGTTAAACATGGCACAAATAATTTGTAGAATTCGATAAATTTCCATCGCTGTTCTAGGTTCGGATGTTTCTGGAATTGTGTGTCCAGAGTCGGCCCCTTTGCTGAAAATAATAATTTTGGTACATTATTAATTACCCTCAGTTTTTGGCTAATTTATGCAAATAATTAATCCTTACTGGATTTCCTTTAACCAAAAGTCGACACTGTTCGTGTGAGCAATCGTGGTCCAAGAGATGAGCAAATAGGACGTGATGACCTGTCCGACCAGTACGTATTCTTGCAGTGCCCCAGGTATCAACCAGTACCAGGGGTTGTCCTCGTGATAAATGTAATGATAGAGGAACCACTTTTGAAACGGCAGGACTAGAAATAACGCCGCCGCGGCGAATGGTTCGCATAAATTGGAAGGAAACGAAACGTTAATCAAAATTCTGCCGCCGTCCTGGTAGCCGTCAAGGTCCACGACGTAACGTTCTGTTAAATTTGCATAATTTACATATGCCAATTTTGTCTCATATAGCCCCATTATTATTTTTCAGAAAATGCAAAAATCCCTCACCACATAATTTCTCATTCATCAAAAAGAGCGAGTTGATATACTGCCTTGTCGCGTCCCGATAGCAGTACAGGTTAAAGTTGAAGTTTAAGCAGGTAATGTACCAATAGAGTGACATAAAACTCATGAAAACCTCCCGATATGTGTCATGTGGTTCTCCCAGTTTTTGGAAAAATTGATAAAATTGGTAAAATGTTAGCAAAATTATTTGAGTTATCGCCAAATTGTATGATATTCTCCATGCCCGTTCCCACAGAGGGGACCACTTATCGATTCGTAAAGTAGTACGATTCCACGTCCAGGGAAACGATATGGTCGAGACGCCAAGAAGAATCCAGGATTGGAGGGTCCAAATTACCCCTGGAATAAATTGTTAATATTTTCAATATTGGTTTTATGTGATTTCAATTAGACCAATTTTTCAGGAAGTCAAATGAATTTTAGCCGTTCGGAAAAATTCGAAAATGTATTTACCAAAGTCAACGAAAATTCTTCGTTTTAAAGCAGATTCTGTTTTCTCTGGAATTGCATAGGACAATTTGGACGAGACGGCGGAGAACATCCTGTGACCAAACTGTTCCGCTGCTTTTCTCTCCATTTCTTCGTCTTCCTCGTCATCCAAATCATACTCCGAGTACCAGGTAGGATCTCGTGTGATTCTCGTTGAAGACGCGATACTGCCCGCTCTGAAAATTAGGTAATTCAGTCAAAATTTGGTTAAAGTTTCATGATTTCTCAATTTCCATTGCCACTCACTCACCGTTGCGCTTCTCGTATTCTGCTGATAGTGACACTAGTGGCATCCTTAGAGCGTCGCTGTCCGTAATGTTTCCCCGTGAAAAAGTCTGCACTCTCGTTGTAAATGTCGAGACCACGATAATCGTCGGTCGCTTCATCGTACGGCAGAATGGTTAGCCCTTTCACCTGGGAAAATGCAATTTCAACGAATTAACTATGTTATCATAGATTTTCAAAGTTGAATTCTCATCCCTAAATATTGAGGGTATTCATTACGAGTTGACATTTTCAAACTAAATATCTATCTTAAAGATGTGCAATTTGCAAAAAAATGCTAATGAATTTCACATAAATTTGAAGATGAATTTTCAAGTGTTCTTGCGAAGTTGTCAACTCTGTTTATTTTTGCTAACGATGCGAAATCGTAATGAATTCCCTCATTAAATTCTTAAAAAATATTTGACTTTGTATGTAACCACAACTATCGTATTTAATTTATGCTCACTTTTGTGATTGCTCGTCTCCTCCGTTTCCTCAGACATCCGGTCTGCTGCATTATCTGATTATGGAAATATGCGAATCTGTGTGATGCTGTGAAATCAGTTCTGAATGAATGGCTGGAACAATGCCCTCTTTTATAGACCGGTTTGATAATGCAAATGCAAAATGTATGTCTCCTTCTGGAGCGACAATATACTAAATTATTTTCAGAGCGGTTGGGTTTATCTGTGTAAGCGGAATTTTTAATTGCTGCAAAACACCGTTATGGCGACGATTTAATATCTCATTTGAGGTGAATAAAAATGCCGAATGCCGCTACGTATCGAGCAAAACACAATTATTATTGTTAAAAAATGAAACTTCTGATTGGTTTCTAGACAGAAGAAAATGGCACTTGCATTTTTGTCAAACGAAGACAAGTAACGCAGGCAGACACGCGAAGACAAGTTATCATGGATAAAATATAGCTGGAGTGTTGGACAGGGTTCGGAAAAACCCAGGGTTTTAATCAAAAATTATAAAACCCATGGGTTTTAATGGGTTTTACCATGTTAATTGGGTTTTATTTGGGTTTTAATGGGTTTTAATGGGTTTTATTGGGTTTAAATGGGTTTTACAAGGTTTTATTAGTTTTAAGTAATAACTTAACAAAAATAATTAGGAATTTGTATCTATTCGGAAATTATTTTGTTTTATAACACTTGAAATCTGTGATGCTAAAGGATGGAGTCAATTATTGAATTGTTCCGAATTTTCATATATTAGAATAGTAATGAAATAAACTGCTTTAGAATGAATTGAGATAACGTCTTCTAACGTATAGGAGATGTACTTAACTTTTAGAATGTAGTCTTTAAGTAAAACTCAATTAAAACCCAATAAAACCCATTAAAACCCAAATAAAACCCACTTAACATGGTAAAACCCACTGGGTTTTATTCATTTACAACCCATTAAAACCCATTAAAACCCAATAAAACCCAACCCATTAAAACCCAGGTCGGAATACCCTGGTGTTGGATGAAGTCGGTTTATGCTGGTTTTTCAGGTAGAAAGAAATGAGAGTGAGACATAATTTATGTAGCAGGATTTCTGCGTTCGTGACGATTTCAACATCAGAAGTTTTTATGATTTGCTTAGTTAAAATATTTTTTCGATGTCACGCTATTTTTTGGAAGACTTATTGAATCTCATGCTTAATTGGTATACATTGAGGTATTTCACGGCAGCCTTCATAAGTCCGTACCCACGTAAGTTTACGAAGATCAGTTTACGAACCAAAAACATCCTTTTTTTCGAAGTTTTTTAAGTTTCGTAAGCAAAAATTACCTTAGAGAGGTTCGTAAGTTTCGTAATTTTATGTGGTTACAGACTTACGAAGGCTGAATTGCCTCATCATGTTTTAAAAAATGTATTCTTACATTATGCTTTCTGCAAAACTATATTTAGTAAATTATGTACCAGGTCAAAGCTTTCTTCTTTGTTTTCCCCGATTTCCGTCCCATTTTTCCAATCGCATTGTTTCCTATGAGAAACTTCACACACATACATACATATACAGTAAGTTACTATTTTTAATTCACGAGATTGGTCTTCTACAGGCGTCATAATTAATTACGATCAGCACTCTGGCTTAATTGACTACTGTAGAAGCACTTAAATATGTAGTATGTCCCACACCTCACGCATTTATAATACCTACACGTGCAGTACATTTATGTACATATGTATGTACATACAGCACATATTGTAGACTCGGATAGGACAGCATTCGATTATCCGATAAGCTTTTTCTCCCATTTCTTGCACGCATTTTGCATACACGCGTTTCATTCAAGTAAGTCATAATTAGACACTGATACATGTAGGTACATATGTATTTATGCCCTTGCTTTTCAATGAAATGAAGATTGTCAACAACATAAATAAATAGGTACATACGTTAACTTTGCTTCTCAATTTGTGCATGGAAACGTGCTTAGCATTTTATTCATTCAGAATCTATTGAATTATTTAAATACATGGATCTAACGGTATATATACATTCCTTGAGTTAGAATTAATTGTATAAATTTATCGGTAGCCCGCCATTCATGAAAACCTTCTTAGAAGTTTAGTTCAATGGAGCCAAATGGATGCAAATTTCTTGAAATTTTTCAGTTTAATCACTTTCTAAATATTTACATGCGTACATTCCAACTATAAAATTGGTTGACACACTTTGGCAGTGAATTTTAAACTCAATGCTGATTTTGATTTTTTGATTATTATTTTTTGCCCCCCACGCATGGCGCTAATTTTCCCCTTGGAGCCATCTGCGGTCCCTCGGCGGAAGGAGTGATGTCGAAACTGAAAATATCGGTTGGAATGGCGATGGACACGCAGGAATTCGGGACATCGACTATGTTGTTAATCCTGCTCTCGTTCGGTGCAGCAGTAAGGATCAGATAAGCCTGGAAAGGAAATCATTGTTTTTAATAAATGGTTATCAATTAAGACATTTATCCGCACCTGTTCTTTAGAATATCCAAGTTTTTGCAGATAAGCCATCGCATTGAGGACGGCATTTCTAAAGGAAACTGCAGGGTCGAGGAAATGCTGTTTTCCACTCTCGTCGACGGAAATCCCCTCAAAAGTGAGGTAACGCCAGTACCGTGGTTCCACCGGGCTGGTGAGGAAGAGAGGATTTTTAAGCGCCATCTTTTGAACGCCCCCCTTCACAACGGTAACCCTGGTCGTGACGACACCCATGGTCTCGATGGCTCCGCAAAACTAGACACAATTTTATGTAATGCATTATCACGAATTGTAAGGTCTTGTCGAGTACAAACTTGGAAATTATATACAAGAAATCAATACTAGTGCATACTTTTTTACTTCAGTTTTGAAAATATAATTCCTTAAAAAATGCTAATAATTGGACAATTCACGTCAAAATTTGGAGTAAATTGTTAAACTTGTGTAAAGTCTAAAATATGTAAAGTTTCAGAAAGCTTTTTTAATCAAGGTAAAATTTGCAAGACAGTGTTGTAAAAATTCGCAAAATAAAAATGCTGAAATTTGCTCGAATATACCCATTATCTAAATATGTAAATTCCTACTTACTGCAATTTCTCCATCAGCCTGGGAGAAATGAATGTCTCCAAAGGACAAATTGGCTTCTTTGACATACACCGGAAGCCAGATGGTCGAACCTCTCGTTAAATTCTTGATATCGCAATTTCCTCCATGCTCCCTTGAAGGGATGGATCGTGCCCCTTCTTCCGCAATCTTCTTGGCCAACACTCCCTCCGCCTGACCAGCCATGGTCCCCTTAACTAGGGGCGGGTATGCAAATGGGGGATTACGATTGGGCGCCGTAGAAATCAATTCACGTTCACGACGATTCCAATCTGCCAAGAGTTCAGCGGACGGAGCAGTGCCAACAATTCCTGGGTGGATCATTCCTAAAATTTCCGAAATAAATAAATTCATTAATATCGGGCGAGCATTTTCAAAATTAAGTATAGCAAAATTTTGTAAAATTTCATAACGGTCAAACAAAAATTAGTTTGACACGTTTTCCATGAAAATTCTATGCAACATTTTTTTTAATTGCATGAAAATATTTGAAACATTTACTTTTTTGCAATCAAGTAAAAAAGTATATGCACAAATTTCATCAACTAAAGAGTTATTTTTTACATAGATTTTCCCAATCCCACCTGCAAACCTGACTCAAGGAATGTGTCGACTTGATGCATAAATCCCTTCAAAATCCCAAATTGCTTTACACGGTCCCTTCATAATATCTTCCATGAAGCCACCCCCACCATGTTCCAAATCCATGATGCACGTGTACCCCCAATTCTTCTCCTCAAATGGCTGCACATCCAAGATTTCCACTTTCACAGCATCTCCAGCTTCCGCCCCTCGACTGCGATGGGGCCGGACAAGATGTGCGTCACGGACAGGTCAACGTTTAAAATATCGTCGACTGTGTCGTCATTCAGCATTTGGCCCCCTAAAATATATCGGCATTATCAAAATTTAAGGGATACTCAGGCAGTTCATTTTCTAAAGTACGTCCAGATTTTTGAAACATGTTTCTCAAAAAGTGTCAAATATTTTACCAACGTTGGATCATAATCTCTTTAATCTTTTAAAATCCCACCCACTCATGAATATCTTAAACATGTGCATAACTCACCCGTGAAATCAAAGCATTCAACTTTAAACATTTCGCCACTCTTCACCGTCGCAATGGCCGGGATGTCTGTAATTGAGAAAAAAATTACCTATTTATAGTAATCATTAATTTAATAAAATTAATATATTCCCCGCCCCGGACCTGGATGCCAACGATTATGAAAAATTGGACGCTTCTCTTCCGTTGCCCTCTTGGTCACATCGACCTTCACCACGGTACGCATCTTGACCACCTCCACTTATGCAAACAACAAGTGTTCTCCTATGTATTTATTTATGCCTGGACAAAATTGTGTAATGTCGCCCTCCTCAAATTCAACTGGACTCCAAGGTGACCTCGCGAGTTGGATTTATTATTATCAAAGCAACAAACCCGGGCTAATCCAGTTTTTGCATAAGCATTCATAACCTTGGTCCACTCTGTTGATAAAGCTCTCTACACATGTGTCAAACATTTAGCAAAGCCAAATACCAAAATATCATGGAAAGTATGATGACAAACATGTATAAACGTATACATAGCTCGACACACTTCTGCTATCGCGTGGAGTTGGTGCCATTCTTGCGTGTATGAATGGGCACAAGGTCTTCGGTGGGGTTTGATGGATTGATGTGGACATGTGAAAGGCGTTCCGCTCACTGGATCTTTAATTACGGCACCTCATTAAAATCCACTTTGTGGTCTTGCATAAAGTGTGGACTCAATTTTTTCGGTAAGATAAGACAGATTTATGTAAGGATAAATACGGGTTTGGTGACATGGACACCACCCTTGAGAAATTGATGACATTATGTATGCATATATTTATCTATGTACTGTCCTGGAGAGGATTTTGCTGTTTTAATAGGCCATAAACTTACATTGATTCGCTAGCTCGTTAGCATTCAGAAAATGGGGAATGAGTGGCTGTTGTATGTCATGCATGTTTTATTGTCATGGATCCGACTGTCAGTAGTAATGAGAGAATAAATACTTAGCTAAGCGGGTAGGCAGGTGGGTGAGAATCATTGTTTTAAGTTGTGTACACATTGTCCCAAAATAATGACGGATTCACTTATTGAATTGTTATGAATGGGAGGCAAGCGTTATACATATATAAGTATGTATGCGTATGTACATATACTGCTGCAAAGTCAAGTATGTATGTAAAGTAAAAGTAGCGTGTGGAATACAAAATTAAATAGCATATTGATAAGATAAATGTCCTCCACACTTGTACATGAACTATTAATTCCATTGATAAGTCCATAAGTTGATATTTCTGAAATTCTGACGTCAACTAATCCATCAGATTTTAGTAACCTTTCTGTTTATGTTATATATACGTCCTAATATAAATACGATCTGTTTTGGTATGACGACCAAAATATGTCAATATTAATTATGTTGTCATGCACATATGCATGCATGTATGGTGGTCTTATGTAATTGGCGTTAACACTCGTAATCTGGCCAACCAGAAAGAAATCACACTCACTGAATGATAAGTAAGTTTATTTAAATAAATTTCACAAGATGACAACCATGAGCTTAATCGTCTTCAAAATGCTCGAGATGTTAGATTATTTAGAGTAATTTGTAATTTTGCTTCGAATTTTCTCTTCTGCTTATCTGTAATTTTAATTTCGACATGGGAAACTGTATTTCATTAAGATTTATTTTGTGTTGAAGCCTGAAGAATGTGTTTTGTCAAAGTTTCGAAATAAAAATTGTTGGCGATTGTTAGCGATCCTCAGTGAGTTTGAAAACATTATCATTTTGTTCGTTTCTAAAGGTTTATTCATATTGCTTAGTAATATAATTTTCCTTAACTTTAACCTGAAATATTTATCTACTCATGAGAATCCATTGCACACATGTGTACATATTATATATCATTACATACTTACTTACTTTATAACTTTACCCATTTAAAATACGTAATATACTCCATTTACATAAATTATATATGTACTTATATGCATACAAACTTTACGAAATTACACAGCAACTTTGGTGAGAATAAATATCTTCTTTTATTCTATCTTTCCACACTAACCAACAAGTTGAGGGTCTGATCTATAAAGTTGTTCACACAAATGATCACAACCCACCTCGAGAAAGTAAAAAAGATGCCCGCCTTGACCTTCACCCCACTTTTCGACCAGCACGCGAACATCTTTCTCTCCCAAGGTCCCCTCCCCTGCATCCTTCCCGCCCAGTAGTGCTTCAACCGGTCTGACGCAAACCGCATCTGTCCCGTCATCAAGATCTGGCTAAACGTCTCATGCCCGCATCTAACCGCACAGAACGGGAACACGGTGACCGCTCGAAAGTCGACATCCCAAAGTCGGATGCTTCCAAACAGCAAGATTGAGCAGATGGCCATGATGATAATCGAGAAGGTGGACAGGTACGGTTTGAAGGCAACGTTAAGCAGGTTTGTGACCCTCTTCAGTTCAATGTAGGTCGGGACTCCTTCCTCAAATGGGATGTCATTCAGCCTGAAATATTCACCGGGTTTGAGATACCTTGCAAAATTTGTGAGATGAAAAAACACATGTGCAATCAAATAATTTCAGTTAATAAAAATAGTCTCAATTCCGTGGAAAATTTTCTGAGTTGTTTTTGGGTTTTCGGAAAACAATATAAATTAATCTGCCATTTCAGATTTTAATATTGGCTGAACCCTAATCCTAAATATTACGTGCAACTTTAATCTGTCTCGATACCACTAGGCAGCACAGCTCGTCATACCGCATATCATTCATTTCCTGCGCGGCTAGTGAAACCCCCAGATAGACGAATGCCCACGTGATGAAAGCCACAGTGAAAATGACCGTCATGAAGTAAAGTTCCCAGCAGCCCAGAATCAACAACTTCGTCACCCCAAACTTGGCATGGTCGTGATCCCCAATTGACGAGCAGTTCAAGACGATTGAACTGATCAAGTTTGGAGCGCAGGGGGTGTGCATAGCAACCATGCCGTGGGGCAAAGGATTCAGAAGTAGGAGCACTATCCCAGTCCAGAGGGCTTTTGAGTCATAAAATTTCCTGGAAATGCAAGAAATAAAAGAATGCTTCAAACCTTGAAATTAGTCGCTAAATCTATTCACATTAACTTTAGAATCGCGTCAGGTTTGATTGTCAAATGACAAACTGATACATTTTGACTCGAAGTACAGTAACTAATTTACTTAAGTCATAAAACATGCACATTTTGCTTACCCTTCAATGCTTATTTTATCCAGTATTGCATTTCCATATTGCATCACGTCCCCCCGTAAGAACCAGTTTTGCAGAAAGATAACCGATATCTGGATTGAGGCCAGAAGCCAGGAGACATTCACGATCTTCATCATCAAAGGAAACGCGTCCCTCTCCTTCCCCACATTCGTGACGAGGCGAAAGAAGGAGAAAATCGTCACAGAGTACATGATCACACTGTGCAGATTTATCAAACCGTGTCCCCACAAATCTGTCGCCCCCACGGAGGAAAACCGTCTCAACGTGGCGTTCCAATTGAACGGGATGATCTTCGCTTTACACGATAACTCCAAGATTTTATAGAAGAAGGTCACAGAGGGCGGATCTTCCAGTTTTGAGATGGATGGTTCTGCCGACGAAGGAGGGACGCTCAATTCGCAATAGATGGAAGATCTTCGCCGCATCCTGTCATACGATATGTGATCATCTTGGGACAGACTCCCTTGAAAATCGTGTCCTATCGAGTCTAACATTTTAAGAATATTTTAAATTTGTAGTTTGACTTGACTCTGGCTTATTTGGCTGAATCATGATGAAAAACATCAACAAAAATGTTGGTACAGATTGCTAAAATTTGTATGTACTAAATACCTAAATAAACATATTTAACTCGGTTCTCCTTTCAGCCATAAAGTAGGTATCGGAATTAAAGGTTAGTTTATGTTGGCATTATCCAGTACTAAATATAGAATGGGATATGCATGCTTAATTATTTAAAAAATTGTAATACAAAAAATATTGTCATTAGATGATCAAATTACTACCAGCAATGGTAATCGCGATAGACATTGAATAAATATCGAGCTATTAAAAAAATATTCATATAATTTTGGGCCCGATAAAAATTAAATTATAAAGTACATTAGGTAAACATACATCAAGGTTTATGTACGTAGTATAACAATTTTGTTTTTCCGGAATTTAACATTGCAGACATTTATTCAATTCCACGTGCCAAATTAGTTGATCCTCAATGGATACTCCTATTTCATGTCCGATCTACCTACGCTTAATTTTCTGCTTCCTTTGCTCTGTAAAGGACAAAAAACTTAGGAACGCCTTTAAATTAACGACCTACGTTGCATGAATGTTTAACCAAATTATTAACATGGCGGGTTAAATTGTATATTGACGTAACTCATCAAAATTATTTCGGCTGCTTCTTAGCATTAGTTGGATTGGAATTAATTAACGAGGCAACTGTCATCTCATGGTAAAGGTGTAAAATAGTCTACCGTGTACAGACTCACAAGACTTTAATTACTCTTCATGTTAAAAAAGCGTGCCCGTGCTAAGACAAATTTCTCTTAACTCAAAGACAAATTTCTCTTAACAGGGAGGTACTTAATAAATATATAATTGTTTCTAATATCTTGGAAACTTTGAAGTCTGGCATCGAAATCAATTCTGCAGAGCGTACATACATACTTATAAGTACTTCACCTATTGGAATTTCTGGGGATACACTTTCTCACATGAATAGTAGTACATACATAATTTGTCAAATATCTTATCACCTTCGAACTAACATATGGGATTATGTAGAAATACTGGTAACTTAATTCGCAAATCCCAACTCTTAAATTCGCAAAAATATTCATACATACATATATACCCAATAAATCTATGGTTGAGTGAATAATTTAGTGAGAGATTGTCAAATTATTGGCCGGATGCTACGAATATTCATCAATTTACTATAAATGATTAAGTTTCCCCTTTCACTTTGTAGAAAAAATATCTCCAAAGTTCATTTAACCGAACGGATATCTAATACATATATTTGACTCCTGCACGTTGGGACAGATCTAGGGATCCCAATCCCGGACGATTTTTAAAATCCCGGGAATCGGGAATCCCGGTTTTAGCCGTGAAAAATCCCGGGAAATCCCGGGAATTTTTCCCGAAATTTAAATATTACCTTATAACTTGGGTCAAGTCAAATTTGGGTGTACAAAAAGGTACATGGCTCTCAAAAGTACCGAGACTGAGCATATTTATAATTAGTGCTCGGCGCGAGACGAGACTATCTCGAAAATTTCGAGACAAGACGAGATACGAGACGAGAGGAGACCAACTTTTTCGTCTCGAAAGATTTCGGGACGAGACGAGATCGAGACGAGACCAACGCCATCTCGTCTCGACAAATCTCGGTCGAGACGAGACGTCTCGATACATCAAAAATTTAGAAATTTAGCAGCAAATTCTCCGTCCTCTTGCCTTCTGCAAGGAGCGAGCAGCTTTGGGAAATGCAGTATCCTTCAAAAATTTTTTTAGAGACAATAGATAAAACGAATAATTATGATCAAAACTTTAACCAGTTTGCAAATATCCTAATTTTTACGTAAAAGACACTCAAATATGACACTAACTATATAACTCCAATTATAAATTGTATATACTGCGGGTAACGATTTCTTCGTATCCATATCCCAAGTATTCTATGTATATGTAGTAACATAAGCTATGACGGTTACGAGTCATTCAGGTATTTCATGTTAGCCTTCGTAATCTCGTAACTACGTTCATAAGCCTGCGAAGATCAGCTTACGAACCAAAAATTTGACTTACTGGGTAAAAATCATATACAAGAGATATTGGTACGTTTTGTCAAAAGCTCGTAAGGTTAGTAAGTTTACGTGTTTACGTACTAACGAAAATTGACGTGAAATGACTCAATGGAAGCGTCGTAAACTTTTGTCGTCCCGTTACTAGCTTACGATTAAGATTTATCCTTTATTTTTTTGTGTAAACTACTAGTATGTAGTTTACTATATAAGGAATACAAGGCCAATTATTAATATTCTAAATATTTGCAGTTTGTGTATTTGTATTTTGTAATTATCTGAAGAATACAAAAGATATTTTGAAAAACATGGATGAATGTCGAGACATCTCGTCTCGTCTCGACCGAGACGAGACGACAAAATCGTCATCTCGTCTCGTCTCGATTACTTCGTCTCGAGTCACTTTCGAGACGAGACGAGACAAGGCAATCTCGTCTCGTCTCGTCTCGTGCCGAGCACTATTTATAATACCTCCTTCTGTGTTTTTGGGATCTGTGCCTGCAGAAATACTTAAAGTATGCTATTTTCTGGCCTACACAAAATAATATTTTGAAAATACATACATATTTATGTACTGTACAAATTACAAATTAGTAATTATATTGTTTTGCCTACTATGGCAAATTTAAAAATTCGATGTATTGTGTAAGCCCAATTTGGTTAAAATTCACTATTTTGGAGAGGTGTGAAGAAAGAGTTTAATAATTTCATTCCAGAAAACTTAAATAATTAATCAAGGATTTGTCAGCATGTTAATCCGAAATGCATAAATTTACGTTTATCAAATATCAATATTAATTGGCCTAACCTGCATTAACATTAATATTGAAAAACTTCAATTGGACATGGAGGTTGGTAATTCAAAAATTTCAAGTTTAAATAAGTACATATGTATATGAGCTACCACGTTCAAAAAGCCTTTCATACAGCCTTAAATTCATCGACTAAAATTCGAAATCACTTCTAACATCTTAGCATTTTTGATCATAACTGATTTCAGATTCTATAATTATACCGAAAATAAGGTTTATTTTTTCCTTCAAGTTATAATCTGACATCGAGATTAGAAAATTTTAAGTTCCATCTTGTATTATAAATGTTACTTGCAAATTATGAAATTTGGATAAACGTACGAGTACATTAAATGTGGCCACTAATATTGTTTAAAATTTATATTTTCGAGTTCAGGATCAATTTTGATTGGTTATGATCATCGAAGCTTTTTCTTACTAATCATATAACCGATAATTATTTAAAACTGCTATTAAAATTTTAAATTATAAGTAATTTTCAATTCTGAATGACAAATTGAAAAATCCCGAAATCCCGGGATTTCAGTTCTTCAAATCCCGGGATTTCGGGATCCCGTTTCCCGGGAATTCCCGGGAATAAAATCCCGAAAAATCCCGGGACTGGAACCCCTGGACAGATCGTGAAATATTTGATCGTTGTAGAACTAATTACGCTTGAAAAATTATACACTTTGACATATTATTAATCCTTCGACGGACGGATGTAGTCAGTCTAGACAACCAGCGTAAAATCAGTTTGTGTCAATTTGCTTATACCAATTTGTTTAAACCAATTTATTTTCTAAATAAAAATTAGGGAGAGCTTTAGGTCTACTGATCTATTTTTACTTATCACGCATTAAATAATTGTTTCCAATTGTATGTACCTATCATTAATAAATAGTGTATGCTTACATGCACTAAATATGTACAGTTAGTCAAGATATGTGTAAATATGATGCATATTTGTCTGTTTACAAGTTATGTAGGTTCTCTTTACTAAATGCACTTCAATCATGTTACGCCGTTAATTTTTAGACAAAAATGTTAATATCGAAGCAATTTCAGAATATACAAATTCAACAACGAACGCAGATTATGAAGTGTATCATGATCAACAAATATTTATAAATATTGAGCGTACTCACGTTAACCCTGGAATATCTCACAAATTGAACGTATCAATATTACTTGCTAAGTTTTATGACATTTTCTAGGATTCTAGTTGCTGGAAAACCATGGGATTTTTTTGTAAATTTACCCAGGAACTGGGCATGATTCTATTTGGCAAACATCAAATTATTTAGCAAACTTAACTCCTCTTCATAACCAGCGAGATAAATTACAGAAATTCATGGAAGCAACATCAAAGCATGCTTTTATACATAGATTTATAAGATTTTTGAAGTCAGATTTTGCGACATAAATTTTTTGAACTTCGCAAGTTTTCTAAATGAGTTATGATGCAAAAAAATACGTCGTTGTGGGTACGCCTATCATTCATGCACTTAGAAAATTATGTACAAAGATCCAATAATTGCACCATGAACGAGTGAGGATGCTATACTCCGTCACTAAATTGTGCTAGTAAATTGTCCACATATATGCAAACGTGTACTTATTGTTAGATATATATTAGTTGTTTTACATTGGGGGTATTCCTAACGAGTTCGCATGTTCACATCAGAACGTACATAATTTTGAAAAAAAATTGCAAACTTAATACGAGCCTTGGAAATGTGCAAGTTCGCCATGTCAAAATTTTCCGAACTTACGATTTTTTATAACGGCGCTAACGATGAAAACTCTTATTTAATACCCCCAATGAGTCATTAAGATAATAATTGTAAGGTTACAAAGGTTAGTCAAATGCACAGAACTGTGCATGTATGTACAAATACATTCATGCATGCATTTATGTGCACACATACATATATGTTTGTATATCATTGAAGCCTGCACAACAAAAACTCAACATTGAAACGACAGCGATAAGCTCTTGAACTCGTACCTACCTCGTTTCTTTGTCAACCGTCGGAGAGGAAAACACACCACAAATGCATATTTGCAGTTATGATTAAATCTAAACTCAACCACGAAGGAAGGCTGGCATGCTGTTTTATCTACTTTACTTGTAGCCATACAAAATAAAATTAAACGTGAATGTATATATAAACATGCCTTTAATATAACACAGATTTATTATACTTTAACATAGTTTTAATGCATTTCCGTCATACATGGTTCATACAAAATAAAATGAAACATAAATATAGGTATATACATATCTGTATATCTATACATATACATAATACATATACAATGTAATACAACACAGGTTTAGTACACTTTTAGTGCATCTTTATTAGATTTTGTGTCAGCAAATAACTCTCTTTCTCCGTCATCGCCTTGCTTGCTGTACAAATTTGTTACAAATTCAATTTATTTTCCAACAACTTTCCAGTATGCAGATCAGTTATCAACCCACTTGATGAAGATAACAAAAGTCGACCGATACTGCCCAAATTCTTTTTTGAGTAGGATTGATTCATTTGAAGCCTTACAGTAGACGACGACCACTCGGTGTAAAATAATTCAAATTGGTTCACACAATGGGAGGTTCGTTTGTTGTTTTACTATAATTATTATTTTAAACATAACCTTAATAAGTTTACGCTGAAAATAATATAACAAAATTATCACTAATGTAGCCACTACGCAGGAGACTCATTCCATCGTTGGCAATGATATGCCGTACCATGAAAATACCCACGAGTTTATAATTAATCACACTGATAATTAAATAATTTCTGGATGATAAATTGGAGTCAGGTAATTCCACCTTTCGGTAATAAATCCTTATTCACCTAATACGCACTATCGGAATAAAGTTGGTCAAAGTTTAGGACCTAAAAATGAAGAATTATATTTACACTCTTTTTCTATAGCAACATGTACGCCATCCCAATCACCGCTCCAAACGACATGTTCTTTACCCCAATCGTCCCTCAACTTCATCCGTCCGGCGTCGAGGTCATCGTCAACTCTGCAAATCTCGCGATCCTACATGGACCTTCGATTGAGAAAAAACTCCCCCAAAAATTTCGAAAATCACTCTTCAACTTAAAAATTGTACACATTCCTCACACCGATTTAGCCATCAGTGTTGCTCTTACCAATTTGTGCCGTGCCATCTCTCGTCCGTCCACGTTACATAGAATAGTTCGCATCTCCAATTACACCATCGGACCGGACTTTGTCGTCATTCTCAACCTCATGAAACGTCACTTTCCTCCAAAACTACAAAATGGTTTGATTTCCTCGCTTCAAACCCAGCAATACTTATCATACGAAAAACTACTTAACTTCATCGGGCTATTACACCATCTCGAGGACACCTCCTTTCATCCAGGCTTCCACCTTCCGATCACCATTTGGAGGACGAACTGCAGAATCAGGTCGGCAAACGAGTTCGTCTTTCATTGTGGATCTTGTTCAAAAAAGAAAAAAACATCGCAACTAATCCTTACAAAAGATGACATCTTTCACCTCCGTCACGGCACGACTGGCACAGATTTAGCCGACATGCTCAATCTCTCCAAAAATGCTGTCTTCCTCAAAGGATATCGTCACACGAGGCCGGAAATGATGAAGGACGTCTGTCCTCAAGGCCTCCTTTACTTCGATGTGGACCTCGAATCGAAAAATGTGTCAAATTTCCACGCATTTCAAAATCGTTACGGTGCCGCGAGTATAAAATTTCATTTAGAAAATGCACCCTTATTAATCCAGAAAAAGCCATGGCGCTATTTTAAAGTCGGCACTAAAAAGTACTCGAAAGGATACAAGCAGCAAATCCATGCTACGAAAAGTACGGAATTTTGGCTTCTGGAAGAATCTCGGTCAGAATTGCATTCTTTGAGTGAAATAAATCTCGACGCAGGGTTCCAGTGGGAGCTGAATTATTGTGCATTAAATTGTCAAAATGGATTTTGGACACATCCAGAAATTGTGATTGATGGCAATCTTGAGGTTAAATTGAGCGAGGTGAAAATCAGGTTTGAGCCGAATCACAAATGTATCCAGCTTCCGGATGGGAGGAGATTTAATTGTATCGAGTGCGACATTCGGGAAAGTTTTGGACTTTGTTACGCCCTCGTGGGTGGAAATTGGGTGGTGGTAATGTTGGACGTTTCGAGCTCAGAGGATCTCTCGATACAAATGTTTGCTCTCTCGATGCCACATAATAATAGGAATAAGTTGGAGAAAATGTACCAGAAGAAGGCGGGATTATTTGAAAAAGGACAATTCGACAAGATTTTGTACCATTGGAAGAATACGGCGGAAATGTGGGTAGAGCGATGGGCCACGTCGAAAAATTTGGACTTGATGTACACAATATATCAATTATCTCGGGGAAATTTACGTTATTGAGATTAGGTTAAAGTTCCAGTTGCAGACTTCATTTGTACATATATAATATCATGTTTCCAATTTTATTGTTTGATTAGTCTAGTTTTTTTACGGACCGTGGTTATAGTTTTGATAACGCATTCAGAAAATTGGATTTGGTGAGATATGACAAAATCTGGAGCAGATTTTATGAAACTGGAAAATTATTTATAGTAGCAAGATATTTATCTACCGATTGTATTCATTGTAAATAGAGTGCTAAATATTTAAGTATAATGACGAAGATAAAGAAAAATTCAACCTTTTCAGAAATTTCTGTTGTTTTTGATATCCTTTATGGCAGCAACTTTTAGAAAAAATTGCTGAACACCTTACCTATGATTTCTTATGTTATGTCCCCAGATTTTACACACACACATATTTATGTATGTAGATACTTACGTAAATATGTACATATATGTATGCACACATTTAAACGTTTCAATATCCTACCATCGTTGCAAAATAATCAACATAAATGACTCGTTGATCATGATATGGTCAGGACTGGCCAATGAAAGCAACAATTAGAGCCTGTTATTATTTTGGTCAACCTTCGTTTAAAAGTTTTGACGTTAGTTTTAATAATTTTGATATGTCAATACATCTAATTGAATCGAAATCTACACATACTTATTAATGATAAACTCTTCAAACAAAATTGCACGAATAACTCCATTCGAAAATAATTTTTAAATAATGTTTACTGTTTCACGTGGAAATACATGAAATAGGTCTGCCTGGAATTAATATGTTGACATAAATTTAGGAATGATTTAAATTAATTATTCCTTCCTGAGAGAAAGAAGTTCACAATAGTCGTAATTTCCCCATTCAGTTTTCAACCTTGAAAAACTAAGGAAATGCCTCGGTATTAATTAAGACCCCTGTGGCAATTCTTTCAATTTAATTTAATAATAAACTACTTACCATGTATAGAAGTGAATTTTTACCCTTCTTGCAATTTCATCTCCGAATTTGCAAAATCTTGAAATGTGTCTACTTCGAGTTTGACCCAAAGTCGGGTCGCCTAGTCAAATGCAAGTCACATCGTCATGTCCGCATGTTTAAACGACAATGCCTCCTCTCTGTCCTGTATTGTTCCTTATTCGGACTCAACCTCTGTTTCGGTCCGCTTACAAATTTGGAAAAATTGCAAGGGTTCGTGTTTTTCATAGTCTACCTGACAGCGTCAATAATTCGGTGGAATTACAAGTTGGGGAGCGCCCAGAGCCAAATCATACACATATTTTTAGACTATGAAGCTGAAATTATGCTAGGTAAGAAGTGGGAACGTTTACGAGCTCATATACTTCAGAAATGTATATTTAAGTATTCGAAATTTAGTACTTTTCTGTTTACGCATTAAAGTTTACGCATTAAAGAGAGAAATAGGGGTTTTCAGTTCACGACCTCGTAACTGAGGTGTCTTAAAAAAATATTCGTCAATTTACAAAAGAAAGACCTACGCAAATAATAATTTCTGGAGTTTTTTTTAAATCTCCATTTGTATTTACGACGTTTACCACAGTTACGAATATGGCGTGAAAACCCTCAAATTTAAGATTCAGAAATAATCGCTTTAAATTATTTTTAAAATTCAATTTCGCAGATCTCCCCCATCTTCCCCCCTCACTGGAGAGAAAGGCGGTCCGGCTATTCATTCAATTCGGTGAGGTTGCATCCCCCATGGTCCCGATTCTTGTTTTTCTCTTACTGCGAGTCATGCCATGCACCCCACCATTCCTGCTTTCCATGCTGCCAGGTTGTCAGAATGTGGAGACGACCCTTCTCAGGTATCTAGGTCGCCTTGCGGTGCACATCTTCGAGGCGTGGATGTGCTTCCATATTATGTATTCGGGATCGGCATGGCTACTCTTCATTTTCTGCGTGGGCATAATTTTCGTCCTTAACTTTCTCCAAACATTGGAACGGTGAGTTAATAAAAACAGAAAGTCAACAATTTTCAGGATTGTACTGCAAGAAATAATGCTTCCTTATAGTCTCGTCAAAATACAATCAGATTTGCATGGCCTACTTATCATTCAGCTTTACCGCTATGCCCAAATCTTGGACAAATCCTTTAACTCTTTCCTCTCAGAGCAAATAATTCCTGCGATAATGTTTTGCAACCCGGTCATCGAGATCTTCTCATTATTCGTGTGCATCTCATATGTTAACGAAGTGCCAATGCCTGGATTTCTAGTGTTTCCCTTCTTGCTTGTGGCTTCTGGAGTGATTAATATTGTCATAATTACCCTCGCGTCACGAATTTATGGTTTATCGCGTCACTTGTTGACCTCCTTGGAACGGATGACCCTTCTGAAGAGATCGAAACTGATGAGGAGGAAGTTAAAAGCCTGCAACAAGCTAAAGATCGAGTTTGGTTCGAATTTCATAGATAATGGCACACCGGTAGTCCTGCAAAATTTTTGCATTAACCAAACCCTGTCATTAATATTACTCAAAGACAAATTGTAGACATGCTAAGTATTGTGAACATACAAATTATTATGAATTAGATACTTAATATGACCAATATTACTTAAATGTATACATATTTAACTGGCCCAGGCCCAGTTAGATAAACTAGCGAAGTATATATGCAAAATTATGGAATTTGGTCAACAATATCACCGGAAAATCCAATTTTATTGACAACTTGACAACAAAATATTTCAGACATCAAGAAAGTTTATGTACATGCATATATGTGCATATATATGTATGTATGTATTTACAAAGAATTATATGCATGCAGGCCACGAAAATGCTACCGAAAGTTAGGACAATTTAATATTCACATGCTCCTGCAGATTATCACATTTTTTACATATTTAAAATAGCAAATAAGTATTTAAACTGAACAATTGTTAGCAAAATTCGAACATCGTTTTTGTCAATGAAATCAAACATTCTTATAGCTTGTAATTACATCAGGAAAATTACAGAATTCAATAAACAAAGAAAATACCCAAGCTTCAATTTTCACGTTTCATCCAATCCTGACCGATTTCGTATACACCAAGAGCGATGCTGTCTGATGTACGCAGAAATCCTGCACTACCAGTGGCGTACAGCCATCTACAAAATTCCCCCCAAAATAAATCCTCGCAGGTCGAATCGATTTAACCATTCGTCTCCAGACCTTGCTCTCCTTCGCATGTGCCGCACTCCAACCGTCAAACCGTTTTATTATTTCGACCGATTCCACGTAGATTTTGGCCGCGGCAATCAGCGGCATCAGCGTCAGAATTAAGGACAGTCCCACGATCAAGGGAAATAGGCCAAAGAGTGGCCAGTCTATCTGATCTCGTAACTTGATGCAAGCAAATGTTCCCAGCATTTGAAGAAGTGGTGGTCCAACTATGCACGCGGGGAATAGAACATATCTCAAACAATCATTTACATGGCAGGACGCCACTTGCAGGGCGCGGTATTCGGAGAATCCGTCATTTTTATGACCTGGGTTGAATGAGAATGTGCACGTGTACTTTGAGATGCAACATATTCCCGCGATGATGACATAGTTCAGGTAGAATGATCCTGAAATGACGGTCTGGCCAAAGATCACGTATTCAACGAGGAGGATGAGAAGCTTTAAAGGCCAACAAGTTTCGATAGGTTCGAGAGATCCTAAGGTACACGAAGGTAGCAGGAAGGAAGCCAAGAAGGGGGGCTGGCATGGACGGATCAAGAGTAGTAAAGAAATCATGACTGGGACATGGAGACCGTTGACGTACGACAATACTTGCACTGAGTAAATGACGTATTCAACAATTCCGCGTGATTCTAGGTGTGACCCTGTTAAATAATCATTAAACATAATTTGCCTATCTAAAATTTAAAATACAAAATTATGTCAAAAACAGACACATTTTATTAATGTTAAATCATTTAAAAAAATAATTCTGAATCGAAATTTGTTGTCCAATAAAAGTATGCCCAATGAATGTGTATATATTTATAATCTTACATACCGTATATGTCTCGAAAATGTGTCTCCAAATCTGTCAACATGTTAAACATTTTGTCCGGACCTAGTCCAACATATCCCAAACGTAACAAGGCTCCCGTCGAGTAGATAATGAAGAACAGTAAGGCTTCTATTTTCGTCGCTGTAGAATATCCCGATACTGCAATAGTCCACAGTTGTAACGAGACGTAGGTCAAGTTTACCAATTTGCTCAATTTCGCGAGCACTGCTTGATATGAAGTCTTTCTAAAACGGCCAACTTTCTCCTTCTCTTCATCCCAAAAGTATTCAATGCAACGGAATTTGGCGCAGAGGGAAAGCTGGAGTTTTATATACGTTTTGGAAACAAGTACCAGCATTTTTTTCAAATTTTTAACCTCTGAAGTCACTCAGCGTTCTTACTGGATACGGTTTATAGCCCCACCATTACCAGCCATAACTCGAGCTTGAATGTGCTAGACAATTGATCAATTTATGTACATATGCAAATTATATTTCAGCAGTTTGGTAATCGGATGTGCCAACAAAGACACGGGCGGTGGAACAATCATAAATACTTAATTAATATTTCCAGTGACACTTTTAGTTCTGATGCCTGTCAACTTTTCAATGTATAAATATGTTTGTTAAGCATGCTTCCATTTCACCATTTATGTATTAATGACTTGTGTACCTCAGGTAAACAATGGGGGTTTTCATGACCTTCGTAACTGTAGATTCCTACAAAAAATATTTTTACGAAGGAAAAGGACACGTCAGCGTTGCATAAATATGTATATTTACTAAGCTCCAGGAGTATAAATTTTCGGAAATATCTTAAATTTACGGTACATACATATTTACGACGTTAACTACAGTTACGAAGGCGACGTGAAAACCCTCAATAATTTTCAACATTGTTGTATAAGTTTGTCGGCTATACCAACGTCACCGAAGAAATTTTGCGGTGACACATGGTCAGAAGAAATTGCGTGTTATAAATTAGACAATTGGTTCGCAATTTCAACAACTATTTATTTGCTCAGTTCATCCTTGACATGTTGACTTGAGAGTAAAATCATTGTCATAATGCATGCACTAGTTCACCTATTGAAGTATGACTTAAATGTACATTGCATTAATTTCTCTCAGATAAATCATATCATAATAATAATATTACGTAGCTATGTATTAGACATTTCATTGATATAAGACAGTTACATAAGTGTTACATAGTGTCAGTTTCTACTTTCTATACGATAGAAGGAAAGGTAGTGCATATGTATGTACATAAAGTTTGACATTTACTCAAAATTCATGAAATTGTATAACCGTACATTATTTAATTTAGATTATACAATTTATTTATTTATTAATACATATGTCGATCAAAGATTGGTGTCTGGTTTTCATATTACTTACGAGTATACATATATAACATATTATTATGTTATTTATGTTATGTTATTTATATATTATACATATATTATTTATGTTATGTTAGTTACGACACGAGATATGTATGTACACATCTAACGAGGGAACCTCTTATAGTGCCCGGAGCTCCCAGCATAACCACTATGTACATTCGACGAAGATTTTAATACTAGTCCGATGATGTCACACGATAAGAAATGTAGCTTTGTTAGATAGATAGCTCAACTCGCCTCAACTTGGTGCGGTGCACGGGCCTTTCCAACACTTAGCACCAGAGCACGTCCACACAGAAAAGTGTGCATAATAATACAATGATCTGAATTAAAATCTTTCATTGTATGGGGTATAATTTATTCAAAATTACGATATATAGTCAAATTAATCAACCGATTTCAATTTTGTTTTCAATAAAAATAGTTTATAAAATTCAAGGTATAAAACAATCACAGGGACTCCTCTCCGATAGGGAAATGTGATACACCAAAATGAAGGGTTCTTCATACTGCTCAGGAATATATAAAATAACTTATTAAGGCCAGCAAACGTATATTAAGGTCATAAAAAAGGTCAGAGGTTAAAATTTTTATTCTATTTTTGGACGTTTTAGAGAATTTTAAGACCTTGTCTTACTTCCCCCAGGCGGGAAATTTTTGGGGTATTGTAAGATTTGTTGTTTTTCTTGTAGAATAACGAATATACATGTTTTTATGTAAGGCGGTAAATTTTTGGAGCACAAATTAATACTAATTATTAATTATTAGGGTAAAGTTATAATGCTCCATATTGTGGTAGCTAGGTAGGATAGCTAGCTAGTAAAGATATTTAGGATGGCTAGGTAGGATTGCTAGCTAGTAAAGATATTTAGGATGGCTAGGTAGGATTGCTAGCTAGGATGGCTAGCTAGGATTGCTACCTAGGATTGCTACCTAGGATGGCTAGCTAGGATGGCTAGCTAGGATTGCTACCTAGGATGGCTAGCTAGGATTGCTACCTAGGATGGCTAGCTAGGATTGCTACCTAGGATGGCTAGCTAGGATTGCTACCTAGGATGGCTAGCTAGGATTGCTACCTAGGATGGCTAGCTAGGATTGCTACCTAGGATGGCTAGCTAGGATGGCTAGCTAAGATTCTAGGATTGGTAGCTAGGATGGCTCCCTAGCACTGTGCGAAGCTAACAAAATGATCGACATTCAACATTCGCTAAAAGCTAGAAATCTTACATTACCCCCCAAAAAATTTATGAGTTTAAGTATTTATACATACAGGTACATATGAATTTGCATATATGCTTAATATGCATTAAACCTGAGCAAATTTGAAGCAGTTAATCATTGGTCAAAATAGTGGTCATTTTTGAAACCTCTGTCCCAAATACTGTCTAAGCCAGTAAACAAAAATGCAAAAAAAACAATTGCCCCGACTAGCATTGGAACCCACGACCCCGAAATGGGATAAAACGAATTTAAGCGTGCTCAAAATGTGTTTTTCGCACATTTCAGAGCCACCACCGCGAGCTGAGCTATCTATCCATATATAACTGATCGTGTGCGATGATGTGACAAAATTTCCGTGTCAAAATGACATTTCGTCAAGTGGTGACGACTTTAGTGACGCGCCGAACGGTCACTTTCGCCCATGCTTTCAAAAGAGGAACGCTTTTCACCACTCGCTCCTCACTTATCTCACTTAAATCTCAACCCATTTACTCACAAGGGATTTTCCTATATCTTTACAATTTACGGATTTATTTGTGCCCTCTTCTCATTCACCATTTGGACAAATTCACAAGCATTGCCTTCAATATGTCTGCTGCTAATGTGAATATTGACCAGCTCTTGATAGGTAAAATTGACACCGTCGACATCTTCTTCCTCCCATTTCTGTGAGACTCGTTGCGACAGACTTGCAGAAGCTTCCTCGACGTCTTACTCATCTTCAGAATCCTCATGAAATTCATTTATTGTATCACTAATTAAATCGTATCCCTCGACATATGTGTCAATATCACAATCATAGTCAAATTCTAAAGCAATAGAAGATTCAAAGTCCGTATTTGAATTATTAACTAAATCTTCCACAAAACGCAAAACCCGGTCGACAATTTCAACATTGTTAACTGGAATTGATGAAGCGTTGAAATCTCCCGAATACCTGTCCTTGGCGATTTTAAGAACAGCCTCACAAATAGATACAATTATAGACGTTCTATAATTTTTAAACTCCGAATATTAAAAAAAAAATATTAAAAGGCTACAAATAGTAAACAAGGATCATATTGTCAACACAGTTAAATTGGATGCGAGTTTACTCAATGAGTAAATGGGTTGAGATTTAAGTGAGATGAGTGAGGAGCGAGTGGTGAAAAGCGTTCCTCTTCATGGCGAAAGTGACCGTTCGGTGCGTCACTAAAGTCGTCACCACTTGACGAAATGTCATTTTGACACGGAAATTTTGTCACATCATCGGAGTAGTATTAAAATCTACGTCGAATGCACATAGTGGTTATGCTGGGAGCTCCGAGCACTATAAGAGGTTCCCTCGTAAGGAGGGGAAGTTGTGTACTACAGAGGGTTGGGACAGAAGAAGGAGCCACTTGAATTTTAGGGGTGGCGTGTGATGCACAGTCGCGGCATTTTCAAAATTTGCATATGTCATACCCAGATAGATAACGAAAATTTAGCACTATTCAGATTTTCCCTACGGTTAAAAATGCCCCTACAGCACCCCCCAGAGTGCGAGGCACGCATAAAAGTGTTTTCCAAAGACATATTGAGCCAGAGAGTTCTATTTCTAGAGTCATTCACAATGACCTACAGCAAGTGACTCGTAGGAAATCCCGAGATCATGCTCGCAACCCAACTTATTTCTCACAAAATAGCAGCCTACGCGAACGATTTTTAAAAAGGTTTGGGTATAACAATTACTCCTACTACAGAAACTCTCGTTAGTTCCTCTGATATCAATCCGATGTTTTTTTTGGATTCGGGTACTTAAAATGGAGCCTTCTTGAAAGGAAAACGCGCACGTTTTGATGCACTTTGGAAAAGTGTTCAGGACGAGTGGTGCAGAATCACTCTGAAAATGGTGTCAAAGGTCATGACCTTTGACATGACTGGTTGGAAAAAGCGACTGAGGCTCGTTAGATAAACTAAAGGGCTTCACACTGAACCAATTACCAAACTTCACAAACGAATAATAAGGCCGCAATAAATTTAGGCAAAGTGGCTCCTTCTTCTGTCCCACCCCTGTATCAACTCCCGGGTCTCGATACCTTTGGATATTTTGTAGTGTCCCATGAATGTACAAGAACCCTGAAGTGGTTTGATTCCATGGCCACATTTGCGCCCGCCACACCCACTCAAAGGTGCCCAAAAATCGCTTTTACTCCAGCTTTCACTCATTCAAAACGACGCCAAAAATCCAATTTTACTCCGATTTTCAAATTTCTTTCACCATTATACTCCCAGATAGTTGCTTTCTTATTTCCAACATCAAACTCAACTTTTTTAAATTCTTAGTATTTTTAAAATTTAAAATTCTGAATGAGCACTGTTGTACTACTTACTCAGAATTACTTCACCAAAAATTTGATTCCCGCTTCGTATCCCTACCATACTAATAGTATGGGAAGGATACCAGCGCGGGATGGAAAAGAAAAACTGAGTTGATATTAGTAATCAACAAAACAAATTATGCCTGCGAAATAATCATCAAAAAAGTTGAGTTTGATGTTGGAAATAAGAAAGCAACTATCTGGGAGTGTGAAAGAAATTTGAAAATCGGAGTAAAATTGGATTTTTGGCGTCGTTTTGAATGAGTGAAAACTGGAGTGAAAGCGATTTTTGGGCACCTTTGAGTGGGTGTGGCGGGCGCAAATGTGGCCATGGAATCAAACCACTTCAGGGTTATTGCTCATTCATGGGACACTACAACATATCCAAAGGGCATCGAGATCCGGGAGTTGATAGTACACAACCTCCCTCCTAAGTATGTAATTACAGAGCTGATAGATATCTGCAAAAAGTAATAGATAAGTATTTCTTCCCACACGGGCAGACTAACGGGTATTTTATTACAGCAGTACAGCACTATGTCCTTTAGAGTTGACAATTATCGTTGAATTTATATTTATTGACCACATAGTTATTAATTTGAATTAACCTCTTGGCTACCACACATTTGTGTAACGATTTTTATCACTTGACTTCCATAAACTATTTTTCCAAATGTTACTTTGCCTACCAATTACACACATTTGTGTAGCAAAATTATTTTTCTTGGCTACCAAAATATTTTTTGGAAATTTTATGTGGTCCGGCATTTTACAACTTGATAGATTTCCATTATCTATCGGAATTTTAAAAATCCGCAATATATTACACACATTTGTGTAATTGGTAAGCAATGGAAAACGATCTCGTGTGGGTAGCTAATGGAAATAATTTTGCTAAACAAATATGTGTAATTGGTAGGCAAAGTAATATTGCGAAAAATGGATTGATAGCTACGTGATAAAAAATCGTTACACAAATATGTGTAACTGGTACGCAACGGAATATTCCCGAAAAATAACTGGTAACAAGGAGGTTAAGCTACCAATTTGTTTATATCTGTTTTAAATGATTTAACTATTTAAATGATGAAGAATTGAAGAAGCAAATTCTGATTTAAATTTATTAAGGCAAATTTTAATTTCACTCCACAGTTTTCAAGTATTCTGCAATCGTGTTTGCAAGTTGAGAAAAATCTGGTCTCTGATCTGGATCGGAAAGCCAGCAACTCTGCATCAGTGCAACTCTGTAATTAAGGAAACAATTAAATAATGTCATTTACAGTTTCTTCAGGTAAAAATGTAAATTGTGAACACGAATCGTGTTACACGATTGAATTGAATTGTAGAAAGATCGCTAAATCTGATTAAATTACGCACGACTCACAATTCGTCGGGGCAATTGGTTGGTGGTGAAAGTCGCAGCCCAGCGGTGAGACTTTCGATAAAATAATCGTTCCACGTGAGCGTCGGATATGGCAGGCCTCCAAAACTGAAAATCTCCCACATGGTCACTCCGTATGACCAGACGTCCGACTTGACGGAAAATTGGAACAATTTTAGTGACTCGAGACTCATCCAGCGCCAGGGGAGCAAGGCCTTGATAAATATTTCAGTAGAATAACTGCCAGTATTGCATAATTATCATCTGAAAATCTGAGATTAAGTACCTTGCCCTTTTTGACGTAATTTCCATAATCGTATAGTTTCCGAGATAGTCCAAAATCAGTAATCTTGATGGAAAGTTTCCCATCAAGTAGACAATTCCTCGCCGCTAGGTCGCCGTGGAGGACCTGTCGAAAAATATTAAGCAATTTTTCCATATTAAAAATTAGCAGCAAACCTTGTTATTTGCAAGGAAATCCATCCCTTCAGCGATTTCTTTGCACCACGTCACAAGTTGTTTACGGCTGAAACACTCCATATTTTCATAATTTGGTCCTCCATCCTCCGGGGCATTTACTACTCTTAGATTTCCTCCTTCTTCGAATTGTTTGGCATGATCTCGAACGTATTTCAGGAGACTTCCATTTTCACATAATTCTAAAATTATGCTTACTTTGCCTATAGAATGGGACAATTATCTGTAGGTGTTTATTTAGCGAATACATGTCATTTACCTCGATGCACTTCTGCGATGCAGAATCCCAAAAACTCGACGATATGGGGATGCTTGCCAACGAACATGTTGATCTTAATCTCCGCCAAAAGCGCCCTAATTTGCTCCACAGTTATACCAATTCGTGGCGTTTTTATGGCGACGTCCTTGATAATGGGAAGACCTGATTCTTCAACGAAACCGCTGTGCAATACCCCTTGAACAACCACACCGAATGTACCACTTCCCAGCACAATGGGTGACTTGTCCTCAGAATTGGCTAAGGACAATAGCATATACTGAATTACCTAAGATTTCACAATTTATCTGGGAGTTTTCCTACCGTAAATGAAATCCTTCGGCAATATTTCGTACACTCGGTTGACCGCCATGTTCTGAATGGCGTCGTCATTATTTGCACTCACAGCATCAGAACCATTGTAGAACGCGTCGATCTCCGACTTGCATAGTTTCCTCTTCCTCGAAGAATTTCGCATAATTAAGACAAAAGCTATCGTTCCGATTGACACCAGGATAATCACTGGGATTCCGACGTATAGTAGCACGTTGCTACTTTCCTGCGTTACGTTCGGGCCGAAATCATTTCTAAGATTTGCACGAGCCACTGAATGCGCCCATGAATAAATTTTACAGCTACTCGCGGATCTCGGCAAATAGTTTGGATTTGACCAGAGCGGATTTCCGGTAAAATTTATCGTCACGACTCCCTCTGTATCCGTAATGTTTAGTACATGAGGCGTCAAGTTGGACGCCATTTTACACTCTTTCTCGGTGTAAAGATAAATGCAGACAGATTTAGCAGTGATCAATTGTAAGGAGTCCTCAGCCCAATTGTGGTCTTCATCGAGAGCTTCACAGTATGAGATGAGGGAGAAGGCTTGGGTAACACCTGGTAATTGAGGTATAACAAAATGCTATAAAAACGGTAATAGGTATATACATAAACACGTGTTTTAAGGATTTAATATCCATGTCGGTGATTAATCAATACATAAATTTTGCATCGTTTTGCCAAAAAAAACAATTTCTTCAGAAATACTTATTAGGGGAATTTAATTACCTGATTTAAAAAGTAGTACGATTCCCTCGTGGTGATGCTCCCATTCTTGATTTTCCTCTTTCAACACCATTTTCTTGCTTCCGTTAAAATTACACCTACTGAAAGACCCGATCACGGTGTTTGACTTGAAGAAATTTTCGAAATTCCATCTCCCCAGATCACTGGCGTCAAAGTTGGGTCGGATTCGGACAGATTGTGCGTACGGGGAACAGTTGATATCTCGATAGATTTGGACACATCCTTCATGCACGAAGACCGATCGGACACTTCCTGAGCGGTAATAGAATGGGATTTCCCAACAGTTGTCCTCACTAGAAGTACTGTTTGTTGAGTTAATCGTCCAAGCGGAATCTGTTTGTTAAATTCGAAATATTGTTCACGGTGAAATTTCGACAAATAAATAAATTTATAATTTAAAATTCTAATTTTATTTTCAGTTCGTATGTAATTGCTACCGAACTGATGGGTCGTCATGGTAAACGAATATGGACCGTTATCTCGTAGATGATCTTCATCCCTGCACTTTCGAACACTCCGAATTTTCCATTGAGTACTGATAAGGCCGAAATCGCGAAGAATCGGAGACCCAGGAAACAGGGTATCACTTGGTCCGGTGCAGTTCAATCCAGTAAATACCGTAACACAGGAATGGTGCGTTACCATTGAATCGAGAGGAAAATTATTGCTGGGAAGCAGGATACAGTCAGTAGTCGAAAAAGAATTATTATGTCCTAGGATATGAAAATGAAATGTTTTTAATGGTTTTAGAAAATCTGGTCGGTGTACAGGAGAAGGTTTTCAGATTAATAGCAATTTGGAACCAGAGCTTTCGGATCGTTTTTGGTTAATGTTTGACTGTATTAATTTTATCAAGAATCTTTTTCAAGCCATTTTGATCCAATAACTTTCGCTTCCAAACATCTTTTGCTTGGTAATGGTTACAAACTATTTGATGCATGCATATGTACATATATGTAGATACTTACCTTGGAAATCGGTGTTGTTGAAAATCGAAATTTCGAATAATTCCAGAGTCGGAGATAAAAATCCTGCTAACGTGGCGGGGTATGCTTCTGATTTGAGCACTTCGGAACAAAGCATGACCGATTTCACGCCAGAAGAATCACTCGGGTTGTCAAAATCCATGATATTGTGAGATCCTGACAGAGTACCGTTTAATACGGTGGGACGATAAACGGTGGGATATCTGTTGCAATAACTGTTGGGGTAGAGCACGAGACACAAACCGGACGTTCCGACGCGACGAACCCTAGATCTGTCTTCCTCAAATGTATTGTAACATTTGTAAATGTCGAGAATGTAATCTCCGACATCGTGGGTTTTACCTAAAAATTATTAGCGTTGTGAGAACTTGATAATAACGATATAAGGTTTATGCCCTGCCTCTAGTGCTGTTCACGAACTTCAGAAAGTTGGGCTCAATTACGACGAGCCGATCCAAAGCAGCTCGATTAATAATCGGGCGAGCTTAATTTTTCTTATAAAACAAGCTGCGCCAAGAAAATGACGAGCCGAGCCAAGCCTGTTCAATCGCTTAATTCGCATTTTAAAACTCTAGCCAGCTCAACCCGGCTTTTAAAAATTTGAGCTCTAGCCGAGGGAGTACCTCAGCTCGGCTAGTTTATTATCGAGCCTCGGTCATGCTCGACCCGGGAATAGCACTACCTGCCGCGGGAAATGCTACATTTTTTCATGGGGACACGTGTTTTTATAAAAATTCTTAAAGTTAACTATGAAATGTATTTATTATCAGTTCACTTGCCCGATTCATGAAGCAACCGGAAACCGGTATCATCCGGCTCCCCTTCCAAAATCAGTCTACCAATCGCATTTCTCACGACCGGGTTGTCCACACATTTTGAATTGCAATGACTGAAAGATCTCACAGGAGAGTGAAATCCTCTCTGCGTCAGTTCCCTCGTGTCATGGGTCCCCAATAGCTGAATGTCTTCTCCGCTACAGTCAGGATTGCTGTAGAATTGGACACATACGTCAACCACATTGACCGCTAAATTTGAAAAGGTGCTAACGTCGGTGGGGATAACGCCGCAAGTATTGTTGTAGAGGGAGGTGAATTCAGACGAGTTGAACATCCAGCGATTTCCTTGAAATATAATTGGGGCACAGTAACATTGTGGATTTGCATATGTACATAAATTCCCAACGTACCTAGGTATATGTACGCAAATAATTTTACTGTAAATTTTTGCAGTAGGGGATCGTTCAAAAAATACGTAACGCATCGGAGGGGGGGATGTTGCGTTACAGACAAATTTGCGCCACATGGGGGGAGGGAGGGGTAAAAAATCGCAGATTTAGCGTTATGTATTTTATGAACGTTCCCTAGAGTATAGTACTTGTAGCGTAATTAACTAGGCACAAATAGTACTCTGGTCCAAATTCAGCCTTGCCATGCGTTTATAGTAAGGAATTTGTCGATCCAGTTTCGAAAGGGTAATCAGAAAAACGGCAATAAAAATAACATCTCTCTTCCCCACATATGTACGTACCTGCCGTCATATTGACTCCGTTTCCCATTGTGAAAATGTACGTCTCCACCTTCTCCCAATTTGCAGTACCAGGTTGAAATAAACAATCGTAACATTTGCTAACTGAAAGAACTCCGGGATCAGTGACGAAATAGTTCCGAGACAAATCCGAACTGGAGGTAATATCGTCTGACGCGATTTTTAACATCCTTGAAGCGTTGCATCGCTCGCCTTCGTAAACAATGACACAATTCCCAAAGGTTTTAAGAGAGACAATTTTCTCCTTTAAATGTTCCGGAATTTCGGGCAAGCAATCATTCACAAATAGTTTGGTTTCAGTTCCTAAAGTAATTTTTAGAGATGTAAATTTCTACCGCTAAAATTAGCAATTTTGACATGGCTGACCTTTGAAATTTGGCTCAGTGTAGGCAGAAATGTGGAAGCAATTAACAAATCTGAACGTGAGAAATGTGATGCAAGTTGTGATCAGTATCTTGTAAAAAATGTCGTTGTGACGCGGAAGAATTTGTAATTTTTTGGGCAACATGACAAATTCGAGCAGTTATTTATTTGATAAGATACTCGTAGAAATTATCTGAAATATATTTTTATGGACAATGAACATTCTTTGTTACAAATGTCGCGTGCGTATTATGTATGTTCGTCAATAACAGCCCACATTTTTGGACGCAGGTTAGAATTCCACGGAAAACCACAATTTCCGGAAAAGTTGGCCAAGTTGAATTAAAATAAATCAAATCGTAATATGGTATTGTATAGCATTACGTACAGAAATTTGGAAAGAACATACTAGTGTGTAACGTGTGTAAGTTGTGTGTAAATGAGGAAAGTGGTTAGATTTTGCATAAATACAGATGCACAGAAATTTCTACTTCATAAATACGTATACCTATATTGACACATATATATACAATTTCTAATTTGCAAATTATGGGAAAAAGTATTATTTAATATTTCAAAATCTTGATTCTGTTACATATTTATGATGGTATTCACTATTTCGTCTTATCCTTAGTATTCTTCGTATAGTAAAATATGTAACTTAACTTACGGCGGTCACGGAATTTTATAAGCGTCGTAAGATTTTGTCATTGAAAGTCACGTTACTACGCTTGCGATTTTTACGAAGCTTGACACATTGTTTTTTCTTCGTAAACTATTTTACGATATTAAAGATACTAAAAATTAATGAATATCCTCCATGTATCTTAAGATATAGTTTATGGTTTTTATTTTTCAATAATAATATGTAGTTTAAATTCTTATTTGTCTAAGTTCTGTTTTCTAATTATGTATGTATATACATTGTACAGATACAATCACTTTAAATGAACTACAAACATGCATAAGTCGGACTTCTGTATAAGTAGCACGATAAAGCATATAATACATACGCTTTTACTACGGAATTGCATAAATTTGAAGTAGCCTTTCCAGTAATTTTCTTAATTAAGAATTTGGCAACTTTATATAACAGCGCTATGTATATCTACCCTGGCCTATTTAATCGCCTTATCTTACATTCGCTTATCTTGATCCATTCAGTTACACAATGGTTCATCAACCCTATACTATTTCCTTATGTATTTAAGTATTTACACACATATGTATTTATACATGCATTCTATATGCGTACTATTTCACATTTTGACAAACTTCCTCCTTTCACCAAGGAAATAATGAGGGTATTCATTATTTCTTCGTATCCATCGTATCGTAAAATAGTTTACGAAGAAAAAACAAGGGGTCAGGTTTAGTAAAAATCGTAAGCGTAGTAACGTGATTTTCGATGAGAAAATCTTACGACGCTTACAAAATCTCGTAAGCTTCGTAAGTTATTTTACGATACGAAGAATACTAAGGATACGAAGAAATAATGAATACCCTCAATGTATGTAATGTATCCATTAAGCTTACTTTGTTTTCGAATACATTAACAAGGACGCGGTCTGTCTCATACAGAAATCCTGAACAACAAGCGGATTACACGCGTCAACAAAATTACCACCGAAATGAATCCTTAACGGCCGAATGGACCTCACCATCCTCCTCCAGCACTTATTTTCCATCACATTCTTATCTGACCTCCATCCCTCAAAGCGTTTCATGACTTCGCACGAGGTCACAAATATTTTTCCCGTAGCCAGCAGCGGCATCACCGTGAGGATCAAGGCAGGGTTCGGAAAAACCCAGGGTTTTAATCAAAAATTATAAAACCCATGGGTTTTAATGGGTTTTACCATGTTAATTGGGTTTTATTTGGGTTTTAATGGGTATTAATGGGTTTTATTGGGTTTTATTGGGTTTTATTAGGTTTTAAGCAATCACTTAACAAAAATAATTCGGAATTTGTATCTATTCTGAAATTATTTTTGTTCTATAACACTTGAAATCTGTTATTCTATAGGATGGAGTCAATTGTTGATTTGTTCCGGATTTTCATATAGTAGAGTAGTAATGAAATAAACTGCTTAAGTGAAGATAAGGTAACTTAAGATAACGTCTTCTTACGCATAGGAGATGTATTTGACCTTAAGAATGTAGTTTTAAGGTAAAATTCAATTAAAACCCAATAAAACCCATTAAAACCCAAATAAAACCCACTTAACATGGTAAAACCCAGTGGGTTTTATTCATTTACAACCCATTAAAACCCATTAAAACCCAATAAAACCCAACCCATTAAAACCCAGGTCGGAATACCCTGGATCAAGGACAACCCCACAATTAGCGGGAAGAGGCCGAATAGTGGCCAATTTATTTCATTTCGTAGCTTTACACATGCAAACGTTCCCAACATTTGGAGCATTGGCGGGCCTACGATACATGCGGGAAAAATGGCGTGTTTTATGCAATCGTTAACATGGGTAGTTGCAACTTGAAGAATTCGAAATTCCCTGAATCCATCCGCACTAGGGCCGGGGTGGTATGAGAAGGATCCCGTGTACTTCGAAATGCTGCAGATTCCCGCGATGACGACGTATATGATGTACCACGAGCCAGAGATAACCGTCTGGGAAAAGATGACATATTCCACAAATAAAATGACGAATCTTGCCAGGTTGACTAGGCTGGGTTGACAAATTCCGCACAAATCGCCCCCATATTTACAAGATGGGAGTAGAATGGAGCCCATAAATGGAGGTTGACATGGACGATTGTACAGCAGAAAGGTGATCGACACCGGAACGGCGAGGCAGTTGATATATGCCAAGGGTTGCAAGCAAATTACGAGAAAGTCCTTTCCGGCAGGTGATAGTTTCAAGCCTAATAACGAGAAAGGTGCTTTAATGCACGATTTACATATTTTCTGTATAACGTACCGTAATTTTTCCTCAATTTTTCCTCTAAAAGTGATAGTGAATTGAGCATTTGTCCCGGGGTGAGGCCAACGTGTCCTAATCGTACCGCTGCCCCCGTCATGTATATCACGGAGAAGAGAGATGCCTCGATTTTTTGTGGGGCAGAATTATTGTTCCCCATAATTGATGACAATTGGAGTACGACGTAAAATAGGTTGATTGCTCTGCTAAGCTTTATCTTCTTGTGCAGCGTGGAATTTCTGGACACCTGCACAATTTTTTTGTGCAGCGCATCCCAGGAGAAATCTAGACAGGAAAAACGCCCACAAAGTGAAAGTTGAAGAGACAAGTATTTCTCGGAAGCGAAAACAATCATTTCGTTGACAAAGGAAAGTTGAAGATGTATTTAGTTTGACGGGTGAAAATGTTTTGGGGTAGAAATAGCTCTTATGTAGCTCAGGTAAGCCTAAAAGCGTACGTGCCTCGTTTCCCAATTTTCGGGCCAGACTTCCTGTTATCAGATCCAGATTGATTAAACCAAAAACCAGTGATGAGGGCATTTACTCAATTTAAGTCTGAATATGTACATATGTACTTGTGTGTAGCCAGGGTAATACATTTCCTCACATCATTCATTAATTCCACTATTGCACATTGTCCAAAGTGGCCAGATTTGAGGAAATAAGTCCCCGAGCACTTTTCTCCTAATATTTTTGCATATTCGGAGCCCTGGGTGGCCTAGGATGTGTTCATAAAAAATTCGACGAGCCACACCCACTTTGGGTAAGGTTCTTTCCTAGTGGGTTTATGGCCAATCGCCCAAACGAAATTTGTAGCCCAAACGATTATACACTTTCAGTAAAAATTTCAACCAATTCGGTCCATAAGATTGAAAAAAACTGTTGAAAAAAAAGATTGAAAAAAAGAACATTGAAAAAAATCTTGGCGAAATTGTCCAAAACGGGCGAAATCAAACATGACGTAGAGCGATAAAATTTAATATCTAGCTTCAGCTGGTCCTAAAAAGTACGTCGCAGGTGAAATTGAGCCATGTCGTCATGGAACGACATCGACATGTCGAAATTTCGACATGACTGTATAGCGCTCAAATTCAAACCAAATACTCCCCTACCTCTCCATAAACGCATAATTTTTTTTTTCATGTCGACATCCAATTTTGGAAAAAATTGAGTTCGTTTTGAATTTCCTCTCCTCCTGCACGTGTTCACATTTTTGAACTCTGGCCCGGTCACGTGCGCGAATGATGACGACACCGGAGGCGTCACCTCTAGCGTCCTCTGGTCGCGACGACACTCTGATGACGACGACGATGACGAACTTGAAGAAGGGACAAAGTTGGTAACTCTGTTTTCCCCGCAGATTGTGGACGGTGTCGATGACGGTGACCCCCACCCCCACGGAGTTTCATATTGAGGGAGCGGCGTCGAACACTAAAATCCTTTTCGAGACATGGCAGACACAGAAAAAATTTGTAGAAATTGTTCGGAATTCGAGATCCTTTCGGGACTGAGGACACCGTTGAACTGAAATGGTAACTTATCGATTAAGGATAAGCTCAAAGAAATCGTGTAAATAAAATGCGACGGATTTTCTTATCATATTTCCATTATTTGATGCGTATCGTGGACATGACATTCCTTTCCCCTCTTATCAGATTTCTTCTTATCAATAACGATATGCAAATTAATGCTCGGAATTCCGAGATGCTTTCCGTCCTGAGGATGAGAGAACTTACTGCAATGAAATTAAAATCTCCTTAAAAATTAAAAAAATTCAAGGATGCTATGTTTTTATTTCTTATTTCAGACATAATTTAAGAAAAGTGTAAGATTTTAAAACCCAATAAAAATTCTGTCAAATTGTTTAAATTTTAAAATGAACTAATTCCAATGAAAATAAATCGACAAGTTTAAAAAATCATGGAAATAAAATGCATCAAATTTATTTATAATGGACGAATTATTACGAATCTTATTTGTTGTGATGATAAAACTAATAACTCAATAATACATTAATCTCGCTAGAGATGAGTTGAATTTCTAATTTGCATATCACTGATAAGAACAAATCTTCACGCGTGAGAGAGAAGAAAAGAGAAAGGAAATGAGTGTGCATATTATGTAAATTGAGTAGCGATAAGCTAATTTACATATGTACATTCCTTTCCTTCTCTCTCTTAATCGATTTATTTCTTCTCGCACGCATGAAGGTAGATATCTTCTTATCAATATGATGATATGCAAATTAGGCAGTTCCACTCATCAATAAATATGTCACACTTTATACATGATTTTTTCACTTATCTTTATTATTGGAATCATTTCATTAAAAATGAAAAAAATTCACAGAATTTTTATTGGGTTTCGAAATCTTACAGTTTTCTAAAATTATAAAATAAGAAAGCTGAAAACAACAAAAAATATTGAATTTTTTGGAGGACATTACAATTTCATTACATTCATTTCGTAATTCTGAGCATTAATTTGCATATCATTATTGATAAGAAGAAATCAGATAGGAGAGAGAGAGAGAGGAAAGTAAGCAATGTGCGCCCGGGTGCACGCTATATATGTATCAAAGAATTGAAATAAATATGTAAATTTAATACCGATAAGAAAATCCGTCGCATTTTATTTACCTTATCATCTATAAGCTTTTCTCATACTCATTTCAGTTCAAGGGTACGGAAAGGATCTCGAATTCCGAGCTCTAATTTGCATATCATTATTTATAAGAGAATAAAGAGAAAGTAATACGCGTACCACTGCACGCCCACACTACAAACGTATCGAAGAATGGAAATATGTAAATTTAATACTGATAAGCAAATATCGTATAAATAACACGAGTCTCTTGAACGTATCCTTAATCGATAAGTTATCATTTCAGTTCAACGTTGTCCTCCGTAGCGAAAGGATCTCGAATTCCGAACAATTTCTACAAATTTTTTCCCCCTCTCTTTGCGCCATGTCTCGAGCACACCGTCGCCAAAAAGTGGCCTATTCCACCCCCCTCACCCCCTTTGAAACCCCGTCCGAGTGGGGCTTCACCCGACCAGTGTCCACCATCTCGGGGGGATCGGACAAGTCGGAGGATACCCGGACATCTTCATCACAAGCCCCGTCCTCAATTTACGGACGAAATCAACACAAATTTGTCCTTTCTTCAAGATCGTCGACATCTTCGAGTCGGTACGTGACCGCGCCCGCGCCCTCGTCGTCGTCTTCTTCAAGCCGGTATGTGACCGCGCCCTCGTCGTCGTCATCATTTTCGTCTTCCAGCCATCACCACGTGACCACCACGTGTGAGTCCGTCGGGGGAAAAGGAAGGTTCAAAAATGTGGAGATGCGCAGGAGGAGAGGAAATTACCGTCGTGAACCGGCCCCCGTGGAGGATCTCTTCGACAAGTATGACAACGACCCATCCTTCACGGGAGGAGTCGTCAAATGCCACGAGTTTGTCCAAACCCACTTTGGAAAAAAGTATCCCAGGTGAGAAACTAAGCATCTTTTTTTTGTACGTATTTCTGAAAAATTTTGGATTTTTGTGACCAATGCCAATTTTGCGACAGACACAATCTTGCAATGGGCACGTTTGGCGCAGATATTTGCATCCGGATAGGAGAAAAACGCGTCTTTAAGTCGACTAATTTTAAACTGGTCTTTTTCTCCTCTTTGGGTGCAAATATCTACGCCAAACGTGCGCATTTTGACATCGTGTCATGTTTGATACATGGTCAACACTCATGGCACACATTTAGCAATGGACATCTCTTCAAGTTTGAGCAAATTAGTGTCTCCCGATTACAGATTTACTTGGCATGAAATTTATGAAAGACACGATATCCCAATTGGCACGTTTGGCAGATAAATATGTTTGCATCCCAAGAGGAGAAAACTGGCCTAACAAATCTTAAACTTTTCAATTGACTGTGCATTTTTACCTCTTCGGATGCAAATATTTCTGTCAAACGTGCCCATCGTGAGATCGTGTTTTTCGTAAATTTCATACTAACTAAATTTGTTATTGATTCACACTAATTTCCTCAAAATCGGAGAGCATATTTAAGCTGGGAGATCTTCATTGTGCAAAATTTTGGATGTTTTGCAACCATTAAATACAATTTTTTTTACCCGTATTTATTTAGGCAAATTCAAGTTGGAAATCTTCTCCAGAAGAGAGAAGAGATCCGGGCCCGATTTTTCGGGGATGGACAACCCGTCTCGGACCGGAACAGAGTCGTCCTCGACCCCTTTTCCTACATGACGCCGCCTCGGATTGGACGTCATTCTCCAGCGCCCAGCAGTGGGAGTGGATGCTCATTTCTTTAATAAACATGTAATTGTGAGAGAATTATCACTCCGTTATTTTCAGAAATATTCAATTTATTACGTACTAATTAAAATCACAATTTTTCAAAAATCTGTATTACTTTAAAAATACGTAGTTTAACAAAATCTGCATAATTTTAAAAATAGATGTTTTCAAAATCTACATAACTTTAAAAGAGGACACAATTTTTCAAAAATATGTCGAACTTTAAGTTAATTTATCAAATATCTGTACTTTAAAAATAGATGATTTACAAAAATCTACATATGTAATTTTTCAAATAGACAATTTCCAAAAAAAACTGTATAACTTTAAAAATATATAATTTTACAAAATCCATCCAACTTCAAAAAGAAGATATATTTTCTAAAAATTTTGTATAATTTAAAGAAAGGCATAATTTCTCAAAAATCTTTAGAACTTTAGCAACTGTAAATTTATCAAAAATCGGTACAATTTTTTTAAACAGGTGGAATAAATAAAAATTAAGAAAAACACATTTTCCCCAATCCATCCACTGATTAGACTTTGTCAAATGTGCATCATGAAAGAGTCATCTATTCAGTCTCGAACACTACAAGATTTCCGAGCGGATAAGATTTTTGATCTGTGCTCATATGTATCTACGAATTTGCACCGTACTTAAATTATTGATTAATATAAATATTTGTGGAGTTGAATAACAGCAGCTTTAAAATACTTTGAATCAGCATTTTGCATTTTCATCGTATATAATTTTTAATAATTAAAAGCTTTGTCATATCAATCAGTTAAGTGGGTTATGTATATTTTTTTGTCTTAAAATCCTACAAGGAGTTGATTATTAAGGGGTGAAAGCCCTTTATAAGATCGTTATGTCCGTCTGTCTGTCCGTCCGTCCGTCCGTCTGTCTGTCCGTAGCTCCGATAACTTTTGAACGAAAAGACATAGACACTTGAAATTTTGAACGTAAACTCCTAACGTCAATAGAGAGGACGAGTTCGAAGATGGGCACTGTAGGTCACACCCATCAAGGTCAAAAGGTCATGAAATGTCATTTAAAGGTCAAATTGCATACATGCATCAATTTGAATTGAAATACGGATAACACACTTCTTTCACCCCTTGGTTACATTCGTTGTGACGGTTTATTTATTAGGAAACATACATTTAATTGTGATTAGTCTGCATCTCACAAATAGCAAAACACGTTTAGCAATTGAATATTACTATCAATATATCAATTGTATTGTTTTAGTCAAATTAGAAACTAAATAAAATAGCTAAAGCTAGGTAACCCACGGTATAAATATGTATGGGAATACAGCATTTCTAACGTATTTACATATTATGCACATTTGCATTTAAATAAACAAGAATTGACACAAACTTACGTATCAAAACAACTCCAATTGCTTTCTAAACTTATGTAATGTTACACCATCTAATTATAATTTAAGGAACTTTTTATTGAACTTGACCAATTTTCCTGAGATGTGGTTTTCCGTTGAATTCCAGCCTGCGTCCAATGGTAGCAAAACACGTTCACTATCGCCATCGTTAAGAATATATTATAGACAATTTCTGTGAATATGCATATTTAGTGTCTTCACCGATCTGCCATGTTGTCCAAAAAACTAAATATTCGTTTGCGTCATAACTACATCTTCAACAAGATACTGATCACAACTTGCATAATATTTCTTACACTTACATTTGTTAAGTGTTTCCACATTTCTGCCTACACTGAGCCCAATTTCAAAGGTAAGTATGTAACCATGTCAAAATTGTAAATTTTAACGATAGAAAATTTCTACTAGAAATGTACAGCTTTAAAAATCACTTTAGGATCTCAAGCCAAACTGTTTGTGAATGATTGCTTACCCGAAATTCCGGATAATTTAAAGGAAAAGATTTCCTCCATTAAAACTTTTGGAAATTGTGTCATTCTTTATGATAGCGAGAAATGCAACTCGTCCAGGATCTTAAAAATCCCATCAGATGATGTCATCTCCGGTTCGGATTTATCTGCCTATGACTTCGTCGCTAAACCCGGCGTTGTCTCAATTAGCAAATGTTACGATTGTTTAATCCAAAGCGGCCAGGATGTGGGAAGATACTCTTTCGTAATGGGAAGCGGTGTGAATATGACAACAGGCGAGAAAAAATTTCAGAAAATTACTTAAGGTGGTATAGTATGCGGATTTTGAGTTTGAATTGTTGTGTCTCAACTTTCCTTTCTTCCATATATTCAAATGGCGATTTTGAAACCTGTTCATCTCCGTGAGTTTTTTGAAATATGAAGATTTTAATGCACCTAAAAATCGATAATTTTTAGGTTCACAAAGTTAGGATGGTGTGATTTTAATTTTTTGTTTTCATGAGAAAATATTTAAGTTTTACTAATTATTTTCCATCTATTTTATATTTATTTTCTCATGAAAAAAAATCAAAATTACACCATCCTAACTTTGTAAACCAAAAAATTATCGATTTTTAGGTGCATTAAAATCTTCATTCAAACCTTAATTTAAATGCTAAATATATTAGCGTAATTTGACCACTTTCACTCACAATGCAGGTCTTCTACGTGTAAAACGCAGATTTCAATGGGATAAATTTTATTTTGCTCACCATAAAAAATAAACATCTGTATTTTATTATTTTTCATAATGCGCTAATTTTAGGCGCGGAATCGTGAGTTTTTAACTGGCTTCCTGCCACAACAGCGGGGTTTCAAAATCCTGTAACTTTTCGAATTTTAGCGCAGAGTAAAAAAATCGACAACCTGTTTCTTGAAAATGAGTTACATGATTTATTAAATTATTCTCAGATATTTTCATTTAAAATGATTGCTGTTTTTTAGGTAACCGCTGGGTGTTCAGTTCGTCTGAGTTCATTTCACTCAACCAAACCGATTCTTGTGGCGTTATTCCTACCGAATTTACTGCCATTCAAAATTTGACGGTTCATGTGCGTAAAGGATGTGTCCAATTCTACAGCAATAATGACTGTAGCGGTGAAGACGTTCAGCTACTGGTGACCTACGACACGAGGGAACTGACACAGAGGGGATTCCGCTCTCCTGTGAGATCTTTCAGTCATTGCAACTCAAAATGCATAAACAAAATTTCTGTCAGAAATGCAGAGGGGAGACGGATTTTGGAAGATGAGCCGGGAGGTGTTGGTTTCCGGTTAGTTTACGAATCCGGTAAGTTGTACAATCTATCTATGTATATAGCTTCGCCGTATAATTGGGCGGGTTTCATTGATAAATTTAATAAAGGAATACAGATTTATGCATGTCATAACACTGCAAGAGTGCGACACGTGTTTGCACATTAACATAGAAATATATCTAATACGGGGACATTTTATTATGAAATTTCCATTTAGGCCATTTTAAAATAATTTTCTCTATTTCTATAAATGTTATGTCAAGAGTTTAATATAGCACCACTTTTCCCCAAAGAATTAGTATATTTTACGAAGACAATTTTCTACATAAAGTATAGAGAGGCAATTCACACAGGGCTTGGAAACATTGTAGAATCCGTAAATTCTATAAGTCCACAGGCTATAACAAAATTTCACAAATATTTCTAAGGAAAATTAGCTTTTAACTTTTTGTAAGCTTACTCATCGTAGAATCAAAGGCGGCGTCTTTTTAATTTGTTAAACTTGCGGATTTTACAAGTTATGTACCAATGACTGTGCGAATTATCCGAGTTTCTTAAAATTATAAACGTTGCCAACGCCCTGACAGTGATTATTACCTTTTTTAGGTAATCGGGGCGATGTTAGTGACTACATTCTCAACCTTTACAAATGTTACAACACGTTCGAAAAAGATGATTCGCGAGTTCTTCGCGTCGGTGGGTACGGTTTGTGTCTCGTGCTCTACCCCAACAATTATTGCAACAGATATCCCACCGTTTATCGTCCCACAATATTTTTCACTACCCGGCTGGATTCCATCAACGTAATCGATTTCAGCAATCGGAGCGATTTTTCTGGAGTGAAATCGGTTATGCCTTGTTCCGAAGTGTCAAAATCAGAAGCTCATTCAGCCACTGTTTCAGAATATTTACCCCCAAGTTCGGAAATCCTGGAAATTACTGTCTTCGACTTGGACGATTTCAAAGGTAATAAATACATATATACGTATAAAACGAGTTTGTGTACATAATTCCTAAGGCCTAATTTATACTCGTCATTTTAGCGTCATTTTCATTTCATTTTCACGATCAACTCAATTTATACTTTTTCGGTTTCATTTTGCTTTCACGAAAAATTAACGCCATGCCAACAGCAAAATGATTGCAATTTATAGTTGAATTCATTTCATTTTTCCTTCATTTTGGTTTCATTTTCACGCCGATTTCCAAAGTTGAAAGTGTTTCAACTTTTAGAAAATGAAAATGGCGTTAATTTCTTTATAATCAACTGTAACTATGGTCGCACTATATCAGGCTGCATTGTAGGTTTGTTTATTGTATTTTTACTTGTTACGTCATGTATCCAAGGTTTTATTTTGTGACATATTAAATATTTTATCGTATTTTGCTTTTCTGCACCGTAGTTTAGGGCAACAATTTGGATTCCTTCCAAATTCAGGATTTTAATTTTTAGTTGCTGTGAAAGCAAATTGAAATGATCGGAAAATTAATGTTTCATGAATTTCTGTGAAAAAGTATAAATTAGAAAGATGAAAATGACGCGAAAGCTATAGTGAAATTAAAACTAAATGAAAATGAAATGACGAGTATAAACACGGGGTAATGGTTGAGCTGTTTATAAATATGATGTATCGCTAATCCTAACACTTATGTACATACATAATGTAACTTATTCCTCGGATGTACATATGTACACTACAATTATGTATGTATATACTCTAGAATTATTCTGACGTGTCGCCTCATTTGCATAATTTGACGTAATAATAAGCTTAATAAAAATAATACCCCGTCACCCGCATCGTGCACAGTGAGATTTATGCAAATGAGGTGACCCCAGCAATGTATAATTTTTGTAGTAATTGTGGCATATGTTCAAAACTTCCAAAACTCATGAAACTCTTGAGAATTTTTTTGAATGTACCTGAAATACATCTAGGAGAAGATTTCGATTTTTCCACGACTGACTGTCTCCTGCTTCCAAGGAATAATTTTTCTATCGCATCCATGGATACGCACCATTCCTGTGTTACCTTATTTACTGGATTGAACTGCACCGGTAAAAGTAATATCTTGTTTCCGGGATCTCCAGTTCTTCGACATTTCAACCTTCTCAAGACGCATGGGCAAATTCAGAGTCTTCGAAAATGCAGGGACGAAGATCATCTACGAGATAACGGTCCATATTCGTTTACCATGACGACCCATAAATTCGGTAGGAATTACCAAAAAATTTAATTTATTTACCGACATTTGACCTTATTTCGAATTTGACTAGAATATTCTAGCTGGACGATTAACTCAACAAACAGTAATTATAATAAAGCAGCCACCTGTTGGGAAATCCCATTCTACTATCGTTCCGGTGGCGTCCGATCGGTCATCGTGCATGAAGGATGCATCCAAATCTATCGAGACATCAACTGTTCCCCATACGCACAATCTGTCCGAATCCGACCCAACTTTGACGCCAGTGATCTCGAGAGATGGAATTTTGACGATTTCCAATCACACATACAATTCGGTACCCCAATTGGATCTTTTAGTAAGTGTAATTTCAACGGAGGAAAGAAAATGGTATGGAAAGAGGAAAATCAAGAATGGGAAAATCACCCTGACCGAATTGTACTTCTTTTTAAATCAGGTATTCATAATTTACCGCTGGGTGGATACTTAACAATTTTTTATTGTAAAATTAAAGTGCGATTGTAAACAAACGACACCAGAAATATTTGCATGGTGATGCACAAAGTATTTTTGTGTAGAAACTGTGGATTTCAAATCGTATTTTTGTTTAAATACATGTCCTAAATAATTGCTCTTAAATAGGAATTACCCAAAGCTTTATGCAAATCATAAGTTGTGAACCGCACGATCGCAACCACAAGTGGGCGCATGACTCCATTCAGCTAGTGACTTCCAAGACGGCCTGTGTTTATGTCTTTAACGATATAGACTGTAAAATGGAGCCCCCTAACTTGAAGCCATACCTGCTCAATATTACGGATACAGAGGGAATCATCTTGACAAATTTCAGCCAAAGCGGTTTGTGGTCTAATCCCAAGTATGTCCCTAAATCGGTGGTCACATGCAGCGCCTATTCATGGGCGCAAACAGTGGCTCGTGGAAATCTTGAAAATGATTTCGGCACAAACATAACGAAAGAAAGTAGCAATGTTTTACTGTACGTCGGAATCCCTGTGATTATCCTGGTTGCAATTGGAACGATAGCTTTTGCCTTAATCATGCGAAATTCTTCGAGGAAAAGGAAGTTGTGCAAGTCGGAAATCGACGCTTTCTATAATGGTTCTGATGCCGTGAGTGCTAATAATGACGACGCTGTTCAGAACATGGCGGTCAACCGAGAGTACGAGTTGTTGCCAAAGGATTTCATTTGGGGTAAGAAAGCCTTCCGAACTGTGAAATTCTTGGTAATTTAATATCTGTACTATATGCTATTGTTCCTAGCAAATTCAAATTCGGAGGACAAGTCGCCCATTGTGCTGGGAAGGGGTACATTTGGGGTTGTAGTTCAGGGTGTGTTACACAAGGGTTTTGACGAAGTGTCAGGTCTTCCCATTATCAAGGATGTTGCTATAAAAATGCCACGAATTGGTGTTACGATTGAGCAAATTAGGGCACTTTTGGCAGAGATTAAGATCAACATGTTCGTTGGGAAGCATCCCCATATTGTTGAGTTTTTGGGATTCTGCATCGCAGAAGTGCAACGGCGTAAGTGATTTAGTGTATATAAATTTATTCCTTAACCTAAAAATATGTAAATAATTTATATAAGTATGTTATCCTGTGCAATAGGCAAAGTGAGCATAATTTTAGAATTATGTGAGAACGGAAGTCTCCTGAAATACGTTCGAGATCATGCCAAACAATTCGAGAAAGGAGGAAATGCAAATGTAGCAAATCCCCCGGAGGATGGAGGGCCAAATTACGAAAATATGGAGTGTTTCAACCGTAAAAAACTTGTGACGTGGTGCAAAGAAATTGCTAAAGGAATGGATTTCCTTGCAAATAACAAGGTTGGCTAATAATGTTTATTATAATAAAACCTGGAACTATTGCCGAAGATTTTGTGCAGGTCCTCCACGGCGACCTAGCGGCAAGGAATTGTCTTTTGGATGGACAACTTTCCATCAAGATTACTGATTTTGGCCTATCTCGGAAACTATACGATTATGGAAATTACGTCAAGAAGGGCAAAGTACTTAATTACTTGATTTTCACATGATAACGCTGTAATATGTATTTATTAGCAGCTTAATTATCAAAATATTTATCAAGGCCCTGCTCCCCTGGCGTTGGATGAGTCTCGAGTCACTAAAATTGTTCCAATTCTCGGTCAAGTCGGACGTCTGGTCGTACGGAGTGACCATGTGGGAGATTTTCAGTTTTGGAGGCCTGCCATATCCGACGCTCACGTGGAACGATTACTTCATCGAAAGTCTCACCGCTGGGCTGCGACTTTCACCACCAACCAATTGCCCCGACGAATTGTGAGTCGTGCATAATTTCAACAGATTTAGCCATCTTCCTCCAGTAAAATTGTCTTTGCAAGTTGTATTTTTGACTGAAGAAACCATAAAATATTTGAACTAAATTCTATCTGAATTGTATTTGTAGAGTTGCATTGATGCAGAGTTGCTGGCTTTCCGATCCAGATCAGAGACCGGATTTTTCCCAACTTGAAAACGCGATTACGCAATACGTGCAAACTGTTGAGTGAATTTAAATTTTTAATGCTAAATTTTAATCGAAATCTGCTTCTGTTAATCAATTAAACAGTTTAATTATATAAAACATAGCCAAATAAATCAGTCGTTTTATTCATATTAATCATTAGATATGTACTAAACATAAATTACAGGATAATTTTTTAACAATTATCGCTCAACCAACCCAATTTTATTGCCAGTGCGGATAACGAGGTTGACGTGAAATGGGTCAAGCAGGTCTCTGACGTCTCTTCATATGTAGAGGTTTGCTCGCGTTGAATTTCAACTTCCGTTGAAAAATACCGTTCGAAGTCAGGATTCACAAAACATCCGAACTCACTTTTGCTTTGCCATGATGCGATCTCTTGGGTCCAATCTGTTCGAAGGAGGTTCGGGAAACCGGCAAGTCCAGAGATGAATACTATACATAAAATAGTTTTGTTGATTAAATTACTGAAATTCAAACGGATGTTCATACGTATGAACATCCGTTTGAATTTCAGTAGGGTACCCTACGAAGTTTACGCAGTTTATGGCGTTACATCTTGTAAACTTACAAGGATCTCATCCTATTTCCTCGCTATCTCAAAATGGCCGCCTTATTTAGATAATATATGAAATGGTTAAATATTTACCATATTCCGAAAACAAATCCCGTCCCCACACCGGAAACCCGTACTCGGCCAACATCTCTGCCTCCGCGTACATCTTGGCACATAGAAGTTCCAAATTCTCCTCATTCTCAATAAAAAGTTTGCGATGTTTAATGTCACACGATAGCTAACAAAAATTTCAAAATTATTCCATCGCCAAGTTTAAATTAAGGTATGTTTCTAACCGAACGAGCCATCAGTCTGTAGAGGACTTGATGAGTGAGCATGTACTGCGACTGTGGCTCTGGGTCGAGATAAGTATTTCTGCACAGCGTCGGAACTTCACAAGAATTCATCAGCGACACGAAACAAGCAGAGTTGAGCCGCCCCCAAACTATTTCCGGGTCATCTCCCACGGATGGAAATGCTGCAGATTGCTGCGCAATAATTTCATGGGGTGACCAACCAGGAAAGTTTTGCCCAGAAAAAGGGGAATAAGTAGCGTTCATCGCGGTAATGGCGCCTGGAAACAAAACAACAATGAAAGTTTCGCATTATTTCATTTTTATCGATAAATTATGCATATTGTATGAAAAAATGCTAACATATACATATTTCAAGTCATCGTCAACTCACTCGGCCAAATCTAAATAATTTTCATTGGTTGGGAAAAGTAAAAAATGTGAAAACAAAAATTCTGCCCAATCAAAACAACGGATTGACTGAGTGACATGAACTACAAACAAACCTCATTATTCTGAATATTTAACTAACAAGGAAACATACCGAGGTGTCCAACGAGTTAAGGGTCGACACCTATACCAAAATCACCACAATGCATGACTTATTAAACAAACTGAAGGAATTTCCGTGTAAAATTCACTTTTCGTCACGTTGTGACGATATTTGTGACGAGCGCTTGACCATCGGGTTGCCAGTGGGAGAGATCGGCCGCTGAACGATCAGGTCAAACATAAAGAAGCGTCGTCGTCTTCAGAGATTTCAAATTCTATCAAATTTTGAAAACCACTTGAAATTTTGAAAAAATTTCTTCAAAATTTCAAAAATTTCTTCAAAATTTCAAAATTTTCTCAAATTTTTAAAATTTTCTCAAATTTTCAAAATTTTCTCAAAATTTCAAAATTTTCTCAAATTTTCAAAATTTTCTCAAATTTTCAAAATTTTCTCAAATTTTTTTTCAAAATTTCAAGATGTTTTCAAAATTTGAAAGAATTCAAAATCTCTGAAGACGACGTGAAGACGACGACGCTTCTCTGTGGTCGACCTGATCGTTCAGCGGCCGACCTCTCCGGCTGGCAACCCGATGGCTCTGCGCTCGTCACAAATATCGTCACAACTTGACGAAAAGTGAATTTTACACGGAAATTCCTTCAGTTTGTTTAATAAGTCATGTATTGTGGTCATTTTGGTATAGGTGTCGACCCTTAACTCGTTGGACACCTCGGTATGTTCCCTTGTAAGTGCATATGCAATTAGCATGATACATAACTCACAAATACTAGTTAACAGTTTACCTTCACGGTCTACAGGATTGCTCATGGCCGCTATGGCCTTCTTTACAATATCAGTAATTAGCGCAGAGAGGAGGTGCGTGAGTCCTCTGTCCTCCAGGTGCTGAGAAATACCTAAGAAATGTCCGAATTCGGATTTTAAGACACGTTTTCTTAAAGTTCTACAAATTCTGAATGATATTCACACATTATGCACAGACCTTGGACAACTTGTAGTCCAACTGCTGCATCTAAGGTATTCAGCTCGGAAACATGGGCCTCATAAAAGTTTACGGCTCGTTGGATTGCATCCTTCAATGCAAGCTTCTCAGTTTCCGCGTCGCTGCACATCTCCTCAGTAGATGGAGCTTCTGCCTGGAAATAATTAGTTAATTAATTAACTACGGGGTTGAGCGAGACAAGTAATTAACTAATTAATACTGCAGACGATAAGTAAAAAAAACTATAACTTTTTAACATGAATTAGAAAAAATATTCGTTTTCATACGTAAATTTACGTACATCCTAATCTTTAAGCTTACCAGCGTCTTCCTCTGCAGTTCTGGCGTCCATTTCTGCAACTTTTCATTGAAGGATGGACGATCACGCAATACTTCGAAAGCTGGCGGTTCGAGATGTGTGCCGACCAACAAAAGCAAGCGTTCCGCATGCTGAAACACAAAAAAATTGAGATTGTCCTTAGTCAGTTGTAATTACTTTAAAAGCATACACCTAAAATTACCGAAAAAACAGCTTGAAGGGCGAGCACTGACCACAACGTGGGAAAAATTGAGAATGCTTTCATGATGATTTTAGATTTGTCTTGAAGAGAGAAAAATACTCGTTGTTACTTGGATGGAGGTTTCAGTTTGAATGTAACCTTGTCTTAAATAGTTACTGGTTGTATTTAAGGTGGAAGAAAACCTGGAAAATACAAGTGCCAAGACGGTTTGATAGTGATATTCCTTCATACACAAATATTCCCATTTTATGAGACAAAATGTAAAATATTTTGTAGATCCTTCATGTAATGCATGCAAGGATTCCATCATAAAATGTTTTAACCTTTTTCCAGAGATTTTAGACAGGTGTGGTTCCATATGTTTCTTCTGCTAAGTAAGTACAGACCCGTTGCTCGGTTCTACGCCGGACAAAAAGTCCTCTTTTGATGGGAATCGAGCGTGCACGCGATCTTCCCTACTTTTGCACGGAGTCATGTGAAATTTTAAACTTTGTCCTAGAGATGCGAAATTTGGCATGCACATGCACCAAGCTATGCTGCATCATAATATAACATCAATTCCCGTTCCGTTCGCTATAAAGTTTTCAGGAAAAATCAAAAACCAAAAGGAATAGGGGTGACATTTGGTTTTTGATTTTTCCTGAAAAATTTATAGCGAACGGAACGGGAATTGATGTTATATTATGATGCAGCATATGTTGGTGCATGTGCGTGCCAAATTTCGCATCTCTAGGACAAAGTTTAAAATTTCACATGACTCCGTGCAAAAGTAGGGAAGAGCGCGTGCACGCTCGAATTCCCATCAAAAGAGGACTTTTTGTCCGGCGTAGAAACGAGCAACGGGTCTGTATGTACTTGTGCATTTGTGGGATAAAGCCATTAGTCATTTATCTAAAAAGGTAAAGGCATTCGTCCGATTGACCATGAATTTATTATTCTTACATACATATTTATTTGTAGTTTTATGTATCTACTACATACTTCTAAATATACCCTTAAAATAATAAACCGTCGCAAACGCGCATACGGAAGTAGCTTCAGACGTACTTCACCCCAAACGGTCCCACCACAACTCGGGAACACTTAATTTCACTCTATTTCACCTATAGATTAATTTTTTGTAAAAATCTCATTTTGCCCCGACCACACCCCCTGGCGACGAGGGGGTGTGGAACAACTCGGGAACACTTAATTTCACTCTATTTCATCTATAGATTAATTTTTTATAAAAATCTCATTTTGCCCCAACCACACCCCTGGCGCCTAGGGGGTGTGGCACAACTCCGGAACACATAATTTTACTCTATTTCACCTATAGATTAAATTGCACTAAAAATCTCATTTTGCCCCAACCACACCCGCTGGCGCCGAAGGGGTGCGGCAAAATCGGGGAAACACTCAATTTCACTTAATTTCACTTAATTTCATTTAATTTCACTCAATTTCACTTAATTTCACTTAATTTCATTTAATTTCACTCAATTTCACTTAATTTCACTTAATTTCATTTAATTTCACTCAATTTCACTTAATTTCACTTAATTTCATTTAATTTCACTCAATTTCACTTAATTTTACCCATAGAATAAATTGCACTAAAAATCTCATTTTGCCCCAACCACATCCCCTGGGGCCGAGGGGGTGTGGCACAATCGGGGAAGCACTTAATTTCACTTAATTTCATTTAATTTCACTCAATTTTACCTAATTTTACCCATAGATTAAATTGCACTAAAAATCTCATTTTGCCCCAACCACACCCCCTGGCGCCGAGGGGGTGTGGAACAACTCGGGAACACTTAATTTCACTCTATTTCATCTATAGATTAAATTGCACTAAAAATCTCATTTTGCCCCAACCACACCCCCTGGCGCCGAGGGGGTGTGGAACAACTCGGGAACACTTAATTTCACTCTATTTCATCTATAGATTAAATTGCACTAAAAATCTCATTTTGCCCCGACCACACCCCCTGTCGCCAAAGGGGGTGTGGTCCGGTTGCCCCCAAAAGTTGATAGGATCCTCCCCCTGGGGTCCTATGTATGATGGCGAAAACCGATTTCGATTATCTCGATCCGTTCTCCTGATATCCTGCTGACAGACAGACGGACAGACAGACAGACAGACAGACAGACAAAGTCTTCACATAAAGTAGCTGAAGCTACTTAATAAATATGTGCATTAAGGAGCCTGATAGATTTTTCCCCGCATGACGTGCTCATGCGGCGAAATATATGAAATTATTAAACTAAGGAATATATTTCCTAAGAAATATCGTGTACTGACTGAGACCGACGGAATTGTCAAAAATGCAAACAATACAAGAAATTGATATCCAGCAAGGATGCTTTTAGCAGTTTGTCTACCCTGGCGTTGCAAGGAAAACATTATATTTCGTTTGGGTCATTAAATTCTTAATATTCGGATGTACGCATGTAGATATATGCAATCGTTCTACATCACAAATTGAATTCCTGGAACTGAGGTCAATCTAAAATTAAACTCTAGTTGGCCAAGGATCAGTTCCTACATATAGATAAATTTCTCAGTAGAAGGGCTCTAGTCTAGCACACTATCCTCAGATTTAAATAAGTCTTGCTTGGACAATTAAATACTTCAATATTTACTAAATGTATCTACGCATGTAGTATTGAAAGATTCAAAAATTTTTCCTAACTTTGTTCGGATTTAATCTACGCTATTTACATACCTACATGCATACGTTATATACCGTAACATAGCCATCATGAACCCCTTAATCGTATCATTGGTATTTTTATCTGTACTTAAAGTATTGCATGCATTTACTTTATTTATGACGCTTATTCATGATTAACGTTGGCATGTTTAAATTTAAGTGTAACAAATGATGAATCGGCTACGATCCGTGTATTTATAAAAATATGCATGTCAACTATTGTTCAGATCAATTCCATAATGCCATTTTCGTTATGTTTATGAATAAGCAAATGCATACATAAGGTATGTAAATATTATGTATGACATGCATCCATGCAACACGCTTGAAAGCAACCATACACGGAGAAGTATTTTATGACAAGAGTAAACGTTAGTTTACTAACTTGAATTTTTACATACTATTTATATTTTAGCATTAATTTATATACTTAATTTATACGTATTTATACCAGCCGATTTTGAAACCGCTCCGTAGTGTCCATCCGAACATTTTTCATATGGGTTACGGCAATTTTCAACACCTATGTACATAAGTAGGTTTGCAAATATTTATTTACTTAGAGGGCTCTTTCTTCCTTTCATTTATTAAATCCTGCCAGTGTTCTCGAATTAATTAATTATATTTACCATGTTGCAAGTACGGAAATCAACACTGTCATTGCTATTCATATTACTGACCATAAAATTCAGATCCATACCTGCCCTTGAACCTGCCCTTAATCAAGTGCAGCAACTCGATCCAATTTCCCATAAGCCATCATGGTTCCCCCATAATATCGACAATTACGTTTTATTCGATAAGAACATGGTGGCATGCATCATGCTACATTCCGCTATTCAAATCTCGTTTCCGGTCAAAAACGAAAATGATCAAGTAAGTATATGTAAAATTTTATATTTTCTGGGAACTTTCCCTATTTCATGATCTTTTGCAAACACAGTTCTTCTACCTTGAAACAGTCGACCTTCCATTGCATGCCGTTACTATTACGGGAAATTGCTCCTTGGGCAGGCTTACCTTATCTTGGGATACGTTTACCAATAAGACGAATGACCTCGTATTTTACTTCGCTGTTAATGAAAGTCATTACGATTTACAATATGTTACTGGAAAGATTTGGTGGTTTGATCCTCCCCCAGAAGAAAATGTGACGGAACTGGAAACTTATTTCATTTTTCAGTCGGAAAACGCCAATCATCACGTAGAAGCTTCATTCAATCACTCGTACTACTGTCGGGAAGAAGTCGTAATTTCTGGAAATAATGGGTCCACCGTTAACTTGAGGCATTTCAAGGTGGAAGCATTTAGAAAGAGTGTTCCCTGGAATTTAGTATTTGGACCGGGTTAGTGATTTAAGATGCAAAATATACATATTTATTTTAAATATAAATTGGCTTATTCATAATCAGATTGTTTTTAGCTGTAAAATGTTCCGTCCTATCTTTCCAACTGATCACTGGCATTGTTCTTGTCGCCATCGGGGGAAATATTCTTCTCGTCTATTTCATCGTGGGAGTTGGGGCTTGTGCGCATGTCTGCTGCTTCAGGGGAAGGAAAAAATCAATTCAACAATGCGTACCGAGTCCAAGTAAAGAGTAGTAAATTTTATGGGAATATTGAAAATTAAGATGACGGTAGAATTTCTCTGCTTGATAATTTTAGCATTAAATAAATACAAAAATTTCATGTTAGGTAATAAGTATTTGTTTAAGTAAAGATAAGAATAATTTTGTCAATTAATATACTTAATTTTGGTTAAGCGGATATGTATGTTAGTATTAAATAAATAATACAATAAATAGTTGTTAAATCTGATAAACTTTGCACACTTTAAGACTACAAACAAAAATAAAAGTCCAATAATTCATGTCCTGTCTCATTGTATGTATGTATTACATTTATTTAGATATCGCAATATATATTCAATTATAATTGAATATATATATGTACATATATTTGTACACATGTGCCTGTTAGATACATATGTATCTAACAGGCACATATGCAATTTCATCACGTAACATCTAATAAATGTTTAAAACCACCCACAAAAATCTGTAAAATAATTGTTTGTTACTACGTACATATGTATCTACTTTACGATGACAAGTTGCACGCACCTTGCAAGGATTTTGAATTTGCAGAAATTCCAAACAATAGCACCGATTTATCCATACATTATAAAGTTCAATACTATGCTAAATTATATGCAAATCATCATATCATCTATGTAACACACAATGGTCGAATGAATTTATGTATCAGTAGATCAAGATCACGAAATTGTTATTGTATCCACTTTGGTGGTCCATTTATTAGTCACGCTATGCAAGCGAATCACTAATTGTTGCTTTTAGCAATAAACCATATTTAAAATTTCAGTTGAATTTATTATATTTCATAAAGATTTCAAGAATTAGTTTTAATTCCCATCAGGCCACAAATTAAACTCGAAAGTCTTTTAATTATACATATTTACAGTAAAGTATTTTTTAAAATTATTTACACAAAAAGTAATGTCAAGTTCAACCGGAAACCCAGTTTTTGTAAATCTGCTCCTACTTTTATTTCTCATCACGGAAGGATTCTCTCAACCAACTGCGACCCAATTTCCATCAAACGAGGACAATTACATCCTCAAGGACAAGAATGGCGTTGCTTGCATCATGATCCATTCAGCATTCGAGATACAATACAATCCTCCCGGGGTTTGATAGATAACATTTTTCAGAAATTTAAATTTTCTATTTACACGCGACCCTTCTAATTCAGGTCAACATCATGACCTTTCCCCTTCCCGTGGGTCACGTTACGGTCACGGGCGACTGCGACGGGGGCAAATTGCACCTCTCATGGAACGCCAGCCACATCCAGAACAAAAACTGGATTGAATTTTCCTTCCGAAAAAATGAAAGTCATTACAGCCTGCAAAATTTTACTGGAATAATCTACACGCCCCAGGACTTTATCAGTTTTGTGGCTCTACAACCAATGGCTTCGATGGTGACGCCACTGCTACAATATTCCTACAAGTGTGAAGAGTTGTACTTGACGGCGAGTAATTATACTGGTCTGGCGACACACAGTTTTCTTATGGAAGCGTTTAGAAAGACGAAACCTGGCGACGCAAATTTCGGAAAAGGTGAGAAGGTTATAACTTATAGTAGAATTATTGTTGCGGGTCACCTCATTTGCATAAATCTCAACATACCCATTTTCCGCGACATGGGCCTTCCATGTGAATAACTCTGTCTCTCGTCAAAATATGCAAATGAGGTGACCCGCAACCAATAATTCTACCGGAGTCAAATGGATTTGTACACATTATTCGCATATTAAGTATGTATTTTTTTCAGTTATCGACTGTTACGATCCTCAAACACCCGTGCCGCAGAGACATGTTAAATCTGCCTGGGAGAATTTTATAAGGAATGCAATGATCATATTTGGCATCTTCGTGGTATTTAGTTTCTTCCATTTGCTCTTTTATATGAGTAATCCTCGCTATAATGCTAGGGTGAGATCTATGTTTGGTAAATACTGTTAGCCCAGAATTATACTAGATATGTATTTATCTCATTTTGTTGGAATTCGGAATTGGAGTCTAATTTTGTCAAATAAAAAATACGTCATGTAGCCAGTTTTTTGTTTCTTCATCTTTAAGGATGACGCATGAGACAGTGTTTTAAACAATTTGGTTACACTGGACGTGGAAAAGACTTTCATGATTAGACATGACTAAACATGTTTGAACAATACAATCAATTTCATATTTCATAAATTTGTGGATTCTACATAAGCATTTGACATAATGCATCTTATATTTTCACTTAATTCACAAAGGAAAATAAAATATGGGATCAAAGGATTGATTTTCAGTTTTACTAAATTAGGTATGATTTCATTGATAAGGCATTTAAAAATTTGTACGTATAAACCAATCATATTTCACTTGAAAGAACTTCATGTGGCCGACTTGCGTGACACTCGTGATTGATTTACTCAAATTGTTGAAACATGTATGTATGTAAATAAATACACAATATTTACGTAAACATAAATAGGATTATTTTTCCATGTATATTTACTCGCCTCACAATTATTTTTGCGTGAAATCAGCAACTATTCCATATTGTAAATAGTACTAATACAAAATACCTGTGTAATACATCCATTACATTTGTATTCCGAACTTTGTCAACTATTTATACTTAAAAATCACAAAGCAGCATGTCGTTTCCTTTGCACTTTACCTACTTATCCTTAATATTCCAATCGATGCACAATTTTGTGTCATCTCTTCCCAATGGAGCCTATTTCCCTGACAATGTTGTCGACTACAGCCTCCTAGATACGAACGGAGATCGGTGCCAAATAATGTTGCAGTCTGCCATTCAAATTTCCTTCTCGTACTATGATGCAAATCACACGGTAAAAAATTGGCGACCCATTTAAAAAATACATTTCTTACAGACATTCTAGTTTCCCGTCATTACAGCGCCGCCTTGTAAGTATCGACCTCGGTAAGCAGACCGATACATCTGGAAACTGTTCCCTTGGTGTGATTAAACTGTCTTGGCAAATGGGCAAGCATGACTTCAGCCACGTTACATTTCACTTTACTAAAGTTAAACAGGGGACACATTTCGCCCTACAGAACGTTTCTGGAAAATTTTACTCTGAAAAGGTATATTTTCAGTTTGAACATAATAATCTTGAAGGACACGCTAAGTTCGAGACACCACTCGATTATTCGTACCATTGCGAAGAAGTCGTTACAATTGCTGGGAACAACTTACAATTAGACTGGCTCACTAGAAGGTTCAGGCGTTTCGAGAAAATCAAATTGATTGGTGGGAGTCATTTGGACCGGGTAGTTGAATGTTTAAAATTGTACACATGAAATTTAAGCTGGTAAAAATTTGTCACCGAATGTATGTAAGCAATATGAGGGTCTACGTCGATTTCTTGTATAATTGTCCACGGGGTATGTAGATGAAAATATGCAGATTGATCACTGAGCAAAGGGTCGTAACAAGTTTGAATTCTGTTTCCACTTGCAATCCATGTTGCAAACATTTTGGAACATATCTTTACTAATACTACATTAAAGGACAATGCATTCGGTGAAAATTTTGCAACAACATTATTTTTTGCAAATGTATGCAAGAACGACTTACTTGTTAGTGACTCATGTACTTTTTCATTTCATTATTTCAGCTGTCCAGTGTCCGGATTCAACAACACGTCAAATTAACGTAATTTTTCTGACGAGTATTTTTGGAAATATTTTCGCCATTGCTTGTGGCCTAGTTGTTATTTATCTATTAATTTCACGCAGAGATAATACCAAGGAAATTCTTGTTAAAACATCCTAATTGAAAAATAAACTCGCGTTACATATGATTTTAATGAATAAAATAAAAAATCTTATTAAGAATAGGTACCTGTTCTTCTCAGTTAGGGAGTGTCCATAAATCACGTGATCGATCATAGAGGGGGAGGGGTCTGAAATTTGTCACCAATTATCACCAAGGGGGGGGGGGGTAATGGTCGGCAGTCACGTGACATGCCACGAAAAGTTTTTCTTTTAATTTCTGAGGTCAGTAAATGTGAAGAGAGTAACAATAAAGTCTCTTCGCATACTATCACGCGCCTTAAATAAATTTAATAATATGTATTTACTTAATAGCGAACCTCTTTTATCTAAAATTCGTTATGCGGCGTATTTTTAAATTTTTACTTGACATTCTTGGGTCTGGTTTGCATATATGTACCACTCTTCCAAATTTCAGTAAACATTAATAGAACTCTCATTATTCTTTCAGAAATAAAGTGTATGCAGTTGTCCTTAAGATGTCATGAATGTTAAATTACTTTGTATACTTACTCATTAGTATTAAATAATTCTTTCGATAATTTTAAAATTTAATTTAACTGGATTTTAAAAAAACACAGGAATATTATTATTGGATTAATTTGTGCTATGGGTTGTCATGTCGGAAATAGGTCAGTTTAGCGAAAAAACTTTTAGCGAAAAAAATCCGCCACAAAAAATCACACTTGGCGAAAAATAGGTTTCATGCGTTTTACAGTAAGTTAGGTTTAATGTGTAACCTGTCACGTGACCACGGAGAGGGGGGGGGTAATGGATTTATCACCATTGGTCACCAAGGGGGGGAGGGGGTCAAAATTGTCCAAAAATCGATCACGTGATTTATGGACGCTCCCTTACGTATATATGCTTGTATTATTTATTAGTCTCCGACGAGAATTTCTATTTTAAGCAATTATGCATAGAATAAAACCTTTATAAGATAAACAATTTATATTGGGGGTTTTCATTACACATTGCGAGAAGGTTTTTCCAAATCAATATAACCTATGTATCTATGGGGCCAACTCTCTTCAGTTTTATTTAATTATGATTTATGGATAAAAACTTGTATGTATATACGTCTAAACTAGGGTGACCATACGTCCCGGTTTTCAAAACCTGTCCCGGTGTCCCGAAAATGTCCCGGTTTTGACAAAGTGTCCCGGTTTTCAAAATTGTATGAAAAAATTAAATTATGTCACTTTTTCCCCAAAATATTGATGAAAAAGTAGATTTTAGCACATAAATACCAGGAACGTGCATGCAACATTTACTTAATTGGCTTTCCTGATTCTTTCTAAAAATGCGGTGATATCTGAACCACCAAGCACTAGATATTATTGGAAATTTTTTCGCCAAGCACTAGATATTATGGAAAAAATTTTCGCCAAGCACTAGATATTATGGAAAAAATTTTCACCAAGCACTAGATATTATGGAAAATTTTTTTTGCCAAAAAATGTCCCGGTTTTAGTCAGGACAAATATGGTCACCCTAGTCTAAACAAGTCGCCTTTCAGTTAAATATATATATAAACGACATGTGTCTCACTTGAGTGGTTGCGTGACGTTCGTGATTGATTTAGTCAAATTTTTGAAACACGTATGTTCATAAATACACAATATTTATGTACAAGTAAATATGAATATTTTTTACCATACATATTTCCCAATTATTTTTGCTTGAAATCAGCAGCCATCCCGTATTGTAAATAGTACTACACAGAATATTTGTGTAGTATTTGTAGATATATTCATTAGATTCGTCTCCCAAACTTGCACAATTAAATTTATTTATACATAAAAATCACAAACTAACCATGTCTTTTCCTTTTCTCGTTACCTACTTGTCTTTAATATTCCAATCGAGCCCTAATTTTGTTTCATCTCTCCCGAATAACTTAATTCCTCGTTCAGCATCAAAATCGTCCTTGGAAACTGCTCCCCGCTACCACCCAGCGCGTTTCTTCCCAGATAATGTTGAGGACTACATCGTCAGAGATGCGAACGGAAGTGCTTGCATAATTTTGCAATCCGCCATTCAAATTTCCTTCCCGTATTACGATGCAAATCACACGGTAAAAATTTTAAATTAAATTTCATTTAAAAAACCTATTTTTTACGGACATTTTGTTTTCTACAATGACAGCGCCACCTTGAAAGTGTCGACCCATATTTAAACACCCTTACAGATACATCTGGTAACTGTTCCCTTGGCGTGATTAAACTTTCTTGGCCGGTGGACAACGGAAACTTTGGCCATGTAGCATTTAACTTCACGAAAGTAAAACAGGGGACACACTTTGCCTTACAAAATGTTTCTGGACAATTTTACTTGCCAGGAGGCGATAAATTTCAGAAGGCATATTTTCATTTTGAGCATAATCTTAAAAGACACGTTATGTTTGAGACACCACTAGATCATTCGTACCATTGCGAAGAAGTCGTTACAATTGCTGGGAACAACTTTACAATTAGACTGGCTCACTTGAAGGTTCAGGCGTTTCGAGAAAGTCTGTACCCGAACCCGACGTCATGTGGGCCAGGTTAGTTGAAAATTTAAATTTTTTGCACATCAAGTAAGTTGGTAACAAAGTTGTCACCGAATGTAAGCAATATGAGGATCTACTTACCGTAAAACCTCTATTTATAGCCCTATTCTAATTATAGCCGGTCTCCATATATAGCCGGGTCTAGAGACCAAGATTTCAAAATTTTAGCCGGGTCTCTAATTATAGCCGGGTCCCCAATTATGACCGGTCTCTAATTATGGCCTGTCTTGTCGGCTGTGTCCCCGTTCGTAGCCCATTCAAGTAAAATGTTGCACATTATGCTAATCAACGAATAAGTTGACCTACTAATTTTTACATTTTAATTTCAAGTTATTAATGGATATAATCATGAAAGAAAATTAAAAAAACTGCTAAACCTCGTTCACTGATGTAGATTTAAAGTGAATGGGTTACTGATGACAATCTTGCTAAATAAGGAAGCTCAATTTGAGCCAGCATGATTTTGTAACATCTAAAATTTTTGACGGAACAAAATTTAGCCGGGTCTCTAATTATAGAGGTCTCTAATTGTAGCCGGGTCCGTGACCCTCAGTTTTGGATTTTAGCCCGGCTATAAATAGAGTATTTACGGTACTTCGATTGTTGTGATAATTTCCTCGTCGTCGAGTTTTAAAATCGCCGACGAGGAAATTGTCGGCAGATAGTTTTGACATTTTTGTACAGAGTTTCAAAGTTGAAACATTACGGTATCATGTCGAGATAAAAATTTTGTAATATCTTTACCAATAGAACGATGCACTCGGTGAAAATTTTGGAACATATTTGAGGATTTGCGAATATGCACTTGTTTATTGCGTATGCAGGCACGACTCTTATTTTTCTACTTCATTATTTCAGCTATCCAGTGTCCGAATTCAACAACTCTTCAAACTAACGTAATTTTTCTGCTGAGTATTGTTGGGAATATTTTCGCCATTGCTTGTGGCCTAGTTGTTATTTACCTTTTGATTTCAGGCAGAAATAATGACAATAAAATTTTTGTTAGAACATCCTAATTAAACAAACACACGGTATGCTTTTAATCAATAAATCAATGTTATCTGATTCCGTCATCGTGTCAACATTTCTCACTAATTGATTCCTTCAATGGTGATACATAGAAACATCAGCCCACGTTTCGGACTGTTAAAATAAATCAGAACTGGGCGCCGATGAAAAATCTTTTTCATATGTAAATATGCGAAATGAACTTATTTTGGAACAAGTAAATACTTAGAAATGTCCTTGACATTCTTATATTAAGAATATCTGTTCTTCACAGTTACATATGTACGTATGTGTTTTATTCATTAGTCTCAGATGAGAATTTCTATTAAGCAATTTGCGTAACTACGCATAGAATAAAACGTTCGTAAGATAAACAATTATATTGGGAATATTCATTACGAGTTCGCATCATTAGCAACGTTAACAAAAAATCAAAGTTCGCAAAAAAAAATTGCCTAAAATACATTTGTGAACTTGCGCGTCTCTAAGGCTACATGGTACATATCTATGTACAGATACATCAGGAAACAGGAAATTACAGATTTCTGTTGACGATGCATACAACATAGTTTTCATTTGTATCATCAAGATGAGACCCAATTGTCTCACGCACGCAACTACTCCCGTGTCCTTTGTCAATGTCAAATTATGTATGACCATCGGTTGAATACATATGCACGCCTATTCATACATATGTATGCATGCAAACCTGCACAATTGTAATATAGCATAACCTTTAACAACAATGATTGAATCAATCTCAAAATAAATTTTTAAAAACTGCATTCAAAACTCCGTATTTCCGGAAATGTTAATTCCAAAACTGTGCCTATTTTGTTCCCTTGTTTTGATCTACACTATCATCATCGTGCTACTAAACTTTACCACGATACAACGTTTACAACGTTTCCCATTAAATGAGGATACTTATACCTTGTTTGACCATAATAAAGTTGCCTGCATCAAGATCCAGGCAGCAGTTGAGATTCAGCTCAGATTGCCCATGGTTTGTTTTTATGTAGTCATGCAAAATATTTTTCTTATGAATATTTACATTAAATTAAATTAAAATTATTTCTCAAGAAACCCACCATCGTCATTTCGCTTCCTGACGGGTGTGTCGCTGTGGGAGGAAATTGTGCCCTTGGAATCCTGGATTTACTTTGGGATGCAGAAGATTTAAATATGATCCGATTTTATTTTGCAAAAAATGAGACTCATTACAACCTACAAAATGTTACCTGCCGGATTTGGAAGGATCCTTCAATTTTTACGAATGAGACGGATCCCGATCCGAAAAGGACACACTTTGAATTTGAGTCTGTAAAACCATTACACGATTTGGTCACACCGAAGCTTAATTACTCATACACATGTCAGGACGTTTATCTTCCGGGAAATAATTACGGTACTTTAGCCACACATAACTTTAGGATGGAAGCGTTCCGGCAAACCCAACCAGGTTATGAGGACTTTAGTCCAGGTGGGATTTTAAATTATGAAAATTAATAAGTAATTCATAATTTTTCTACTAAATGAATTGATTTTATTTTTACAGCCATTAACTGTAATAATGCATATCCAGCTTTTCAAACTAAACAACATCAAAAAATTCGATCTGCCTGGGTTAAATTTGGAGTATTGGTGATGATTTTGCTTTGCGTCATCGGTCCTGTAACCTGCTTTCTTCTCGTATTTTATGTGGGTCGTCCTCAGTACAATGCACCGCGGAGGTCAATTTTTCGAAGAATCTATTAGCTGCAAGGAAATAAAATAAATATCATTTTTAGCTTTGTAAAATTGGTGCCGACCGAGCCCAAACAAAATGTCTGCTTGAATAACAGACATCATTTCGTCCACAGTATTACATAAATAAATATAGATACATCCACCAATATACGTGTAGACACATATTTTTATTTACTACTTCAAAATCAATAATTACGTATTACACAATGTTTATATTCAACACTTTCGAGCGATAATTAGATTACAAATCTTGAATACAGAACTTGGCGTCTTTTTATTTTGCAGAAGCTTCTAAACTAATTTAACATGATTTGCATGTAATCTGGCACAGTGGAATATCCATTATTTTATACCGTTTTCATATTTCGTCACTTCACTCCTTGCATTTTTAATCCATCAATGAAACAGAAGCAACCTCACCGATAATTTTAAACAAAAGCTCATCATTACCAACGGGGTCAGAATTCCGACAAAGTTGCTTCCAACTCTTATCTTCATCTGAGCACAGGCACCAACACCTTTTCGAAATATCTTCTCTTCCTTCCAATCTCCAACGTTGCACTGCTGCTGTCTCAACTTGACCAAAATTAACCTTGACCTCTTGTTTACATGGCCGGACAGCGTTCCCAGACATAAAATCCCCACCCAGGATTCCAAGCATATCCCGAAAAAGGCAAGATGTCCCAAGTTATCGAATAACGTGGCGTGGTAAGATATGCATAAAAAGTTGGAGACCACGTTTCCAAAGCAAAACAAGAAGAATGTCCCGGGAAGAAATAGCTTACGAAACGTGGCGTTAACTTGAGCCTCCAATATTTTTAGTTGTCTCAATTCGTTAAGTTGTTGGGTTACATGAATCAATTTGTTGCTAGAAGGGTTACAGATCTTCCTGAAGAAAATTAATACAAATAATTATATTTGCAACTTTTATGAAAATTTGCAAATTAACTCACCTGCTAATTTCTCCCAGATAAAGTAACAAACTCAGAATCGATGCGATAAATATGTTCGTCGTAATCAAAACGTATGACGGAAAGGCTAAGTAATATTGCCAGGTTTGAAACACAATAATTACTCCATGTGCGAAAACCATTCGCAATTCCATACTTTCTTCCCGTGGAATTAGCGATCCTAAAAATGGAAGACGATCTGTTTCCAGTACATTTAAGGAAGCCAAACTAATCGGGGCAAGGAGGGAAAATCCAAATCCGAAAATCCAGATGAAATACTTGAGTGAAATTCGCCATATTTTCCACCTCTTTTCACTAAAGTAATGATTTTTTTCATATTCGAGAAACATGTTTAGTAGATCGACTAAATTTCTTGGATCCCAGAACCATAAAATGATTATGATGAAAACAGACACTGGCAAAAGTATGGAAAATATCGTCGCTGAAACTTTCACGTTAAAGTCGACGTGAGAAGATCTCGTGGCGTAAATTCCGTTTAAAAATAAGAAAATCATGTAACCTGTTAAAATTATCAGTTTCGGACGTTTTAGTAAAAAGGATGTGATTTCTTTGTTCGGCGGAGTAGAGGTTAGTGTATACTTGAGATTAGTTATACCCTTTTTATTTGTTGAAATTTCGACAAAAATTGGGGGCTTGATAAAAAAAGAGATAAGCCTTAGTTGATATTCATTTTGCTGAACAATCGAAGAAATCAACATGTTTGTTATTTTGATTCCAGACGAAATTGTAGAATGACAAATATTTACTCGAGCTACGGTTCAGAACGCACTAACTTTGACATTCCTAAGACTGGGAGGCGAATCAATACCAGATCAATTTAATCATCAAGCAAACCATAATTCATTGGTGAATAAGTCATTAGAGTTCATCATTATATAAGGAAATCAATTTAGCTGGACATACATATTTATTAGGGTTAAATTTAATGCACCACCCAATAAGCTGAAATCTACCACAAATTTTAGCTGAATTCGCCACCGAATGAATTTTTTCCAACATTAGCCTTTTTAGCCACCGATTTAGATGGTGGTTACCACAAATTTAGATGATTTGCCATTACCATATTTAATGAGCATAGGATTATAAAAGCAATATAATTTACAATAATATGATTTATTTATTTGTATAATACCTCTGTATACATGTCTCTTTTATAAATACACCTGAAATTAAATAACCTAAGCGCTTTTTTAGCTTTCGCAACCCTACTTTCTTACGCTTTTGACCAAATGGAACGGTTTTGGCTTCTGGTCTAACATCGAAACGCGTATTCTGAACTTCTAAACCAATTATTTCCTTGCGTCCATTTTTCCAGGTCTTCCAACAGAAATTTATTTATAACAGAAATTTAAAATTGCTAGATGTCTCTCCAGCCGTAACGGCAATACTGGTTGGGTGAAAAGTTCGGTTTTTTAAGAGACCCCCACTACTAGCACAGGAAACCAGAGTGTAATCGGATCGATTTTTTTAAATCCGATTCGATCCGACTTGGTCGGATCCTTATAAAATCCGATCCAATCTGACCTGGTCGGATCCTAAAATAATCCGACCCAATCCGAACTGTCGGATTCGGATTGGACTGGATTAGTCGGATTAAATTCGATAGCCTACTGTTCTATAGTATAGTCGGATTGATGTTTTTTCAAATCCAATCCGATCCGATCTGATCCGACTTGGTCGGGTCATAAAAAATCCGATCCGATCCAACTTTATTGGGTCAGACAAAATCAAGCCAATTCTACGCTGTCGGATTCGGATTGGATTAATCCGGTAAAGTATATCTCCTAGTACTCTCTAAAGGAATATTAGACGCAACTGGGCTTGAGTTTCTAAAATTTGGGAGAATTTTCCTCAGAAAGAGAGTATTCGGTATCACTGGTCTAATTAAAAACTTGCGAATACGTCATTTCTTTGGTTTTAAAAGACGTTGTTCAGATAGATATATTTTAACTGCAGGACAACTGTAAGAGTAGTGATGACCACCCGAAAGGTAATACATACGTCACTTCTCCTGCCCAGTCTAGTCAATGATATACAAATATATATATATAAATATATATATATATTTGTATACACAGCCTGTGTATACAAATATATATGCTGCATGTACCTGTGTAACACAGGTACATGCAGCAATAAGGTTAGCAATCAGGAAATTAGCATGATTTCTTGAGATTAGTGTGCTTATATTTTTGTACAAATATATTACCCATGTTTTTTCGTCATTAAATGTGGTGATGGCAGCTCATCTAAATTTGTGGTAACCACCATCTAAATCGGTGGCTGAAAAGGCTAAAGTTGGAAAAAATTCATCCGGTGGCGAATTCAGCTAAAATTTGTGGCAAATTTCAGCTTATTCGGTGGTGCATTAAATTTAACCCTATTTATTACTTGGCCCTTTATTTCCGTAAATTGTCACCTCAGAGTTCAGAGCAAACTTCATCAATGTTTAAGTCATCTGTTTATAATGGATTACAAATTTATCTTAATTAAAACGTTTGCAGGTTAAGTTTTCACTTTTCTTTAATCTAAACTTCGCAGAAGTATTTATGTATGTACTACATAAACTTTCACCATTTGGTTACACATGTATAAATAAATAGATATGTGCATTTGTAACGATGGTTTTAGCTTCCTTTATGACGGATAAGGAATACATGTAGGTGCCCTTATCCCTTGTAAATATGCAAGTGCCAAAGTGGACATTGTTTTCGAGGAAATTTTATCCTGCCGACTACAACTCGTCGAAGAATATGTACATGTGCCTGAAAATTTCGAACCCGGATGGAACATTTGACGCCTTGGACTACCTGGACAAAATAAATATCTATGTACATATTTGTTCACCATGTAATTGTGGCTCGGGCTGATTGCACTACATCTGTGGGCTGATTCCACGATTATGTGATGCTTCACAAAATCGTATAGAAGTGTACATACGGAAATATGTAATTCCTGGCCAATATGACCGTTTTGTGTAGGGACGTGCTATTGATGCTGGAGGCATGACCGCAGTGTCGACAAGTCTTGCTACCATTGATCATCCATTACACAGAACCTAGCTGCATTTCCAGATGATCTTGATCCTTGATCATGATCCAGTGCTTATCAGTAACCTTATATTTATAAGTAGATCATTACATTACATTCTATTTACTACATAAAGGTTATCGAGCCTCACCAAGTTTACTTCAACCATAAGTCATGTGCCTTATTATTCTACAACGATATGTTTAACATAAAGAAAACGTTATGTTGTATTTATACCATCATATCGTAGTGTATATTCTCAACTTATTGAAATTTCCAGTCTCAAAATTTGAGACTATGTATGTAAACTTTACATTGTAAAGTAGATAGACTCTGAAAAAGCCGAATCTCAAGCTTTCACGCTCCATAAAATTCTCTCCTGGCACGAGTTTGATTCCATATGCTCAAAACTTTCTCATCTCCGGCAGGAATTTAAATTTTCAGATTTTTCTTCAAAACTAGCTTTTTCATAGTGTGATCCCCCCCCCTGAGGAGGGGCGGACCAGGTGCAAGGTAAGTAGTACTCATATCCATATAGATTAGTTTTGTACTTCATATTTTTAACTACATTTTCAAAATGTTCTTTCGTATTTATTATTTAGAATAATTTAGATATTGTCTATTACTTATCATTCTCTGAATTTTTAGATTCACCATGATGACCGGCAATCTTTGTCTCCTCTGTTTACACCTGGTCGAAGAAAGTGGTGTTGAAAACCCCACGAGGAAAATACAAATCGCAACCCTGTGCGAATTAATAGCTCCTTCTCGTCACAATCAAAACAATCCAATTTCTTATCAAGGTCTATTTGATGAGAGCGAGACTTGCGAATTCTGCTTGAATTGTTGTTCTGTTCTGGAAGAAGTGGAAAAAATACGTCAACAAATTTCCATCTTGGAGAGTCAAGTTGAGAGGAAAGTTAGGCAGATAAAAGAAACAATTTCGAACTGTTCGTCTTCTTTCCGTGGGGATGAGGGGGACACGATTTTTGAAATTAGGACCCGTATACTTCAAGCGACAAGTTCAGGTTGGTTAGTAAAGCAGTGTAAATATTTTTAGAATCAAATTAATTAAATTGTTTGCTATAATATTATTAGGAAAGGTTCCCATCTTGCCGGACGATAATTTCTTGACACACGAATTTCAAGTCAAAGTAGAACAAGAAGTAAATCATGACGTCGATGACCAATTCTTTGATGACAATAATTCCTACGGGGAGGAGGAGACGACTTTGAATTATGAGCCTAGTCTAAAAGTAGAAGACGATATTGATTCACTTGAGGATGACGATTCTGACTTTTGCATCATTCCACATTCGCAAAAAAAGTCGAAACGTGTCGCAGCCAAGGGTAGAAAGTCAAAAACGAAGACATCACTACGGTAAGTAATCTAGTTTAGTTCATCATGACCAAACGTGATTATCTTGATTTCAAGATATGTTTATTACGCATTAATCTATAGCACTAGGAAACGGTCCCTCTCACCGGAAGTTAAACAACCTAAACGTATAAAACGTGAACCTCGGCCAGTTTTGGAACGGACACGATCTTCTCCCCGCATAAAGAGTATTGCTCCTCCTCCTCCTTCTCCAGCAAAAATTCCCAAAGTCAAGAAACCTATCAAAAAAACTCTCGAGCTTAAGTGCACCGTGTGCGACGCCACTTTATCCACTCATTTTGCCCTTACTCTCCACATGCAGCGAACTCATTCATCGATCTCATGCCACGTGTGTGACGCCAAGTTTAACATGATGAAGGACAAGGTCGCCCACATGAGACAAATCCACAACATTGGTGCGTATCATTGTACCATCTGCGGAAGCAACTTTAATCGCCAACACAGACTTCTGGCGCACATGTTCATCCGCCACGAAAATGGAGAAAAGAAATTGTCCTGCCCTAAATGCGAAAAGGGTTTCGCCCTGGAGGAAAATTTTAAGCGTCATTTAGAACTGCATGAATTCGACGAGATCAAACCGGTCGTGTGCGACGTGTGCGACTGCAGATTTGAGAATGAGGAACGACTCCAGACCCATATGAATTCTCATTTGCCAAAGTACCGGTGTGAGCAGTGCGGGCAGAGATGTCAATCTGTACAAATGTTGGCAAGGTGGCATAAAATATAGTAACTTTAGCGATTATATAATTTGCTAGTTTTCGCACTGATATATTCATTCTCTTTACGATTTCGCTAGACATGTGCGCACCCACACGCGTGAAATGGGAGAGAAATGTTCCATATGCGATGCTCCCTTTCGCGACAAACTAACTGTGGACCGACACATTGCTAAGGAGCACTCCAACACCCCTGCATCACATATTTGCCACATTTGCGGGAAGGCATTCTATCTTCCCTGCGATCTCAAGAACCATCTTGACCGGCACGCGGGGAAGTATCAAGCTGTCTGCGATACCTGCGGGGAAACATTTAAGTATAAAAATACACTTGAGGCACATCGCGTCAAGATGCATGGCGCTGATCCAATAATTTGTGACGAGTGGTTAGTTTTCAGTCAAGTTTATGCTGTCATTTAACATATGTATGTATGTATTCATTTCACGGTGAATTAAAAAATTAATGGAATGTGATCTAGTGGGGCATTATTCGGCTCACAGCATATGTTAAAACGTCACAAGGAGATTCACACGGGAATTAAGCCGTTCAAATGCGATGTAAGTTTTGATAAAGCTCAAAATTTTCGTAAATATACTTCGGTGGACAATTTACTAAATTTTTTAACAAATGTCTATACTAAGCGCAACGTTTTAATTTTCTTATTGATGTGTTACTTACTAATACTGATTTGCTTATTTCTTTGACAGTTTTGTGACGCCCGTTTCCTCAGAAGTCAAACCTTGCGGGAGCATCTCAAATCACATTCGGGAGAACGACCTAACCCCTGTCCCCACTGCGAAAAGTCGTTTAAAACGAAAAACCAGAGGAGAGAACATGTTAATCGGATACACAACCCAAGCTTTGTGAGACCCACGCCCCACAAGTGTCCCCACTGCGATAAAGCCTTCCCACGTAAGTCTTATCTCGACGGTCACATCCGTTCCGCCCACACGGGTGAGAGGCCCTTCATCTGCGAAGAGTGTGGAACTGGGTTCGTGCTACAGACGATGTTAAATCAGCATTTGAAGGTGAGTCATGGTGTGGGAGTGACGACAGAGAAGAAAGAAAGATTGCCTAGATCAAAGAGAGAGGTTGTGGAGGCGACGGAGGACGGATCATGATTCGGAGTGGAGTGAAGCAGTTTATCGAACAAATTCTTGATAACTAATTTTAGGTGACTAAATACAACTAATAGTTGTAAGTTTTGGTAATTTTTTATACCACCATTCGTGACCTATATTTTAGAAATATGTAAATATTGTAATCATCGTAAATGTCGGATCTCTTGGTGATTAAGTGAACGTCTGTGTGCCCATGCATAACATGGAAAGATGGAAATGGTACAAAATAACTAATAAATTTATAGGCGAGGTTGAAATGTTTATTGCCATTTTCTTAAAAACCATTTGATGTATATACTAAAATTATGCTGTTAGGACACCCATATTACAAATTGTTACCATTGAAAACAGAACCCACCCCACCATCGTTCATGTTCTTGTTCATATAAGATTTCCCATAACCGGATGGAACCTCATAGTCCATATTATGGTACGCACCCACCATGCCCACATTCGAGTTCATATTATGCATGTTACTGTCCCCCTTGGATTTTACATTCGTCCCAAACCTCACCATCTTGACGCCATTGTCATTATTGTTGAACACTGCTCCTCTGAAATTGAAGTTGTTATTGTTGTTATTAAAACTAGAGGTGGGGCCGCCAATCTCGTTATAATTGTTGTTCACGATGGAACCCTCCCTCAAAATTATGTTGTTATTGTTGTTATTAAAATCCGCCCCGACACCGTCGTCATTGTTGTAATTGTTGTTCACGATGGAGCCAGATTTTAAGAGGTTGTTGTTATTGTTGGTCAAGGGGTCGCCCGTGTTGGCGTGGTTGTGGTTGTCGTTCACGATCATTTTGTGATCTCCAACCGCATCGGGGGCGGAAGCGTCGGGGAATGATTTAGTGTTGGATATTACCTCGTTGACCCTTTGGTGACCTTTACCGTGAGCATGTTGATCGAGTGGCAATGCAGTGATAAGAGTGAAACCGAGCAGATTCGATACCTGGGAAATATATAAATTGCGAAATTAATGCAATTGTGTGCTTATGTAAATGTAGATTTTTATAAGTACCAAAATAAATACGAGTTTCATTGTTGCAAAATCCATGTTTCTTGTTCGTAAACTTGCACTTGCAGTTTCAAATTGTACAGTAAATGGTGTGGAATGAAGGGAAATTGTTAAAATTGGTTATTTACATATGTAACTCAATACTGATTTGATCCCCAAGCTTCATTATGGCTAATTAACGGCGTACAGTGATATACATGTATAATGCCTTTTTAACTTATTTTTAACTGCCTGGGAGCATTATTATTGGTAAAATAGAGAGTTGAAATTAATTAGAATCGTTATTTTAGTATTATGTATATATTTCGTAAAGCACAATGTCACAAGTAGTTGTGTATATATTGCATTTATGAATAGAGCGAATGGACAAAACTACTGTATAATAAGGCAATCAGTGACTTGGAATTAGTTAGATTCCTCTTAATTTAAGAGTCTTAAATACTTGATAATTTAATCATATTTAAATTTTATTTTTAATTTTTGCCATCTTCCATTGATGTATCGTAAATCATAGCATTCATATTTTACTATTATTCAGGCAACGTAACAATCTCAAAGCCTCCCGAAGTAGTAACCAGGCTGACTACTTGATCCGAAATTACACGCAGTCTATTCCCACCCAGCAACTGGTGAGGGAGGTGTCGCAGGACGAGAAACGGAGCACTATTATCCTGAACTTTGACAACTACGCCACCACCAGAGGATTTTTTGTCAGAGGGTGTGGTATGGATTGGTTGTAGTTTTAAGAACGGAGGACCCATATCGGTAACTTTCACCTCTCCCATTTTCCGTCCGGCAGGTTTAATGGTCGAAGCAAGGGGACTATTTGGTGGTGCTAAGGTCACGTTGCCACGAACTTGTACAATTTTAATGTTTTTTTCCTTCTCAGAGTTATCCAAATTCGTTATTTTTATGGTTTCCCTAGGTCTCTTGACAGGTGTCGTTCTACAAGTGCGAGAGAAATTGTCAACAAATGTGCATGCAATTTTTTAAATTAAAATTATATACCGCTTAATGGACGAAACTTTTGGCTTTGGCTGCTTCTTTCCAGGTTTTGGTTTTTTCTCCGGTTTTGGTTTTTTCTCTGGTTTCGGTTTCTTGCTGAAATTGTAAAAATAAATCAATCATTATAAATTTCTTCGTGAGTTATACAATTTCATGACTACATTTTCGGGACACGTGGAACCTTAAGTTTCTTCTTCTTATTGTTCTTATCCCGCCATTTACTCGGCTCGCCATGTTGCACTACGTTATGCGTTTTTAGGCTGGATTCAAGATGAAATTTGCGTGGGCATTGGGCGCAGAGGAAGGTAAATTCCACTTTTGGCGGGTGATTCTTCATATGATGCTCATATTGTAGTTGCCGGAGGAAACTAGAAGCGCAAATCGTACAGCGGAATTTTTTAAGTTCGGGGTGGTGAGCGTTAGCGTTGTGAGCGGTGAGTTGTTTCTTGGTGAGGAACTTCCGGGTGCACCCTGAAACTAAAATACTCGTTATTAAATTGTTGTAAAAATATTTTGCTCAACTCGGTGGACGAAAAATAATTAATTACGTACCAGGACAAATGTGTTTCATTATCCTATCTTTGTCATGCACCCTCTGAATATGCTGGGTGAGTAACCCGATATATGTAGCAGTGTAGGAACACCCCTCCCTCGGACACGGAATTATGGCTCGATCCTCGGGACTTTTGTGGGTATCCATGTGTCGACGGAGGTACGGCTTCCAGACAAACTTGGCACATATCGGGCACTCCAATTTGGGCAAGGGGAGTTCTTCTTTGACCCGAAGCTTGGGTGCTTGTCCAAATTTAAGAGCGGTTTCTTTTTCTGCAGAGCTCTTATGCGACCAAACGTGACATGGGAGGTAAATCGACGCGCAGGGTCGGCCGCAGATGGGACAAGGTGTTTTCTGATAGCGTGTATCATTCTTCTTAACCTTTGGCATTTTCGGTTCTGTACAAATTTTAACTTGTTAACTCGTAAATTATGTAAGATATTATTGCTCTTTTTTACCTTCATCTACTGGTTCCAGTGTCCCTTTGCAACCGCCGCGATGCGTTAGCATGTTGCTACGTTGTGAAAAACTCTTGCCACATTTGTAGCACTCGTAAAAATTTCTACTGGAATTGGCCGCCTTCTGTTCATCTGCATTCTTATGCGTCCAAAGATGAGCCTCGAGCTCAGTGACAGGTTTTCCACAGATCTGGCAAGGAACCAATGGCTTAGTTTTGGACAGGTATGAGCAGGTCCCGTTCTTGCGGTGAAGTTCTAAACCTTTTGCAGACGTAAAATGCTTTTCGCACGGTTCACAATGGTACATGACTAGAAACGAAATATCCATCTTTTAATGACGAAACTTTAATTTATGCAAATATAAACATAATCAGTTCACTTACGCATGTGGACTCCCCGTATGTGGAGCTTGATGGCTCTCATTTTCCTCCAATTGGGACAACTTTGTCCCTCGCGAACTTGAAGGAGGGAATCGTTCCAAGAACACGACGCGCAAGAATAAGAGTCCCCATCTTTTAGTATTTCAAACCCTTCGTAATAGTGGCGACCATCTTCGTTGGTCTCGATCGTGCCGAGGCTTTCGACCTTAGCGCATTTCCGCTTGGCGAGCATGACAGCTTTCTTTTCAGCGGACCATTTCGGATACTTTTTTCTGTTATGAGTGGCGTATCTCGTTGATTGTTTGGGGGACGCTGGAGAATTATCTTCTCGATTCATGTCATCATCATCTTCTCCTGGTGGAGAATAATCTGGCGAATAATCAGGATCGTCGCCTTGTTCTTGGTCATTTTGAGTAGAAATGTCATTATTATTGTTTGAGATTTGTTCTTCTTCTTCGTGATGAAATTCTTGTTGTGGAGGTGCGGTTGGGATAAAGGGGACGGATCCCAGGTAATAGTTTCCTGTAGTAAAAGTCAAAACAGGTGGAGGTGGTTGAGGTGGGGTGACAAGTTGGAAAGTGAATTGAGGCGGAGAAATTTGCGAAAATTGAGGAGGTAGTTGTATCGCCGTGAGGTTAACAGTGGGAAAAGGATCATGCGTTGTTGTCGGTGTTGGTATGTCGGTTGGTGTAGCCAAATCTGTAAAATTTATTAAGCTAGTTAAGAATAAATTGTAATTTCAGTTCATAGTAACTTAACTATTAAATTTACCAACAACTTCCTCTTGTTTCTTCCTCTTTAGCGAATTAACCCCTCTCTTCAACTGCATCTGTAGTTTCTCCAACTCTTTGATAATGTCGAGGAGTCGAGTCACCTCTGGGTGACAGAGGTCACAAAGGCAACAAAAATCCAGGCTGAATTCAACAAGGGTGCAGAGTTGTGGCAGACATGGTGGTGGTTTAGAATTTGTCGGTATGGTATTGGCGACATAGTATTTTGAACAGATAGAACATCGACCCCCACCCCCGGAGGTGCACAACATTGACGTCATCCTAAGAAAATGAAAATTTAGTTATTGATATTCAAAACAAAATTAGTACAAGTTTGTACTTACCTTTAAATTTTAAATGTTCATACTAAAAACTCACAGGAGTTGAAAGGACAAAGGATAAGAAATACCACACTTTACCAGTTTATTAAAAAATGGTGCTGCAATCTGTAATATTTAAAATAAATTATTGCTTAAAGTAAAATTTATCTATCTTTACAATTTCTCAGCTTCAAAATTTATTATTAAGGTACAATCAAAATACAATTTACTGAAGGTAACCAACTTCCTTACCTTGACTCTTCAACTAAATTAATGTTCAAGTTTAAATGAATTACAAATTAAACGACAAACCGTGTCGGTCAAAAATAATTTTTCAATTAACACATACAAGAAGTAAAATCACAGAGTCGTTATTTCCCGCGGGCAGGCTGCGATCAGGATCTTTGTTCAGAGATATGCATGCAAAAAATTCATACAGAAATAAATACGTGCGATATGCTTGCTTATGAATTTTTGAATCCTTATAATCTAAAATTTGTGGAATTTGTGAATTATTTGTAATTAATTCACTAATTAATTTAGGAATTTGTGAATCCATTTATTTTGAGTATGGACAACTGGGCACATCAATTAACCAACACGACCCAACCCAATTCGCAACATAATCAGTAAACTCGTGGTCTCAACTAGAAAAATTTAATTCATTCCAATTTTATATTTTCCAGATACATACTTTCACAATGTCATATTATTTCCCCCACTAAAAAAGCTAAATCTTTTTAGTAAAACAGTCCGTATTTTGTATAATTAATCCACCAATCAATTTGTACGTTATAAATTTAAGTAAATATTATTTAGACTTTGTACTGACTTTAGGTGTTCAATATTCGAATTTACGACAATAATACAAACAGGGATAAAAATGTATATCTAAAGAAATCAGCAATTTAATTTCGTTGTGGTCAATAAACGAATTTACGTGAAAAAAATACATAATTGAACAAGCCGGAGTTTAATTTCCCTAGATAATCAAATTATTCATCCCCATCGTAATTCCGCCTTATCCACAATATTTGTTGTTACATCGCCACGCCCCTCTGCCTGGGAATGCGTAATCCGCGTAGTCATAAGGTGGCCGTCCCCACCCGTATCCATGGCGTTTTGCTCGAGCAAGATTTAAGCCCGCTCCACCTGTCAAAATTGTGAAATTTTGAAGTTTAGATATTTTAATTGAAATATTTGCAATTATTTAATCGTTCACCAGCTGCTTCTTCCACGTCCGGATAAGGAATTGGCTCTGGAGAGGCGGAGACCGAGCAGCAAAATGCTACCTGAAAACAAACCGAAAGTTTAATTGGGAAAATGGATTTTTTTAATATAAAAATTTACATTTTTCAATTACTTAATAAATAATTAACTTTGTATAATGGACTTACTATCACGAGAAAACAAATTAATGCGAATTTGGACATGATTCCAGTTTCAAATCAAAACGGAGATATGTAAATGTTGGCAGTTTGCATTTATTTTATTTGACCCGAGTTCCAGTATCCTTCAACCTAGTAATTTGAAAGGTTGGTCTGACAATAGGTTGAAACGTCATAACGACAAACACGTTGTAAAAAAGCAAGCATTACTATTGTTTTCAACTGCGAAGGGCAAGAAACCATTACGTAACATGTATTGTATGAATCATCATATACTAAAGGTGATTTACGTTAAATGGGGCGACTTTGAAGTTCAACAACTCCGAAACTGGTTAGACTTTTGACCCCAAATTTTGAGCATAATAACATGTGACCCAAGGCTATGTGTCTGTACCAAAAATTAACTCCCAAGACAGAAATGACCCCCCCAAAAGACCCCAGAGCAAGAGGGTGTGGAGAACACTTTTTCCAACTCCCAATTGCTGCCTACAAAAGTTCTTGACGAAGTAAAAAAACTAAAATGTGGCATATATTATGCCCCAGTGTGCAGGGAACTCAAAACAATTAATTGTTTCTCCCAAATACAACTGGCTGTATTTTTGGAGAAAACCTAAAAATAGCCCCCACGCGATTTAAGCGTCATCGGTCTACTTCAAATCCATACCAAACATTGAATTTAAAACTTAGAAAACCAACCAGGTGCCATTATATTAAGAAAGGCCTCCTCTAACTGACAAAATAATAATCATAGAAAAATTTCAAATATGGTGAGTTATATAGTTCCATTTTATCAAAAAAAAAGTTTCTGAATGGTTTTGGGCCTGGTATTCAAAGAGGTGAAACTTTTTTTTACCCGATTTTAAGTTGTTTATGAAAGCTAGATAAGTGCCAACAATTTTGATACCATCGATATCAAATTCTATAAACAATTAACAATTTTAGAGAATTTTAAAATATTCTAAACCTCAAAATTTTGGGTGTTTTGAAAAACATTTTTTCGTGACTTTTTTTTCGGATGTTTGTATCTCAGGCCCTTTTTACACTAGCGACTTGAAATTTTGAACCAACAATGATGAGAATAGGATCTACTAAGGCCTAAAATTTCAAAGCGATATTACATATAGCGCCTAAGTTATTAAGCTTCAAAATCGCCCCATTTAACGTAAATCACCTTTGGTAATATAATGCAAAATGGAAATGACAATTAATGTTTATTGATTGGTTTGACAACGCAAAATTGGCAATTCCTGTTTTAAAGAGGCTAAAAAATATGTATAAGGTTGAACTATTTCATAATCGTTATAAAACTCATGAATTAATTTTATACTTATTTATTCTTTGTGAATTCGTACTTTGACAGACGTGATAACGACGTTATATATAGGATATATCACCCTGGTGGCTGGTGGGACATCCCGGTTTCCATATTTCCGAAACGAATCAAATTAATTCGATCAATAAAGGATTATTTATGACAAATGATTTCATAATATTGATAGATTCTCGTTTTTATTTCCGAAAGTTTTGCGACTGCAGTCGCAAAACTTAGGATTTTTTTCATTTTGTAATTCATGAATTACAAAATGAAAAAAAAATCCTAAGTTTGCTCCATATACATATATGTATATCTGATATGATATATCTTTTATTTTCTCGTAAATGGAAATACTTAAATACTTAATTTGCAAACGAATTGAATTTAGATCAGTGCTTATGTATGTATGCCCTTATTTATAGGCATGGTTCACACATCGTTTCAAGTTTAACGAAGATATTTCGTTTGTGTTAACTAATCTTTGATCCACAATTTAAACAACTTGAGAGATTTTTGAATATTTATTGTAGAAAATATGTATATCGTCTAATTAAAGGTCAAATGTAGGCATGGTCTCCTGAGTTTCTCCCTTCTACATATGTAGAGAGCAGAGAAAAAGTATTGAGACACTTAGAATTTGGTCCTGTAAAAGGTCAAAAACATGTTCTAGAAATCTTAAATTTGTGTAGGATATTGTAAATATATATAGCGTTCAGGGTCCGGAACCAATAAAACTTGAGTGCATTGTCCACTTCGTATTGAATGTTCTTCTTCACGCCCGCCATTACTGCATTTTCGGAAGACTTTGCAACTTCAATGTGAATTATCTCCTACGTAAATAGAAATTTTTTTAAAGTATCGACTGTTTCACAAAGCTGGGAGTATGTCTTCTTACATATGGTCCACATTTTTTTATTACGCGAAGATAAGGGTTGAATGTGAGGTTATTAATTTTCAACATAAAACTGAACTTTTTTTCAATTCCTTCCATGATAGTTTTTGCATGGTGGAATGGTCGAAGGTCGGTCCAAAAAATTACATTTTGTATTTTATGATACCTCTTTATGAAAGGAATCAGACGGTCTATTACCCATTTTTGGAAACTAACCTGTGCTCCCACACAGTCCATGTGAACTTAAGGGTCACAAACATGCCCAATTTGGATAAATGCCAGAAAAATCGAGAATTTCTTGAGATATTTTAAACAACATTTTAATTCCTCGCCTGTTTTCAGTTGAGAGATATATTTGCCATGAAAAAATGGCCTTCCCGGAGTTTGTGGCAGTATTTTAACGATGTAGGGCTCATCACCAATGACCAACTTTTTTGGTGAAATTTTGTTGTAAAGCTTGAGAAGCGTTGCGTTTACCATTTGTTATTGGCCTTCTGTACATTTTGCTGCAGATATTTTTGCATACGTTATGACCCACAAATTATGGGTCTTAATATGATACAAATAGTTTGTATTAATCTTTGACTTCATGGCCGCATCAGGCATGGACGTGGATGGGAAATTTTCTTAAAAAAATTTAATCGTTTTTGAATTTCGAGGGGTCGATACGATGGTTTCTTCTCGTGATGCTTATTTCAAGTTGACATTTTCGGATTCTCCATACTTTTTTATGCATGTCTTAATTTTTGCACGACCGCATCCTTCCGCGTTGAAATGTAGTTAAGTCTTCTTCGAGTCTTTGAAACCCAAGTTTTGGTGCTTACGAAAAACTCGTTTCGCGAGTTCGCCGCTTTGAAACGGTGTAGGAAATTTATGTTTTATTTAATAGTTTTGAAATTTTGGACTTAAACCGGTGAATATATTTCGAATGCTGCACAAAAATTTCAGATTCAAAAAAGTATTTTTGACTACTTTCCCGCCAAAATACAAAAGTATCTCAATACTTTTTCTCTGTTCTCTACATGCAGAAAATAATAAATTTCTCATAAAAAAACACGGTGTTTGTTCCAGGGTGTAAATATATATTTGCATTCCGATTACTTTATCTTCGAATAATATGATCGTATATTCATTCTCGTGATACCCAAAAAAAAGCTTTGCATGGTCCTGTAGCATATGTACATACATACATAAATCATTATGTATGTGCATATGTCCCCCATAAGGATAACATACATATCTATGTAGGGATTAGTCACAGTGTTACGTCATAGAATTTCAGCTGATACCACAGCTATGTAACTTGCCTTACTAATTATTTTGTGTATCCATATAAGCACAAAACTAAAAACGCACACATACATATTTATTTTTCCGTAACAGATAACAATTGTACATAAACTCTTAACATTTAGCTTATTTTCACATTATTCCAAATTTAGACACCACTAAAAATGTCACATTACGATTTGACAGTATTCGTCGGAACGGAAAGGACTCCATTTAATTTGCATAAGTCAATTCTGGTAGAAAAGTCACCCTGGCTAAAAAATCTAATTGACAATGGTGACGTTGAGGTTGGCGAGGATGGACAAACTAAAACCGTTCTTCATCTCCCAAATCATTCCGTAGGAGCGTTTAGCATACTTATTAAGGTAATAAGTAAGCAAAAGCCATAAACTGACATCCTGTTTCCATTTCTTAACCAAATTCATGCCCCAGTTTCTGCACACTGGGGAATTCGCACAGACAGAAAATTACAAGCAAGCCCTCGAAGTTATGGACATGTCATGCACTTACCACGCATTCGACCTCTTGTTCCCTATCGCCGATCAATTAATGAGTCAAATTGAGCAAGTTGATGCCATAGCGTGCCTCGAAATTTCCCGGAGAGTCAGCTATATGTATGTAGGCAAACGTAGTTTCGAATGTTTCCTCAGGTAATTATAGATGTACATATTTTCAAAATTCATAAATACATAAGCACACCTTGAAATTCTTAAATACGCGCATAAATACATATTTATTACCAGAAAAATTCGATCGGAATGGACCTCTGGAAAATGTTTGACATGGGATTTTAACCAGGTGAAAGACGTGTTAAGCCAGGATTGCTTGGAGATCCGAGAAATCGATTTATTCAAAGCCATTCTCATGTAATAACTGATAAACAAGTAAATTCGAGTTTTATCTCATCATATAAAACTTGTAGATGGACCAATCATCCAAATAACATTGCACATAAGTCGAAGCAATTGCCAGAATTGGTGTCTCTAATACGTTTCTCGTCCATGAGAAGGGAACTATTTGAACAGGAAGTCGTACCCAGTAATATATTATCTGATTGTGACGTTGATCAAGTGTTTATAATCTTCGATAAGCAAAGGTATGTAAACATATATAGCACAAATTAAGATCGCAATCTACATTTTTTTAAATCTGGTAGAGTCACATATGCATATACTCTATCCGTATTGGTATTGATTGGTAGCATTTTTTTTCTGACAAGAAAAACGTACATACGTACATACATATTTATTAATCTCGCCTGAATTATAGCGTTGGTCAAACAAGATTCAATTCTTCTCCCCGTTTGCGACACATCAGTGAAACTGTACAATTTGACGTATATTCGCGTATTTCGAACAAAGGCTGGATAACAAAGTGTCCAGTTACAGAAATTGATTCTCAAATTGGTCCAGAATTTTCGTAAATTAATGTCACTTTATATTTACAAATCCATATGCTCATCTTGATTATACACATACGTTTGTCGTAAATAATTATGTAGGTTACGCACATCGAAGGACATAACTTTACGGGGAGTAATTATAAACGCGATTGAATTATTGGACGAATTTATGAAGACATTAAGTGGGTCTGTTCTTTTCGAGCTTTCAATTGCAACTGAGAATGGAGACATAGTTGTAGCTGGATCATTATCGTATGGAATGTGTTCAAACGCGTTCCCAGGAATACCCCTGGACCCTCACGTTGAACTAAAATCTGGGCGTTTGTATCAATTTTCATTAACTTGCAAGCCAAATCAGCAATCAGGCCAAACTCCGGTGGAATTTGGTACATATGATTAAAAAATATTTATATACCTATGTTAAATTCAGAGTAAAATTAGATATGTTCCCCATTGCACACATAAATATTTTATGTATGTACAGGATTATACATACGAGAACAAGAGCCTCCAACTTTGAGTGACAGCTATGAAGTAGATCTAGGACTGGGTGTGACAGGAACGATGACACATTTTCCGGTACAGCCGTCCAGTGAAGGAAATAAAGTATTGCAAAATTCTTCATGGATCCGTAATTTGCTATTTGGTCCTGTTCTTAAAGAAATTGAACCGTGCGTGATAACCTAAGTTAGATGGGTACCATGTGCATCATGCATGATCTATGTAGGTACATGTTTGTGTTTGTCTATATATGCAAACACACATATGTATAACTTTATGCAATATGCATAATCCAATGAGTCATGCAAAACAATTAATAAGAGAGAAAGAAATTAAGCAATCGTTTATTAACTGAAGTATTAAATAGAGTTTTGTATTTACAATTTGTGATTACCATACATACATATATTTAGCTGGATATAAATATGTATGCATGTACGTATGTACATACCACAAGGCAGATTAATGTTACATATATGTATATATATAGAGAAATAAATGTATGGATAAATGATGCAAATAAACAAATCCTAAGTTTGTATGGATGAAAGACATTAGAGAAGCATGACTTGACCTACACCAAAACAGTTGCAGTAACCCTGCAGTAAATAGGTTGCTTAAATTGAAAAAAAATTATTTGCAGATACAAAACTATAAGCTATACTAGAACTAAATACATTTATTTACATATCCACATATGTATTTATGCATGAACATACGTATTACGTACATATATACCTATGCATGCATGTATGTAAGTATGTGATTACCTACATAAATACATAAATACATGCTTACATATGTGCATGTGCATACTCTTAGGCAAAAATTCCTGAAAAATAAAGTTAGTAAACCAATTTGCTATTCAGAAATTCTGAATCAGAATTCTCCGGCCATGGACCTATTATCAATTAATCCTACAGTATACTCCATCTATCGGTATTAGTCAATTGGTAGTTGTCTCCTGACAAGGCCCAGCTCCCATCTATATAAAACACATAAAAAGAAAAGTGTGCCATGCATGCCCGGGCTAGTATATCACCTCACAGTCTTTTTGATGCAGACCCAGCTCACATCACTAAATTTTAGCTCGTGATATTTTCGACAAATTCGCCGAATATTTAACCTTGTGCAAATTAAGAAGATGTCATCAACCTCCAAAGGGGACAGGTAAGCCATGTTTTGCTATTATATTAAACCTAAGGGCAAAGAGTTATATAATTTTTACATCCTTTTGTGACGACGTAGTCGCACAATTTAAAAGGAATGGAGATGACGTAGTCACTCCAGTGAAAGAGGATAACGTAGTTACCTCAAATTTATTTTTTTTTGAGAGGACGTAGTCCCTCATTATGAAGTTTAAAAAGCATTGAAAATCTTTTAAAAAAATCATCCTTGAACATATATTATTATGATAATCACTAGTGCTGATGACGTGACCGCTGGTCCTCCCAAACCGAACAAGAGTTGGGTGTCAAATTTGGCCTCTCATTTAAAAGCTATTGCTGAGCTTCAATCACTTCCTAATGAGGTTAGACAAATTAAAGAAATATTGCTGGGCACACAAAGTAATGGCCAACGGAATTCAGTGGGCGTTGTTGACGACACAATGCAAAGTTTGCTCCAGCATGAGAAAGGTTTGTAAATACTGGAATATTAAAATAAATGAGGTATTCAGAGATGATATATCTGCTCATAGAAGTGATTGATTCCACTCTCGTTGACGATGGACCGATACCTGAGCTCTTAGGAGGGGAGCTTCACCACCTGCCCTTCTCAGATCTTGATGTGCTTTGGACATGTGGTAATGTCCCGTGAGTGTACTAAAACCCTGAAGTGATTTGACTCCATGGCCACAGTTACGCCCACCACACCCACTCAAAGGCGCCAAAAACACGAAAAAAGCCCTGTTCTCACTTGTTCAAACCCTCGCCACAAATCCAATTTTGCTCGGATTTTGGTAAAATTTACATTTTTGTGATCCCAGATACTTGCTTGATCATATCCAGTAGCAATCTCAACTTTTTTGAAATTTTTAATTTTTTCGAATAATTCATCAGCCCGAAAATGCCCGAAAATTTCGAAAATTTCAAAAAAGTTGAGATTGCTACTAGATATGATCAAACAAGTATCTGGGATTACAAAAATGTAAATTTTATCAAAATCCGATCAAAATTGGATTTTTGGTGGATTTTTGAAGTTGGTAACTTTTGTAGTTTTCATCCCTTTGAGTGGTTGTGGCGGGCGCAAATGTGGCCATGGAGTCAAACCACTTCAGGGTTATAGTACACTCATAGGACCCTACCACATATCCAAAGGGCATCGAGATCTGTGAAGGGCAGGTGGTGACGCTCTCCTCCTTAGATATATTAAATAAAAGTCAGCTTGAACCTGAATTTGGACCGGATTTGCACGTCAACGTGGCCAATTCTTTTTCGAATTTAGGGAAAACAGTGTTATCCAAAGAGAGGATCGAAGAATTAAGGAAAACCTTTCTTACACCAGCTAATTGTAAACTTCTTGGGGTTCCAAAGGTAAACCCCGAAATATGGACCGTATTGCCTCAGAAATCAAAACAGGGAGATTTCCAATCCCACCAAATGCTAGCAATTCTTTCAAGCTCAACAGTTGCATTGGCTCATTTAGCAGAAAAGTGATGTTGAATTCTAAAAAGATGCCCCCAGAGTCAAGATCTTCTGAGGCGGACTATTCAAGCTGCAACATTGAATTCAAAATTGAGGCAAGATATCAATATTAAGCGGAAGCAGGATATTAAACCTGCATTAAGCACTGAAATTGTGGCAGTGTGTAACACGCCATCAACACCTGAGCTACTGTTTTGAGACAGTGTTTGTGACACCATCGAAGCCGCTACCACGGTTGGAAAAAACCGGAGAGGATTTTCCTGTTTTCCGAGCAGACCATGAAGACCATTGTGTCGACCAGTAAATGTAAGCAGGGCAAGAAAATTAAGTTTATATTTTATCAAAGTTGGGAAAAAATTACAAAGACAAAGAAATTTTAGAAGTAATCGAAAATTTTCGCATACCGTTTGTGAGTATTCTATGCCAAAGTAATGCACCAGAGCCATTTTCTGAGGTAGAGTTACCATATGCTACAAAATGTGTACAAACGTTATTAGATACTGGTGCAGTTGTTAAAGTGTTGCCTTGCGAAGGTCAAATTGTTTCAAGAATATTTCTTGTGCCAAAGAAGGAGCCCAATTCTTACCGATTAGTGATTAATCTTAAATCTTTGAATGAGTATATTATATCTCCTCATTTTAAATTGGAAAATTTAAAATCAGTTATAAGTATTATAGAAAATAATTGTTGGATGGCAACTTTAGACCTAACGGTTGCTTATCATGCCATTCCGGTGCACAAATATTTTTAAGATTTGAATTTGAATGTAATTTGTACCAATTTACTTGCCTTGCCTTTGAAATTGCATGTGCTCCAAGACTTTTTACTAAGATATTTAGACCAATAGTGGCATTATTAAGAAAGAGAAGGTTTATGACTACTTACATAGGTAAATAGGTCAAGTTTAGAATCGCTGAGAAATGCAGCATTAATTCAGTGTAATGGCAATTATAATGGAGAATGCACAATAAATTCACAATGTCGAGCAGACATTCAGTGGTGGCAGAGAAAGTTGCCAAATTCTTTTGAAACTATAAGATCGGTCAGCTTTATCTTGACGTTGACCACTGGTTTGGGGTGCCCACACTGAGTCACAAGTTACACGGGGTTTCTGGTCAACAGAGGAAAAGCTTCTTCATATAAATACACTTGAATTGATTGCAGTGATTAATGGGTTAAAATCATTATGCTAGAGTTCATCTAATTGCAATATTTTAGTACACAGAATTATATAGCGGACAAACAATCCAGAGAAGAGATTGATAAGAAGGATAATTCTTTGGATCAGAAATCCTTGAATATTATTGTTATGCATTTCCACCCTTTTATCAGATTTCGCGTACAATAAATAAAATAAAACAGGAAGGGGCAACTGGCATCGTAGTCTTTCCAAACTGGTGTACTCAGGCATGGTATCCTGAATTCGTGAAATTTCTAAAATCCAAAGTTTTTTGGTTTTACATGCAAATTATTGCGGATATACGGATAATTGTAATTATCCGAAGTAATACGGAACCTTGAGGTATTAGCGCCTCACCCACCCACCCGATTGTTCATTCGAAAATGTGTTTTGGACTGTGAGGTGATATACTAGCCCGGGCATGCATGGCACACTTTTCTTTTTATGTGTTTTATATAGATGGGAGCTGGGCCTTGTCAGGAGACAACTACCAATTGACTAATACCTCAAGATTCCGTATTACTTCGGATAATTACAATTATCCGTCGTCCGGCGCTTCGCGCCGTCCTCGGATAATTATCAATTATAGTAGAATTTGGAAAAATCCTTAAAAGTCAGCTAAAATAACCGTGCCAAATATGTAGTCGTGCCAAAGTAATCATTGGCTTAGAAAGTGTGTATCAATTTCAGCTTGATCGAAATCTTCTCCAGGTCGGAAATTAAATTTGAACAAAAAAAACAAAATTTGAAATACAATTGGTAAAACTGATTTTGACCTTTGTGACTACTTTTCTGATAAACTTCAACTCAATTTTGTAACTAACGTTTACCTATTTGTAAGCATGATGAGGGCAAAGTCCATATGTCATTTAATAAATTAATTTATTGGTAAAAGTGAATTTACGGAATCATTTGAAACTTATCTGCGACTGTGATGCATGCATAGTAACCAGAATCGGGTATGTAAATACACATTTTGCATAATAAGTATTTAATCAGCTCCTTGTGGAATTTCAGACATAAAATTTATAACACACTTAATTCAAAGATTTGAATTATCTGACAGATTGGATAAACGAATTTAGCTAGTTTCCTTATACTACCAAAGTATTTAAATATGAAAGTATGTAAACATATATAACGAATAGAATTAAATTATCGGAGCGTTTTCCTTATGTAATCAATAAGTTGAATTAATGATTAATGTGAGTACACCGACGGGTACATATTTACGTACATGTGTATTCGCATATGTACTCTTAAGGAAAAATGCCTGGAAAATAAAGTTTCGTCATTTCTCAAGACCTTCCTATAATTTTACTTAAACAGCTTATAGTTTATCGACAATAAACTCTGATAAGCATATGTGCAAAAGTATCGATAATTATAACACCTCATAAGGGAGCAAAGACCATTTTTTTGTCAGAACTATAATGTTCTGGGGTGGTAAAAAATCAAATTTTGTGTGACCCTTCACCAAACATTTCCACTGATGAAGTGATGTAAAAAAGTTGATACTGATTGCCATTCAAAACTCTTTGGCCATTGACCAATTGCGGCGAAAGCGTGGAGACAGGGGAAATTGTCCCCCAGAAATTCAGAATAATCCTATCTTGACAATATTAATAATCCCCTTTTATCGCACAATGCTACTAATGTCCCCTACGTCCCCAAAACTTCCGCTGCCAATGCCGTTGACCAACATTTACAATAATGACATTGGTCGTCATTTCATTCATTAGATGCATGAATAAACTTCATATTACTACTTTCCAATTCTAACAAAATCGTTTAGAAATCAGGCGGACGAACAGAACCGAGAAAGTTCATTAAAGTATCTAGCTACGGCTAAATCTTTAATAACTGTCAACATACAACATAACTAAGTATCTAGACAAAGTGATATTCGAGAGTAAATAATAATTCTATATAGATAAGCAAACTTGTGAGACGCATATTGAGGAAAGTAAACAAAATTATTTTCGTCGTTTCGCAATCTCATACTTGGGAAATGTCAAATTTATTGCTATTTCGTTGACCCCAGTTGTGTATCAAATTCTTGATGGTAATTCACTCTCACATACATAAATACACGCATCTATGACATTCTTATCTGGTGATTTTGACAGCAAAGTCAGAATAACTTAATAGTTTGTAAATACATACATACATATGCAATATATTAAACCAGGAAGCAAATCTGCATAAAAGGCTGCACCAGTGTAAGCGAAGTGCTCAATTGCAGAAAAATTGTGGAAAGTAAATTATATAAAATTTCCGATTTCAATTTCCAATTTCTAATATAGCTTTTCCAATTTATATACAATGAATTTCATTCTGACCATGTGCAGTCTCTTAGCTGCCTCTAGCGCCCGACCAAGTTCTGGTAATTAAAAAAATTGCATGTCGTTAAACATAAATAATCACATTAAAGTAATGAGGGTATTCATTACATACATATTTCTTCGTATCCTTTGTATCGTAAAATAGTTTACGAAGAAAAACATATTTTCATAAAAATCGTAAGCGTAGTAACGTGACTTTCGATGATAGAATCTTACGACGCTCACAAAATCTCGTAACCGTCGGAAGTTATTTTATGTACGATACGAAGAACAGTAAGAACACGAAGAAATAACGAATACCCTCATTATTTGCACTAATACGATAAAATGTGCGAACGGTTATTTGACGATAATTTCAAACGGATTTTGCTCACACTATTCGAAGGACTTGGCTCCATAAATAAATTTGGTTTTCCTTACAGTTTTGGAAATTAAATTTTTTAAGAAATTTTATAATTGAAAAGCATGTTGACGACATGATTATATTTAGAAACCGGCTGTGAAACGCATTCAAAAATTTATGTGAGTAACCATTTAATTAAAAATTTAGAATCCAGTTAAAGCTAGACGGTGAAACTAAATATATTACAAGAATGAAATAGCTATTTAGTAATGAGGGTATTCAGTTTTCTTCGTATCCTCAAAATAGTTTACCAAATAAAAACAAGAAGCCAATCTTAGTAAATAATCTTTAGCTTATAAAGCTACTTGCTGATGTAACCTTCATGTGTGCAATTTTTGTGTATATGAATAATAAAATCATGTTTATTATAAATAATAATTCTATAGATGTGGGAATTGAGAGTGGATCATGCACAACAGTTCTTAATGAGCCGGGTATTTGCTCAGGCCTCCTGGATTGTTACACCTTGGCACTACCTGCAAATGGATGTCCTGCACCCGACCTCTTCTGTTGCCCGTATCCAGCAAGATAAAAATATGTCGGAAACGAGTCAAAAATGCCAGAAACACATGTTTGTCCTTTGTATGTACACATACCTATAATTTAGATGATTATGTTAATCATGTAATTATGTTAATTATGTTAAACCATACGACATATATAACAACAAATTTTATTTCGTTAATATACAATTATTTACATGCTCTAGATAAGCTGCTAAATCCGATTAGAAATTTACTTTGTAGGCTATACATACATACATACATGTAGGCATATGTACTTATATCATAGTTTGTACATGTTTACATAAATATTTAATTACACCTGTACATACATCAGGAATTCATTAAACGGTGCAAAATGCAATGATTCTTAACTTTAAACTTGTAATAATGACATGTGTTTTTACCATGAGGCGTGAAGGGAGCTTAATTGCAAATACATCAATCAATGTACTCCATTGTATTCCATATTATTTAATCTCACTTTATTCGAGAAGTTAGTTCCATGGAATTGTGTACTCATAAATAAAGAAAATAAATAAATGTTTTTCTTCAAATTTATTTTGCAATTTTTTCCTGGTTTGAGTTTAATGAATTATTTATTAATTCGTGTAATTACAAATATTTTAAAATGTATGCTATGCACATAATTTCATAACTTTATATCATGTACAAACATAATATGTATGTATGTACGTATGACTTGCAGTGGCGTTAAGTATTCCTTTTAATCTTAATTAACCATTTCGCAGACCGAATTGTATTACTATTATTATTTTAATACTTCTCCAAAAGTAATATGTGTCAGAATGTGTTCATAAAACACCCACACCTCTGAAACTCTTGAGGAATCGCAGGATGAGCAGACATATCCATGCAGATAAATGCAGCTTCAGATTAGAGAAACATTAAACACGTTCTTATCCATAGTTCCGCATCTATGTATGTATGTGCATAGGAGCACTTAAGCCATATACACTGGCACACTTGATAACCCTTCTTCCCCCGTTAACCTACCCCTTATCAAAATCTGTTGCCCAATTTCAATCATTAAGCTCACCGTGAGTCCCACCACCCAGGCTAAAAATACGATTTGCAGCCCTTCACTCGTCCTCCCACGTGACGCCCCCCTCCTCACGCCCTGGTCCATTTTCACATTCACATTATTCTTACCGATATGATTGTATTTCTCATACCAATTTAATTGGTGGTAAATCCCAGAATCCAAAAAACGCCGTAAGCCTCGTACAATTCGATGTCTCTCGTCAGCCGGGAAAGTCCAACCAGTTATCGGAACTTTAATATGGTCTCGACTTATGCGAAATTTTTTGGCGGTGGGATATTTCTTTTCCAAGTAATCCTTGTACGCTTCTGTGTCCGGTTTGCTTCCGACGTACACTACTTTCCCGCACTGAACTATTTCCTCCTCAATCCCGGGCCAAATTTCGTCATATGAAATCCCTCCGATTGGATATGCTTTGTCCAACTGGGGGAGCAATTTCATTGGAAATGATCGCTGCCTGGGGTCAAAGAGCCGTCGAAATAAATCTCCTTGGGAGGAATTTCTTGCCCAAGCGGCGTAAATAACAGATTCGAGATTAATCAGGAAAAAGTAACTGAAGGTGTTGAGATAGTCGTAAAGTGGGTAGGGATAAGGGGCTGAAAGCGTACTGTAGCAGGATGAGTTGGTGATAACAGACTTCCGGTATTCCGTAACGTTTGGATGTATTTGTGCCAACATGAGTATTTTATAGTAGTGCAAAGGCTGGGATTTATCTTAACGTAGGATTAGGTGACGTTACAGGTCTAAAAATCTCAACATCTTTACGCATTTGTCCGTTCTGGGAATTTATTTTGAAATTCCGTCAAATCCATTTGTAGACCAGGTCAGTACCAATTTATTAAAAATATGTACTCTAGATTTTGACAAGTTCTGGAGGAAGAAACCCAAAAAGAGTGAAGTCACTTGACGTATTTGACGGAATTTAATAAACAATGTCCCTAAAAAGGGGAAATCTTAGTGAGGGAGTGCAATCACAACAAATAAATAAAATTAGATTGAAGAATTTTTGCACCACCGCTCTCGGTACCTTTTTTACTGGATGCAGTATAAATTTTTCTTTGCATACGCATGAATTCTTTTATTGAATATTTTATTGAATAAATTGAGGAAGGAATACATTTTTACTGTGTAGTGAACGAGAAGTGGGTTAAATTAACTGAGGTAGATATGTAAGATATGATGGCTAAATAATTATGAGCTACGTATTTGTTTAAAAAAATATACAAATTTCAATTTGATATATTAATTTGGCTACTCTATGCAAAATCATCGAACCTTTTGAGGGAGCAAGTGTTCTATTTAAACGATTAATGCTTCCAGTAAAAATGGTACCGAGAGCGGTGATGCAAAAATTCTCCAATCTAATTTTATTTATTAGTTGTGATTGCACTCCCTCACTAAGATTTCCCCTTTTTAGGGACCTTGTTTATTTATAACGTTTAATTGGGTGATTAGATTCTCCATTGGATGACTGCATTGCACTACCCCTTTTCAGTAGTTTGGCCCGGAATAATTTTATTGAATGCTGGGTGTTTAAAATTGAATAAATCCGTCATTTCTTAACCGATTTATATCATTTTGGTCAAAATGTCCGGCCTAGATTACTAAACACCAAAAGACCTGATCTGGAGGTGCAAAACCAACAACAACAATTTCACGCAGTTTACCAAGCATGTTACAGAAGCAACGATTAGTTGTGCTGTTTACAGTTTTGAATGCAATTTGTTTTCAATTTATTAGTCTTGCGTCGTTGTCAATGACAATGATTCGTAGCACGAGCAGGAATTTCTGAACTTCAAATTGGAATAACTAAGCCAATTCTTAACGGATTTTGATATATTTATACTTAAAATTTTCGGGATAAACTGCCCTACAATTCGTGGGTATCAAACTGTTGATAAAGTTTGCTAGTAACTAGCAATAATTACAAATGTGTTTCTAAGGCTACATTTTTGCCCATAATTCCGGTCAAGATCACGTAATCGCTTAGTCGGATCAGATCCCGTTTCTATATTATGTAACAATAATCGGTGCAAAATTTCATCAAAATCGGTTGAGAAATGACTGAGATATCGCAGATGGTCACTTTTTTGGGGTGGGTCAAATGCATACTTAGTAATTTTTTTCGTTGTTAGGTATTTGCCTCACTAAGAAAAATAAATTCCCAGAACGGAGAAATGCGTAAAGATGTTCAGATTTTTAGACCTGTGACGTCACAGGCGATGAGTTACCTAATCCTACGTTCAAAATGGAGAGTTCAAATTTACGTGAAACACTCGGTAAGCTTAAGAAGATTTGGGGCAAGTATTAAGCTTTGCTATTTGGAATTTGGCTGAAATATCTATGTGAATCTTAGTAAATCCGTCGGGAATTATATTTTCAGGCGTGTAAGCTATCGACCGTAACATATTTACAAATAGTTGCAAACTGTATGAACAAGTGTACATAAATATGTATATGTACACATATACAGTAATATTATTGTTGAGGGTCACCTCATTTGCATATTTTGACGCATTAGAGAAATACGTCAAATTTATTAAATCCTGTGTGGCCGAAGATGGGCATTGAGTTTTACATATGCAAATGAAGTGATCCGCAATAACTATGTATCATAACTCCACTATGCAATTTGCAATGAAATTATACCATACCTGCTTTAATTAAATTGGAAATCTACAATCTGTATCTTTTTCGGTCTTCTACTTCAAAATCTAATCATGTATAATTCAGGGTAACCTACCCTGACCTAACCTCACGTTCATTAAAACCCAAGAACCTGAATGTTAGTTAAATGCTAAGGCTAAAGGCTTAATTTCAACGTAAAAAAACATTTCCAGGTAGGAATACTAATTTGAAATGGCTTCGACAAGATCCTTTTGGTATAAAGGGTCCTTCACAAAGCTTCGCCCAAGCAATTGGAGTGTTTCGAGTAAATTTGCTCCCTTTTTGGAATCTAGATGGAACAGCGGTATAAGTCGGAATAGGTCCAGCCGCCCGACATGAGATTTCCTAAAGTAAAAAAATACATACTTATCGTCGGTTAAATATTTTAAAAAATATTAATAATAGCATTAGAAATTCAGTTATCTCTGGTCTGGTTCTATTATTACACAGACGACATGTGCAATAGATACGTAAGATAGGTACTAACAATGGGTGACAGGTTTTCTCCTTCCAGAATTTTTTTCAATTTGTACATATAATTCCGCACATCTTCATATGTACATAAATACAAACAATTTTTGGTTCAAAACTCGGACCAGTAAGCTAATTTTTTTATCTTTAAAATAAGTAAAATACTCCCATTTCCACATCGGAATTGATGGATTCCGTATCCTCAAACCAGTATAGTACAAACAATGACTCCCTTATTGAAAAGGGGACACATTTTTTTATTAAAGTTGAAAAACCGGTATTTTCTTGCGTACTGGCCCGAGTTTTGAAGTAAAAGTTACTTATATTTAGTATACATACAGACATACATATGTGTGGAATTATACATACGTGCATGTTGCAATAAAAAACTAGAAGGAACAAGTCTGGCACACCCATGCATGAGACGTACATCGCTAGTAACATCTCAATAATATATGCATACATATGTTTCCCCTGGGTTTATACATAAGTTCAAAAATCCTAGGAGGCTCTAAATATTCACATAGTTTCGCTAATGTTTTGAGCCTCTTCACACCAGTATAATTTTCAAACCGTCCGAATTTACTTCGCCCCAACGGTCTTACCTCAAATGTGTCGGGAAAAATGAGTTTCAACGGTTCATTTAAACTCGTGATGACCAAACTCCTATACCCATTCGTGATCACCGTACAGGCCAAGACCCAAACTCCGATTAGGACTCTAAATGCCCAAAAACGTTCCACTTTCTTCCCCAGTCCATCCATTTGTTCGAGCAACGTGCAAAGTACCCAGTAGAGTAAAGTAAGCGTATGTAACGTATTGTGAGACTTATCCTTGCCGCCTTCCAACCTGGCTGGTTCCATCAATTTGAGACCAACCGCCACTGCCAGCACTGATATAGCCACTCCAGCCCAAGTTCCCCCACTAAACGGTTTCACGAAGAGGTTAAAACTTCCTTCCACCCTTGAATGGCATGTCAAAAAGTGAATATTTCTTTGTCCCGTGGCCACCTTTGAGATCGACCAACTGTAGTGTTCCCAGTGTCTCGGCTTAGCATCTGCCTCTATGAACTCTTGAATGTAGCAGTCAAACTTTACGAAACGTCTGCACCATTTGAGCACCGTAATGTTGAGGGATGGTCCCAACGCTACGACCAGGATGTACATGTCTGCCCACTGGATTTGGTTTAACCGCTTCACACCCAGTGCCACCTTTTCCATGGAAGAATATCCAGGAAAATCTTGATCTATTAGGAATACACTTTGTGGTTCGGCTCCCCTAAGTATTTCCCATATATTGCCGCCTTGTCCGCGGGAACAGGCCAGATTTGAATAGAGGGGTTCCGACATTTGTGGCGAAT